CATACATCGACTTAGAATGTAATTTTATGAAGGTTATTTCAGAAGCAATTAGTGGTCTATGTCGTTTTCTTCTGCGTTTTACAAACAAAAGCTCAAAGACATAATACCCTGTATAACAAAAGAAGATTTTATAAGCTCTCCCTGCAGAAAATGCTCCATTTTGGTATTACTTCCAATGTTACTATTGCATTTCCAGCCGAAATAGTAAAATATATTCTTTATTTAACGCTTTTTTCACTTGTTCAACTATGTATTGTCGAAGACCTTGCATCACTTTCACAAGGCCTCTGTTAAATATGTCATGGCCTAGCATTTCGCACATGCATTTGATTCTATTTTATTTAAATTTAATCTTTCAACCAAAAACAACAGCAATGAACCTGTGCTTGTAATAATGTCAGTGATCATCACCATCAGCATCAACGGCAGCGGCGACATTGTTATTGCCATCATTTCAGTTTCTACACAAAAATTGTCATCACCGCCGCCATCACATTGCTATGCACGAGCGGCACAGACAGTATCACGACATGAAAACAAAAAAAAAACACAACAATGACAACAAATAAATAAATATCAACAATAAAATAAATTTCCCTTATCCGCCATAGAAATAAAATCAGAATCGGAATAATTTGATTGATGAATAATTTATTCTCTTTCCCATAGAAACCAGTAATTCAAAACGGGGAGCCCATCTTCGGAATCGTGGGGGTATTTAGCGTGTAATATATAGTAATACAGGTGCAGGAAAAAATTGGATCTGAGAATGTGAAATTTATTTTTGTAATGGATAACATTTTTAGATTCGTGGAAAACTTCAATATGGGTCCAAGGCCAATTGTAAGAAGGATCCTTACAATGTTGTGGCAGCAACTACGTGTTGGCTTTCTATTGTAAATATCTTGGACAATTGGTTGCAAAAAAAGTGTCACTATATGCCCACCTTTTAAGAAAGGCTTCTTATAACAATAAAGTCACATTTTCCGTATTTTCATTGTTGATTTTCTAGTATAATATCACAACTCGACCCACCTTAGTTTCCTTGGATGTATGGTACTATCTTTTTTATGTTGCGAATTGTTTTTATTGCCTGGGAACTTTTTTTGCTGGCTGTATGTAAATACTCGTTCGATGCCTTGCTTGATTTATTTATTTTTATATTTTTGTCTTTCTCTGCTCGTCCCGCATTTGTTGTTGTTGTTTTTTCTTCAATTGCGTCTATAACCTTAAACTATTTACATAATTGAATTATGACCGAAATTGATTTTGATTTCAATTTGTATTTGCCTTTTTGTTGTTTTTGCGGCATTGGTGGATTTTTGCGATGTTTTTTTTTTTTTTTTTTTTTTTTTTTTGTTAAAAAAAACCTGGTATGGGTTAAATTTAAAGTATAAACTTGCTAAAATTATGAGGATATCTTTAGAAGCTAAAAATAGTAACTGGGAAATTTAGCGTTAATTCAAATGACAATTGTGAATAATGGTAGAGGGATCACTGGGAATGCGTATAGTTTAGATATAGTATTAGTATAGTTTAGATAAGGAGGTTGATTTGGAAATTCGTATTCTAAACTTTAGAAAAAGTAATAAGTGTTATGAACAGGGTGAGATAAAAACCAGTAATCAAAGTCGGGCGGGGCCGACTATTTGATACCCTACACCATTATGCTCTCGTAAAAGAAAGGTTTATATTGGGCATTTCTAAGCTCTGTGAGATATCTGGTACAAAATATGATTAAGGTAGAGGGCATATTCCGAAAGTTGGAGATTTAAGCACCAAATCGGATGAAACATATATATGGAGCTAGATCTATATCTGAACCGATATTCACCAAGTTTTAAATGTTAACTTCTAGATTGAATTCGCTCGGAAGTGCTACTTTTCATTCATTTTGGGTTGAAATTAGTCATTTGGTGCACAAGAAACCTAAAATCGGACGAAGATATGTAGGGAAGCTATATCCAAATCTGATCCGGTCTTGGTAAAATTTGAATCATGTATTGCTAAGCTGAATCTAATACCTGGTAACAAATATCATTTTTATGGGGTGTATATTACGAACGTAAGGGACTTAAACACCAAAATCGGATGAAACATATATATGGGAGCTAAAGCTATATCTGAAGCGATTTTCACCAAATTTTGTCATGTATTGCTGGGGTGAATCTAATATCTGGTACTAAATATAATTTTTTCTGGGGTGTATATTATGAATGAGAGGGACATAAACACCAAAATCAGGTGAAACGTATATATGGGAGCTATAGCTATATCTGAACCCATTTTCACCTAATTTGGAGCACATGCTTGTAGGCTGAATTCGGTCGGATGTAGCAAAATTCACACCATTTGGACTGATATTATCCATTTGGTGCACAAGAAACCTAAAATCGGATGAAGATATATATGGGAGCTATATCTAAATTTGGATTGATATTCACCAATTTCAATAGAGTTCGTCCTTGAGACAAACAAATGTTATTTAGAACATTTCATCTCAATCGAATAATAAATGCAGGTCGCATTTTTTTACAAAAATACGTGGACAGACGGATGGACATGCATAAATCGACTCAAAATGTGATTCTATGCTGATCACCAAAAGGAACTATGGGTCTATCTCGTTTTCTTCTCCATGTTACAAACAAATGCACAAAGACATAATACCCTTACCACTATGTGGTGTAGGGTATAAAAACTGCAACAAAGTCAAGCGCCATAATTTTTACATTTTTTTTATTTTTTTTTTTTTAAATTTCATTGAATGAAAGCAAAAAATGTCGGAAATAGCAACAAATTTAAGAATACATTTAGATTTGTTCGAATTGGTCACCTTTGTCACGAATTATGGCCTCCAAACAACCAATGAAACCGTCACACGCTGCCCGAGTGTTGCTCTGCGGTATTTTGGCCCATTCACGGCGAAGCGCTTGCTTGAGGTAATCGACACTTTGGTATTTTTTAATGCCAACCTTGCTTTCCAAAATACACCCGACACCATGGTCCAACGGATTGGTATCCGGAGATTTTGGTGGCCATTGTGCACTGGAAATGAAGCGAAGAAGCTCATTTTGTAAGCATTCTTGGGTGGCGCGTGCTGAGTCCTGTTGGAATGTCCAAGGTCTGCGGCCAAAATGATTGCGTGCCCAAAGCTTTAATACACCCTCCAGAATATTTTCGCGATAATGTTCGGCATTTATTCTGATGCCATGGTCGATTAATATGAGTGGAAAGCGAGCATCGGCTGTTATGGCGGCCCACACCGTCACCATGTTCGGCGCTTGAGTTCTGGTGGCCAACCGAAGATGTACATTTTCAGCTGACATCTGACCTACAAACTGCTGGACAACAAATGTTTTCTCATCGGAGAAAACCAAATTCGAAAGTTCACCACTTTCGGCCAAGCGAAGGAACTGATTAGCTCTTTTGAGTCTTTTTTCTTTCTGTTGCGGTGTAAGTTCTTGCACTTTTTGGAATTTTAATGACTTTACCCCGAGCTCATTTTTCAATATTTGCCGAATGGAATTTTGCAATATGTTAAACTCACGAGCCATTTTTCGACCACTGCGACGCAGGTTTCCATCCAGTCGTTTCTTTACTTTTCGAACTATTTCTGCTTGACGTCGGGCTACGCTACCAGTATCACGGTAACGAGCGATGGTACGAGACACAAAAGATTTATTCACATTTAAATACTGGAGTGCTCTAACGATAGCCACTTGAGATTTTCCAGCCAAATATAAAGAAATCACGCTTGAATTCCATCACGAATAACTTTTTTCCGGGAAATTCTCACTAAAATCCTTTTGTACGCTTGTAAATAATATAATAAGTTGTCTCTGGAATAATTTTACAGTAGTCTGAAGTTGGTTGCAGTTTTTTCATCTCACCCTGTATATTTATTTTTAAACTAACGTATGTGGGGGTAGTACCAGAAAGGAATATTAAGGCTTATAGATTTAGAAAAAGATCGATGACTATTTCCACGTTTTATTACAGTTCGTATTATACTAAACAAATTAGGGGTATTATAAGTTTGATTGGGCAAAAAATTACGTAACACCTCGAAATATTGGTTTCCCACATAGGAAAGTATATACCTCACCGAGCTGAGTCAATCTAGCTATATATGTCCGTCCGTCCGTCTGTCCATGTTAATTTGTAATCAACCTACAGGTCGCAATTATAGCCCGATCATCACCATTCAACGCGGAAATTTACATAGAGATAGAGTTTAAGACTGAGCAGAAGCCTATAATCGGACAATACTAAGCGGGTAAAATAGACCCTAACCTTTATAAGAAAAAGAAAATTTCCATTTAACCGCGAATATTTTTAATCCCTGCCAAATCACAAATGCATTGAAAGGTCACTTCTGACCATTACAGTGATGCTTATAGCCCAGAAATCGGATATATAGCAGAATAGGTACAATATATATGTAAAAGAAGAGATCTTATTTATTCTGCTTATAAGCCAAGAACCGCTGGGCCGATTTTCACAATCCTCATCAATTCAGAATGGTCTCTTTACAGAAAAGGATAAAATCTAAGAAAATCGCGGAAAAATATAGCAATAAAAAAGTGATTTTTTTTTTGTTTCTGACTCCGGACAAATTGTAGTGTTGTAGGGTATTACATGGTCGCCCCCGCACGACTATAGCCTTTGCTTACTTGTTTAAACTTGACCTTAGTCTGATGGAAATTGCACTATGTTTTTGGAAATATTAATGTGTCACGTTAAGAGGAAAGTTGAGACTTTTTCAAATTTTAAGTCTTTGTGAAGTTAATGCTTCGAGGAGCTTACCTATGCTTTCCATTTCCACAATTCGCATACAAATTCGCATACAAATTACGGATGATCTCTTCTCTTCGTAGTGGGCCAATAATCGGACATTAATAAATATTCGAGAGTGGGCCCTCTATTGGCTGTATTCTGTAGAATGATTTGAATAAATTTCTCTCCCGAAAAGTCTTGCTTCAAAATATAATAAATCAAGACGTTTAGATTATGCCACAATTTTATCTCTCTTTTTCTCTGAGAGCATCACTCCAATTTCATAAAGAGATCAGAGACCATCACCTCTTTGAGCATCATTTCAATTTCATAAAGAGAATTTATTGTCCCATCCGACTCATCTACTTTTGTCTGCTCTGCCGTTCAAAGAGTGTGCGTGTGTGTGCGCCAAGCTACAATCAACGCTTTTCATTTTTAATTAAAAAATGAGAAGATTTTCATTTCAGACCATCACCGAAATTCGCAGACACAGTCTGTAAAATGTCACTCGAGCTCAAGTCAGTCAGTTAGTGAACGTGAGGCAATTCAAACGGTCGTCCAGCCGCTTGCAAACTGAACGGCCAGCCCCATTAAATTTCGGTTCTGATCAAAATTATTCCAACTCGCTGGGTTATCCCTGTTTTCTGCTTCTTCGTTTGTTGTGATTCAATTCTGGCATTAATTGGTTTCATTGTTACAATTAATTAGACTTGCACACAAGGCAGCCAGCTAGCTAGCTACGTACGTACGACGTAGCCTGAGCGTGTTGACGTAAAGCCAGTTTCAAAGTCATAATTTGCTAAATGGTCAAATCTCGTAGTCATTCAAATTTAATTGGCCTTAATAAAAACGGCGAGTTACAATTTCATTTGTGTGTGCAAAAAGAAAGCAGAAAGTGAGAAAAAGAGAAAGAGAAAATCATAATCACTGATACGACAAATTAAAAAAAAAAACAGTAGAATACAAAAAAAGTAACATGCCCCATCATGAAAGTTTGACAAGTGGCGAAATGACACAAAAACGTGACTTTCATGGCGTTGCATTACCCCAGGTCCATAGTCAGTCGTTGAGCTATGGCAGTCGTACATTTTCCACAACATCGGGTTCGCAAAGTTTCGGTTCGAAACCAAAACTGGGTTTGGGTGTCAACGCCCAGACCGGACGTCTTCAATGGTGTCCTGGATTTACATGTTGCAAACTTTTAATTATTATTCCAGTGATAATGCTGCCCATTACCTTGGTCCTGATTCTGCTGATGCGCATGGATGGCATGCTAATGGCCTTGCAGATGCATCAACATCATCGTCATGTTCATGGCAGGGGAGGATATCAGGATCAGGAACCGCCACTCTATTTGGAGGACTATGAGGGTGGTATGGACAACGATCCGTATCAGGATATGATCAGTGAACAGTTGTTAATACCGAGAGACAAAAAGGTGCGCCTCAGCGAGGAGGAACGAATAAAACGTTGCATATCCTTTCGTTTTGGTCTAAGTGAGGCCTTGGATTGGGAGGATAGAGACTTGATGAAGGATGCCCGAACCTCATTCTTACCCAGGGATACCACTGTTATACCGCGAGAATGTTTGGATAATTTCAACATCAATTCACACATAAATTACAATGATTTCGATTTGAATGCCCTGCTGGAGTCGTATGGACGTCGTAGAATACGCCGCGATAATTCCGAGCAAGATTATGAAGCACCCGCGGTGGAGGAGGAAAAAGAGCTGGAACCATTGATACCCGGTCCTGAATCTATTTCAGTTTTGAAATCCTTCTGGAATGACCAGACCACCAAGGAGAGCATGCGTGAGGTCCAGGCCAGGACTATGAAACTATATATGAATACCTCGGTGGATCCCTGTGATGATTTCTACCAATACGTATGTGGTAATTGGGAAAAACATCATCCGATTCCAAAGGATAAAGCCGGTTTCGACACGTTTGAAATGTTGAGAGAAAATCTGGATATTGTTCTCAAAGAGTTATTGGAATCCAAAGATTATGATGAAACTACACCCAAGAAAGTGGAACACATCGTGGCCAATACCTATGAACAGCTGCCGAATACCCAAGCAGATATTGTGAAACCGGTACAATCACAACATGCGGAAGAAACAGAAAAGGAGAAATTGGTACAGCGTTTGGTAGAGGAGCGCCACACGCTTGGTCAGCTACTCGAGCGTTACAAACGTGATTCAAGGATATTTACAAATACCAAGCGAAAGCGATTTACCTCCCATCAGAATATCTCCGAATCATTGTTTGCGTATTCCTCGTATAGACAAAAAACAGGTTTTACAGCTCCCCCATCCTTGGTGACATTCCAGCCCACCTCGATGCCTGAACACAGTAGCTCACATGATGCCCACATGAAAGCCAGGCAGCTGTATCAATCATGTACCAACATTAAACTGCTTGAAGAACGGGGAGTGCAACCTCTACTAGATCTGGTACAGAGCCTTGGAGGCTGGCCGGTATTGGATCCAAACTGGAGCCCGGATAATTTCGATTGGCTCAATCTCACTGCCCATTTGCGTCGCTATAACAATGACATCCTCATTGTCCAATGGGTCGGTCCTGATATCAAGAATTCCGATGAGAACATCATACAGTTTGATCAAACAAACCTGGGTCTGCCCACCCGGGACTATTATCTGCAAGATGTTAATGCCAAATATTTAAATGCATATCAACGTTTCATGGCGGATGTCATGAATAAATTGGGCGCCGATAAGGAAGAGGCCACAAAGACCGCTGCAGATTTAATAAGTTTCGAAACCCAATTGGCCTCTATTACAGCTCCAGCCGAAAAGCGGCTAAATGTTACCAAACTCTACAAACGTATGACACTCAGTGATCTGCACGCCCTTATACCCCAGATTGATTGGTTGCGGTACCTAACCATACTGCAACAGCGTAATGTTCAAGACTCCGAGGAGGTTGTCATCTATGCCACGGAATATATGCAGGATCTGGTCAACCTTCTGGATCGCACAGATCCCCATATAATTGCCAATTATTTGCTTTGGCGTTTTGTCCGACACCGCATCAATAATGTCGATGATCGCTTCGATGATACCAAACAAACTTTCTATCACACGCTTTTCGGGCGGGAAGAGACTCCCTCACGCTGGAAGGTATGCATCTCACAGGTGAACACCAACATGGGCATGGCACTGGGTTCCATGTTTGTACGCAAATACTTCGATGAAAACAGCAAAAAGGATACCCTCAAAATGACTCATGAACTGCAGCAGGCTTTCCGTGAAATACTCAAAACCACGGATTGGCTGGATCCCCAAACCAAACTATTGGCCGAACAGAAAGTCAATGCCATGTCCCTAAAAATTGGCTACCCTGACTTCATACTCAACACCGTGGAGCTGAATGAAAAATATGCCGGCATTGAAATCGATCCGAGTAAATACTTTGAAAACACACTAAATGTCCTGCTGCACACAACGCGAACCGAGCAGAATAAACTCCATGAGCCGGTTAACAAAACCACCTGGCAAACGGCACCGGCCATTGTCAATGCCTATTATAGCCGTAATAAAAATCAAATTATGTTTCCCGCCGGTATTTTACAACCGCCATTTTATCATCGCCACTTTCCCAGATCATTAAACTTTGGCGGCATTGGAGTGGTCATCGGCCACGAACTGACACATGGTTTTGATGACAAGGGACGGCTGTTCGACCGCAACGGCAGTATTCACAAATGGTGGACAGATTTGTCGATTAAAGGGTTCGATGAACGTGCTCGCTGTATTATATCGCAGTATGGCAACTATACCGTCAATGAAGTTGGCATTGCATTGAATGGAGAAAGTACACAAGGTAAGTGAAAAACTCCACTTAGTCTCAATTTAAAACAACAGATGGTTGGGATAACAATCTCTAGGAGAGAAGTTGATACGGCCAAGGACTCCTACGGCATTTAGACTCCTTACCTCGTTTTATTCGGCCGGACTTAATTTTTATATCCTAAACCACATAGTTGTAAGGGTGTTATGTCTTGGTGCATTTGTGTGTAACATGGCGAAGGAATAGTTACTTCTGATAATATTCATAGAATCACTGTCTGAGTCGATTTATGCATGTCTGTCCGTATGTCTGCCTGTCCAGGTATTTTTGTAAACAGGTCGAATTTATTATCCGATTGAGATGAAATTTTCGTTTTGTTTGGCCAAAGAACGAACCCTATTGAAGTTGGTGAGAATCGGTTCAAATTTAGATCTAGCTCCCATATATATCTTCAACCGATTTCCGGTTAATTGGATTATAGCTCTCATATATATATTTCATCCTTCCATATAAATATTCATTCGATTTTACGGTTATTGTCCACCACACAGGGTGAGATGAAAAAACTGCTGTCATTCCTATGCCACTCGTCCTACAGCTGTTGAAATTAGTCCAGTGACAGCTCATTATATTGTATACAAGCGTACAAAAAGCATTTTGGTAAGAATTTTCCAAAAGTTGCTTCGCTTGGCCGAAAATGGTGAACTGCCAGATTTGGGTTTCTCCGATGAGAAAACATTCGTTGTCCAGCAGTTTGTAAACAAACAAAATGATCGTGTTTACTTGTCAAAGAAGTCAGCTGAATATGTGCACCTGTTGGCCACCAGAACACAAGCGCTTGCCATGGTGATGGAGTGGGCCGCTTACATTCTTGCTTACATTCAATTAAATTAAAAAAAAAAATATTTCGTTTGACTTTGTTGCATTTTTTTTTTCATCTCACCCTGTATAATTATAGCTTGTATGATTTAATTCTTACAAATTCCCCATAAGAACTTTTATTATACCCTCCACCTTGGAAAGGAGGGTATATTAACTTTGTCATTCCGTTTGTAACATCCTTAAATATTCGTCTTAGACCCCATAAAGTATATATATTCATAATCAGCATAAAATTCTAAGTCGATTTAACGATGTCCGTCTGTCTGTCCGTCTGTCTATCTGTCTGTTGACATTGTGTCTAGGATGGTTGGTATTGAAAATGAGATATATCGGTCCACGTTCTGAGACAGTCCCCATATAACGGTACCTCCCGATATTCTGTATTTTGATGGTTTTTGCCACATTTTTCACTGATTTGTCTAAAAATTGGTATTTGTGGGTCATAATGGGTCCTAGTTCGTGTCGCGAAACATTGTAATTATAGGTCCATGTTTTGGTGTAGCCCCCATATAACGGTACCTCCCGATATTCGGCATTTTAATGGTTTGTGCCACATTTCTTCTAATGTTTCTTTTACCCTAAGGTGGAGGGTATTAAAAGTTTGGCCCGGCCGAACTTACTGTTTTTTACTTGTTTTTTATTTGAAGCTCTACTAAATATGCAAATTCTTATCCGTCTGTGGAAATCACTCTAGCTTCCGAACGAAATGAAGTAGGTTGATAAAATTTTACTAAAATGTATATTATGTCGGCAGGACTTTTGGTATACAAAATGGGTCATGTAGGTCCACGTTTTGGTATAGCCCCCATACCTCCCGATATTCGGTATTTTGATGATTTTAGCAACATTATTCACCGGAATGGCTTCAAATTTGGTATTTGAAGTTCGTAATGGATACTACAGCCTATGACAGAAAATGGTCCGTGCAGGTCCACGTTTTCGTATAGCCCACATATAACGGTACACCCCGATATTCGGTACGTTTATGATTTTAGCGACATTTTTCTCCGAAATTGCTATAAATTTGCTATTTGAAGTTCGTAATAAATACTAAAGCCTATGACTGAGAATTGTCTGTGCATATGCCCCCATATAGCGGTACCTCCCGATATTCGGTATTTTGACGATTTTAGCGACATTATTCATAGGAATTGTTTCAAATTTGGTATTTGAAGTTCGTAATGCATACTACAGCCTATGACAGAAAATTGTTTGTGCAGGTTGACGTCTTCGTATAGCGCCCATATAACGGTACCTCCGATATTCGGTATTTTAACGATTTTAGCGACATTATTCACCGTAAATGTTTCAAATGTGGTATTTGAAGTTCGTAATTGATACTACAGCCTATGACAGAAACTTGTATGTGCAGGTCCATGTTTTAGTACAGCCCCCATATAATAGTACCTCCTTATATTCGGTTTGATGATTTTAGCTACATTATTCACCGATTTTTTTTCAAGTTTTGCATTTGAATATTGTAATAGTTTATGATAAAAGTTGCCTGTGCAGATCCACGTCGTCGTATAGACCCTAATATAACAGCTACATTCGATGTTTTTAATATTTTATCATAATTTTTAACGGATCTTATTTTTTTTGAAATTTGTCAAATTCGTTCCATATGGTGGAGAGTGTTCAAAGTTCGGCCCGGTCGAACTTACAGGTTTTTTACTTTTTGTACCCTCATTTATTCGGTAAATGAAATAGTTCGCCAAAGTTACCATATTTCAAGTAACTAACATAGGTCCTCTATTTAGACGTAAACCCGGAATTTGACACTGTTTAATTTTCAGATTTGTAATCATATTTTTTCTTTCTTCCAGGTGAAAATATAGCCGACAATGGTGGCATCCGCCAGGCATTCCATGCCTACAAAAAATGGCTGCACGACAATCCGAAAGAAGCTAAAGATGAATATTTACCCGGCATTGATATGACGGGAGAGCAATTGTTTTTCCTGAATTTCGGTCAAGTATGGTGTGGTGCCATGCGACCAGAAGCTGTGCGCAATAAACTCAATACAGCCATCCATAGTCCTGGTAGATTTAGAGTAATAGGAACATTATCCAATTCCAAAGATTTTGCCAAAGAGTTCAACTGTCCGTTGGGTTCACCGATGAATCCGCTCAACAAATGTAGTGTGTGGTAGAGAGGAGATAAAATACAAAAAGCACAATTTCGAAGTCATCCATCAGGTAAGAATGGAAATGTCTAGTAACTAACACACATACACAGCAAATGAAAACTGTTTTCCTAAAGCATTTGAAGCATCTATCAAAAACTCAAAACCAAAGACGAGGAGGAGTGTCCATCCGAACGAATATTTCAACTAGCCTTTAAATTTAAAACAAACCCCATTTTGTTCTGCATCTCGGCATCATATCCACTTACAACACAATACGAGCTCTAATTGTCATAGGACTTCAGTTGTTGCTGCTGTTCTGAGTGGAAATTGAAGTGTTTGGCTCATGTTGTTGGACTGCCGAGGTTGAATTTTCATTTAAATTGTCAATTTAAATTGGTTGCTGTCTACTGCCTTTGCTGCTGATGCTTGACGAGGAGGCAGCAACGATGATGGCGATGATGACAGCAATGCTGTTGATGTCTACTAAGTTCTCATTCGACCGCATACAGAAATGGAAAAAAATAAATCTCAATATGTAAGTATGCGTGTATAGGTGTCATCCATACGAGGGGTGTATGATAATTATGTAACTGTAAATGTGATGTTTCTGTATTAAGAGCAACACTCCCATTTATTGTAAGACTCATATTTTAATATAGTTTGCTGCTTGCAGTGACAACTTTTTGTACTCTATGGTCAGGCATCCATAACCATCATTAATAAACCGAATTGTATGGTGACCCCTTTTCTGCATTGTCGCTCCATGCCTAACCCATTAATGTAATGGAGTTGCGTTTCTTATTAATCTATTCATTCATCAATTAAGTCCCCCCTATCTGCAGTGACTCTCAATTAGACTGCGTTCTGTTGGTGCGTGCTATCATTTGTCACTGTTTTAAGACTCTTGAATCCGTAACAAGTTACCATGAGAGCATTTCAATTTCAATAACATGCATGAGGATGTTCTCTAATACACTAAAGATTCAACTACAGAAATTGTCTCGAATCCCAAAGTAATGACTGAAATCAAAAAAATAAGGAAATATTAAGAAAGACTAATAAATAACAAAATTAAATAAAAAACAAGTAAGCAAAGGCTACAGTCGAGCGGGGCCGACCGTTGAATACCCTACAACACTATAATAAACGATACAGTTTATATAGGCGAGATACTCGAAAGAATTCCACAAGATATTGTGACAAATAATAAAAGAAAACCATCAGGTTTCGTTCTCTAATGTTCAAATAATAGCAACTTAAATTAATTTGCTCATTTCCAATTTATTGGTAGATGTTGCACTTAAATGGTCTTCCTAGATCTGGAACCAACACTTCCCAAAGACCTATAATCCCTCAGACGTGGCAAAAGATTAACATTTATTATTGGTTTTTGGCTGAAACGCAACGAAATCAGCGTTAACGAAATAGTCAGAAGTGCGTCTTTCCTGTATTTATTTGTGAATTCTCCAAAAAGTCACCGGAATGGACATTTTCGTATTTTGTCTACAAAAGTTGGCAAACTATTTCACACATTGAATATTTTTGGGATGACCATCCAAAACTGCTTGGCTTTTGCAATGTCCGGTAACCCCCATCCAAATGTGCGTGAGGATCGGGCAATAATTACGACCTGTTGACAAATTTTGCAGTTTTTTGGTCCATTTCAACCCCTAAATATATGGCGATCATCTCCAAAAAGAGTAGGCTTCTATTCTGACCCTCATCTTATCCCCATGCAAAATTTCGTAAGGATCGGGCCATAAATGCGATCTGTATATGATATCCTGATATCCTAACTACTTAGTTTTGTTAGCTGTAGAAATATTACCAAATGTTTAATTCAAAATGAAAATATGCCAAAAATATGACAAAATTGAAAAAATATGAGAAAATTTTACAGAATCAATTTTTCATCTATAGAGAGATATTTTTATGAGATTTTTTTATACGTTTTTTCTTTCCTGCCAAGAGGCCATTCTGAATTAATGAGAACTGTCGAAATCAATTCAGCCGTTCTCGACATATAAGAGATCTTTCAAGCATATCCTCTTTGATAGACATATATATCGCACATATTTTGCTATATATCCGATTTGTTGGATGTTAACATCAATGTAAAGATCAGAAGTAGCCTTGTCATGGCTTTGTGATATAGCCGGGATTTCAAATATTCGCGGTTTAATGAAAAATTTTGAATTCTTTCAACACAAAAGATATGGTCTATTTTACCCTCTAAATATTATCCGATGACCACCCAAATTTGTAGGTTTCTTCCCCGCCCTAAACTCTAGCTACATGCGAAATTCCGCGTCGATTGGTCTATAATTGCGACCTGTATAGCTACTGCAAAATCCGACATTTTTTCAGTATTTGGTCCATTTCAACCCCAAAACATTTGGCGATCATCTCCAAAAGAAATAGGGTTCTATTCTGACCTCAACCTCACCTACATTCTAAATTTCGTGAAGATCGGGCCATAATTGCGACCTGTAGAGTGATTACAAATTAACATGGACAGACGGACAGACGTACGGACGGACATACATAGCTAGATCGACTCAGCTCGGCGAGCTAGGAAGATCCATATATACTTTCCTATGTGGGAAACCAATATTTCGAGGTGTTACATAATTTTTGGCCCAATCAAACTTATAATACCCCCAACACATAGTGTTGTAGGGTATAACAAAATAAATAATCGCTCAACCAACAACATATCGTATATTACACTGTGCGACAGAATTCACTTTTTCAGTAATTACAGAAAAAAAACAGTAAATTATAAAAGAAGAGCTAAAAATAAAAGCTACGTGTATCGGCGTTTGAAAGATTATAAAGCAGTAATTAAATAAGTGACTGACTGAGAATCAAAGCCCAAACGAAACGGCTGAAGCTAGAATCTTAAAAGTCGTGGTGCGTATGTGTTTGATAAGTCTGCGGTTTTCTTGGGGAAATTCATACTAAAAGGATACGAAAAGTACTAAAATATAGTAAAAAGAAGAAAACAGCAACATCATCAGAAATGGTTTGAAAAGTAAAGAAACGACTTGATGGAAACCCACGTCGCAGTGGCCGAAAAATGGCTCGTGAACTGAACTTATCGCAATATTACATTCGGCAAATATTGAAAAATGAGTTCGAGGTAAAGCCATTGAATTTCCAAAAATTGCAAGAGCTTACACCGTAACAGAAAGAAAATAGACTCAAAAGAGCTAAAGAGTTGCTTCGCTTGGCCGAAAAAGGTGAACTGGGTTTCTCCGATGAGAAAACATTAGCTGTCCCGCAGTTTGTAAACAAACAAAATGATCGTGTTTACTTACCAAAGAGGTCAGCTGAAAATGTGCTCCAGTTGTTCGGTTGGCCACCAGAACTCAAGCGCCGTCCATGGTGATGGTGTGGGCCGCCATTGCAGCCGATGGTCGCTCTCCGCTCGTATTAATCGACCGTGGTATCAGAATAAATGCCGAATATTATCGCGAAAATATTCTGGAGGGTGAAGTCGAGGGGTTTTACATGATTATCGCCTTGACGGCTTCAACCATGATGCACCATTGCACAGGGGTCGCGATACGATGCGTCGGCCAGCGCCCCTTTGGAATTACCCAGAGTTCTCTTAGAGAGTGGTAGCCCTCCACGGAGTTCTAGGTCTATCCCGCAGGTAATATTCTGGAGGGTGTATTAAAGCCTTGGGCAAGCAAACATTTTGGCCGCAGACCTTGGACATTCCAACAGGACTCTGCAGCATCGCACTCAGCACCAGCCACCCAAGAATGGTTACAAAATGAGGTTCATCGCTTCATTTTCAAAATCTCCAGATACCAATCCGATGGACTATTGTGTCTGGAGTATTTTGGAATGCAAGGTTGGCACTTAAAAATACCAAAGTGTCGATCAGCTCAAGCAAGCGCTTCGCCGGGAATAGGCCAAAATACCACAGAGCAACATTCGGGCAGCGTGTGACGACCGTTTGAAGGCCATAATTCGTGCCAAAGGTGACCAATTCGAATTTATCTAAACTTATTCTAAAATTTGATGCTGTTTCCGACATTTTTTTGCTTTAATTCAATAAAATTAAAAAAAAAAAAACAAGTAAAAAAATTGTAAGTTGGGTCGGGCCGAATTTTGAAAATCCTCCGTACGAATTTGGCAATTTTCAAAAAATTAAAATCCATTAAAAAATCTGTTAAAATCTTAAAAATACCTAATGTAGCCATATATTAGGGTCAATGGTCTATGACGTGGACCTGCATACGCAACTGTTGTCATAAGCCTGCAGAGACAACTTCCTGGCATATGCTGTAGTATCCATTGCGAAATTCCGGTAATAATGTCGCTAAAATCATCAAAATACCGTATATCGGGGGTACCGTTATATGGGGGCTATACGAAGACGTGGATCTGCACGGACAATTTTCTGTCACAGGATGTAATATCCATTACGAACTTCAAAATACTAAATTTAAAATAGTTCCGGTAAATAATGTCGCTAAAATCATTGTGGACCTGCACAGACAATTTTCTGTCACAGGCTGTAGTATTCATTATGAACACAAATACTAAATTTGAAATAGTGCCGGTAAATAATATCGCTAAAATCATCAAAATACCGGAAAAAAATACCGCATATCGGGAGGTAACATTATATGGGGGCTATACGAAGATGACGGATAGACGGCCAGACGGACATACGGGCGGACTTTGTATATTTCGAGGTGTAACAAACGGAATGACAAACTTAATATACCCTCCATACTATGGTGGAGGGTATAAAAATGTAAAATTATGGCGTTTGACTTTTTTTTTATCTCGCCCTGTGTAAATATTAGTTCCACCCTATTTCAAAATTCAACAGATTTAAAATACGCATAACGACCATTTTCAATATAAAAGATAATTTTTATTGTAATTTTCTTGTAATGATTATTAAATATTAAATTGTCCCTTTTTCTTTCAGATTTTTCCAATAATTAAATAAAAAATTATATCAACATTACCTCTTCATAAATCTGAGTAATATGCATTTTTCGATGTTTCCCACGGACACTCTACCAATACAAAAACAAACCAGTAAAATGTGCCACAAAATGTATTATACAAATACAAATCTAGTTTTAATACAAATATTAGTTCATATTTAATTTCCCTACCTTAGAATAATTCTGAATACAAAAACAACAATATTGATATCTTGTAATTTAGGAAATTTTTACATTGAAATACATGTTATGTATGTAATATTCAAGTATTTTACACAATAAATATACATAAAATACATATTTTATATTTTATAAGATTTAGATGTTAATTTTTTTATTGTGATAATTTTTAAATAAATGCCAAATATAAACAAAAAAACGTCGACGCCTTTTCAATAGGCTTTAACAAAACTTTCACATTTTGAGAAAAAAAGAAAAGCTTTTTTCTTCCTTAGGCACTGGAAAATTGGTCTTCTACTCAAAATTCATCTGTTGAGATCAGTCAATATCGAACTCTCCATTCATGCATTTCTGTGTGGAACGAACGCGAAACACGGAAAATTTTGTTTACGGCGAGCATTGCATGGGACGCGTTGACACGTTGTTGTGATATTTGTTTGTGTTTTCCCACTGTCGGCAAAGCTAAAAATAGTTTTTTTTTATTTAGAAAACATTTAAAAACGGAGACTGTGAAATGCTTTAAAAAACTAACACATATTTGTTGTTATTGTGGAAAAATGTTTCGGGAATTCGTGTTTTTAGTGTTATTAACAATTTTATTTGTTTTATATCCGATTAAAGGACAACGAGATAATTACAATTATGGTGGTGTAGCATTGCAGCCCGGTGGCCGTATACCCATTGGTAAGAATATTTGTATCTGTCAGGGAAGTGCTTATGTTATACTTAAAATGAACGAATCTACATGTATACTGACTTTTAAAATTAGCAAATTTTGTTTTGGCGATTTTGTTAAGAAGGCGATTAAAGAATATAGGAAAATGTAATTACAATTATCCCCCAGTCTTAAGACAACACAGGACATATAACATTTCATACTGCCAACTTGTGCCTCATGGCTTTTAGACCCTATGTTTCTTTGGACAAAACACATCTAAGGATGGAGTCGATCTAGCTATGTTCTTTCGGTCGTCTAGCTGGGTGGTGGTGACTCTTAAAGCGAGCCTCCGATTTGATTATTTTTAATGAAACTTAGATCGAATTCGAAGTAGGACAATATACTTCCACAGCTTCCACCATACCACACCCTTAAAAATATATATTTAATTATACCCTACACCACATAGTAGTAAGGCTATTATGTCTTTGTGCATTTGTTTGTAACATAGAGAAGGAAGCGAGATAGACCCATTATAACTTTTGAGGATCTTTATAGAATCACTTTTTGAGTGGATTTATGCATGCCAGTCCGTCCGTCAGTCTGTCCATGTATTTTTGTGAACAAAATGCAGGTCCATTTATTATCCGATTGAGATGGAATTTTCCGAATAATATTTGTTTGGCCCAAGGACAAAGACAAATGTTGAAAATCTGTTCTAATTTAGATATACAGGGTGAGATAAAAAACTTCCACAAAGTCAAACGCCATAATTTTTACATTTTTTTTTAAATCTTTTGAATAAAAGCAAAAAATGTCGGAAATAGCAGCAAATTTTAGAATAAGTATAGATTTGTTCGAATTGGTCACCTTTGGCTCGAATTATGGCATTCGAACGGCCAATGAAACCGTCACACGCTGCCCGTATGTTTCTCTGCGGTGATCGACACTTTGGTATTTTTTAGTGCCAACCTTGTTTTCCAAAATACTCCAGACGCAATAGTCCAACGGATTGCTATCCGGAGATTTAGCTGGAAATGATGCAAGGAACCTTATTTTGTAACCATAAGGTTCTGAGTGCGAAGGTGCTGAGTCCTGTTGGAATGTCCAAGGTCTGCGGCCAAAATGTTTGTGTGCCCAAGGCTTTAATACACCCTCCAGAATATTTTCGCGATAATATTCCGAATTTATTCAAATGCCACGGTCGATTAATATGAGCGGAGAGCTACCATCGGCTGTTATGGCGGCCCACACCATCACCATGGCCGGCGCTTGAGTTCTGGTGGCCAACCGAAGGTGCACATTTTAAGCTGACCTATCTGGCAAGTAAACACGATCATTTCGTTTGTCTACAAACTGCTGGACAACGAATGTTTAGCTCTTTGAGTCCATTTTCTTTCTGTTGCGTTGAAAGTTCTTGCACTTTTTGGAATTTCAATGGCTTTATCCCGAGCTCATTTTTCAATATTGGGCGAATGGAATATTGCAATATGTTCAGCTCACGAGCTCACAGCTCGGCCACTGCGACGCGGGTCTTCTTTACTTTTCGAACCATTACTGCTGATGTTGCTGTTTTCCTCCGTTCACTTCCTCGAGATTGGGCTACGCTAACAGTATCACGGTAAAGAGCGATAGTACGAGACACAAAAAATTTGTTCACATTTAAATGCTGGAGTGCTCTAACGATAGCCGCTTGTGGTTTTCCAGCCAAATATCAAAATCACACTATCGCGCTTGGATTCCATCACGAATAACTTTTTTTCTGGAAAATTCTCACCAAAATGCTTTTGTAAGCTTGTAAACAATATAATGAGCTGTCACTGGAATAATTTTAACATATGTCGGACCAGTGGCTTAGAAATGACAGCAGTCTAAAGTTGGTTGTAGTTTTTTCATCTCACACAGGTTTTCGTATAGCCCTACTTGTCATTCACTATTAAAAATTTAGCTGCTTCACTGTCATTGATTGGATTTTTACCTCATTCTTCATCAGATCGGCGCCCTGTGTTCGCCTTACTACCTCTTCAAATCTTCACAGTAAACAAAAAAATTACAAAGGTTTTTTATAAACGAAAAGGTATGATATTTTTATGGACTTAGTATTTGGCATAAAAACACATTTAATTTTTTCAGAATCTCTCGAAATATTTGATTCAGATTTGTTTCCTATGAGAAATATTTTAAATATTATTATTAATTTATTATTTGCTCTACATAAAAAAATCGCAATCACGTTTTGGCTAGGGCTCCACTTCATTTTAGGTATTTTAAAGACTCCTTCCAAGTATATGTAGTTTTAAGGAGGTTTTATTTACAATTGCTATTTCGACTCCTCCATACATATTTAACATCACAGCATAATGTGTTCGATACAGTTCCGTTCAGGTCACTTCATATTGAACACCTTCTATTACCAATATGTTCTTTTCGACTTCTCAAAGAATATTCAACAGTATAGCTAAAACTATTCCATACAGGTCTAGATACGTTAAAACCACCATAATACTGTGCCAAAAGACAACAAATTTAGACCCGACCGAACATAATTCCTTTTTACAATTTTTTGTATGGAAACACCATTTTTCCGACTTACCTCTTTCCATTATTAAGGTCTCATTACGGATCTCAATTCGGAAGTATTACGTTACACCTTTGAGAATGCCACAAATATTATCAATGCCGAGTTGACAACACAATTGGAAGTTCGCCATGCCGAAATAAATTATGGTAATTCAATGCAAGGTGTTGATCGTCTGTGTCGTATGATGGAGGTAAGTTAGACCTCTTTTTAAACTCATCAGGGACTAATATGAAAATGGGCATATTTTATAGGGTGGCATTGGTGGTGTGTTTGGTCCTTCGGCCCTATCAACTGGTTTGCATTTAATGAACGTGTGTGACAGCAAAGATGTTCCCTACATCCTATCGCATATGAGTGAGGCAAATGAAGGTTTCAATCTACATCCACATCCGGCGGATATTGCCCAAGCTTTACATGCTGTCATATCGGCATTTGAGTGGAGTCGTTATATTTTTCTCTATGAGAACGGTGAGAGACTTTAGTAAAAAGTGAGAGTTAAACATTTCTTAATATTCTCTTATGTCAGCTGCCTACCTCAGCATTTTAAATGCCCTAATGGAAATCTATGGCAGCAATGGTCCGGTTATATCGGTTCTGCGTTACGATTTAAATTTAAATGGTAATTATAAATCGGTTTTGAGACGAGTACGAAAATCTGTGGACAGTCGCTTGGTGGTGGTGGGTTCCTCCCAATCGGTGGCAGAGGTTTTAAAACAGGTAAAATTAGAACTTCGAAGTATTTTTTTTTTTTTTAATTTATATTCACTTAACTTGTTCTAGGCCCAACAAGTTGGTATCATGAATGAAGACTATACCTATATTATTGGTAACCTGGATTTTCACACCTTCGATTTGGAAGAATACAAATACAGTGATGCAAATATAACGGGATTTCGTATGTTTTCGGCCGAAAAGCCTGAAGTTCAAAATCTAATGCGTGAAATGGGCTATTTACAAAAGATGTCAGACGATGAACGTTACAATGAGATCGATCGAATCGAGTCGACAGAAATTGATCCAGATGATATAGAATTGCAAGATCGTATTCGTCTCAGGGAAATTGATAATGAAATAATAAGAAATGGTAAGGAAATCGTTAGCGGATGAAGATTTTAAATTGGAAAGTTTTGTTAAAATTTAGGTTCCTGTCCCATAACCCTGGAAATGGCATTACTTTATGATGCTGTTATTGCCTTTGCTGAGACCACCAAAAATATGCAATATATTCCCCAGCCACTTGATTGTAAACTGGAAGCGGATAATGTACAGGAGGATGGTTCAACATTCAAAAATTACATGCGATCGGTAAGACGTAGAATCTAAACATTGAGAAATCCCCTCACCAATATTTCAAGATCCAAGAATTATGAATGCAGACTTTGCTTTGCAGAATTTGGCCATTTTTATTACCCCAATGGGGCAACTTCCATACATCCTTTCATTTTGGGCCCTTTCAAACTAAAAATGGCCCTCGTCCCATGTTTTAGATTTCTAATTCGACTCCTTAACTTAAGTTCTTTAGTCCCAAAAATCAAGCTTTTTGAGATCGGTCTTATTTTCTTTTTTATATTTTAGCTGGATTTTGAGAGAAACACCCTTACGGGACGAATATTCTTTGATGGTTTCCGAAGAAAGGGCTATAAATTGGATGTTATAGAACTGCAACCAACCGGCCTGGTAAAGGTGGGCGTTTGGGAAGAAAATAAAAATTTCACTTTCGAAAGACCGCCACAACAAAGACAGACCATTTTGCTTGATGATAACTCGATGGTGAATAAAACCTATGTGGTTTTGATATCAGTACCGGTAAGTTGCAATATTGCAAATTTTAATGATTCGTCCCAACTTGATATTTAAAATTCAATAGAATCCTCCCTACGCCAGCTTGGTGGAATCACACAAAAAGTTAAATGGCAACAACATGTATCAGGGATATGGCGTGGATTTAATCAAGGAATTGGCAGAGATTTTAGGTTTTAATTTCACGCTGAGAAATGGTGGTTCGGACTATGGCTCATTTAATAAGACCACAAATACAACAACGGGAATGTTGAAACAAATTATCGATGGGGTAAGAGAGCAATTAAAATGGAAATATTTTCGGAATTTATACACGCATACATATTTTTTGTTTACAGGAAGCTGATTTGGCCATTACTGATTTGACAATTACATCTGAGCGGGAAGAGGTTGTCGATTTTACAATACCATTTATGAATACTGGTAATTTTTTTTTAAATATTTTATATTTTTAATTAAGTTTGATTAGTCCAAGAAGTTTGTAGCACCTCGAAGTCCCACCATGCTATGTATCGATCTTCCCCTCTCGCTCGGTCAGGGTCAGGTTAGAATTAGGTTAGGGACAGAATAGAAGTCTATTTTTGGAGATGTTGGCAGAATGTTAAATGGTTGAAATAGACCAAAATTTTTTCTTGATATTACAGTTACGCCATACAGGATGCGTTAAAATAAACTGCAACAAGATCAGTCGCCATAAAATTTACATTTTTTTTTTAAATTTTATCGAATGAAAGCAAAAAAATTATGGCTTTCAAACGGCCAATGAAACCGTCACAAGCCTATTCCCGGCGAAGCGCTTGCTTGAGGTGATCGACACTTTGGTATTTTTTTGGGGCAAACCTTGCTTGCCAAAATACTCCAGACACAATAGTTCAACGGATTGGTATCCGGAGATTTTGGGGGTCATTGTGCGCTGGAAACGAAGCGAGGAACCTCATTTTGTAACCAATCTTAGGTCTGCTTATAAAATGTTTGCGTGCCCAAGGCTTTAATACACCCTCCAGAATATTTTCGCGATACTAGCGGAGAGCGACCATCGGCTGTTATGGCGGCGCACACCATCACCATGGCTGGCGCTTGAATTTTGGTGGCCAACCGTAGTACATTTTCAGCTGACCTCTTTGGCAACTAAACACGATAATTTCATTTGTTTACAAACTGCTGGACAACGAATGTTTTCTCATCGAAGAAAACCAAATTCGGCAGTTCACCACCTTCGGCCAAGCGAAACAACTCTCTAGCTCTTTTGAGTCTATTTTATTTCTGTTGCGGTGTAAGTTCTTGGACTTTTTGGAATTTCAATGACTTTACCCCGAGCTAATATTTCAATATTTCCCGAATGGAATATAGCGATATGTTAACGGTACCTCCCGATACTCGGTATTTTGATGATTTTTTCCACATTTTTTCATGGATTTGTCTAAAAATTTGTATTTGCAGTTCGTAATGGGTTCTAGCTCCGATGGTGGAACATAGTATATATAGGTCTACGCTTTGGTATAGCCCCCACACAACGGTATACCTCCCGATATTCGGTTGTCTAACAATTGGTATTTGTAGTTCATAATGGGTTCTACCTCCGGTAGCAGAACATTGAATTGTTAGGTCCACGCTTTCCTATAGCGGACGTACAACGTATTTATTTTTTTGATAATCCTAATCACATTTACCCACGAAATTTTTTGTGTCAAATTTGGTATTTAAGAAGATTTGGTAGATGGCAATCCTTGAGGTATAAACTTGTCTACAGAGGTTCCGGGTCTGATGTGGACCCCATATAACGGCCTCACTCACTTTATGGTTTTTTGAATCCAAACTGGAGGAAGTTATTAAAAGTTCGGCCCGGTCGAACTTAATGTTTTTTACTTGTGTCTCTATCAATTTGTTTTCATATTCTGATATTTGTCTTGTTTTCATTAACAGGCATTGCAATTTTATATTTAAAACCCCAGAAAAGCGAACCGACCACCTTCTCTTTCATGGACCCCTTTTCAAAACAAGTTTGGAAATATTTGGGCATATCATTCCTATCGGTTTCCCTGTGTTTCTTTATATTGGGTCGCCTCTCACCCACAGAGTGGGATAATCCTTATCCGTGCATAGAAGAACCCGAAGAATTGGAAAATCAATTTACCATCAACAGTGCTCTGTGGTTTACAACCGGTGCCTTTTTGCAGCAGGGCTCGGAAATCGCACCCAAGTGAGTTAATTACAAAAATCTTAATGCGTAAATATGAATTCGTTCTTTTTTTCTGCAGAGCTCTCTCCACCCGTACCGTAGCTGCTATCTGGTGTTTCTTTACCCTTATTATCGTATCTTCATACACGGCTAATTTAGCCGCTTTCTTGACCATTGAAAACCCAACTACCGTTTTGGAAAATGTCAAAGATTTGGCTGAGAATAAGGGCGGTGTGCAGTATGGTGCCAAAAAGAATGGTGCAACACGGAATTTCTTTGCGGTGAGTTTAAAGGAGCATGCGAATATTTATTGATGCTGTGTATAGCTATATATTAAGATAAATGACTTTATGCCTACTAAAAACTGTACATACCAAATATATTTGTCAATTCGACAGGAAAATGTAAAAAAAAATTTGAAAAATCGACGCTGAAATTCTTTCCAATTTTTTTTTTTTTTTTTTTTTTTTGATTTTTACTAAAAAAATTGTTTCCAATGAAGTAGGTTGATTATGTTTTATTCAGATGTGTGTTAGGTGTGAAGGAATTCCGGTATTGAAAATTGGATAGATCCATGTTTTAGTATAGCCCCCATACACAGGGTGAGATAAAAAAACTGCAACCAACTTTTCAGACTGCTGTCATTTCTAAGCCACTCGTCCGACAGCTGTTAAAATTTTTTCCAGTGACAGCCCATTATATTTTGGTAAGAATTTTCCAGAATAAAGTTATTGCGTGAGAGTTTGATTTCTTTATATTTGGCTGGAAAACCATAAGTGGATATCGTTAGAGCACTCCAGCATTTAAATGTGCAAAAATCTTTTGTGTCTCGTACCATCGCTCGTTACCGTGATACTGGTAGCGTAGCCCGACGTGAAGGAAGTGGACGGAAGAAAACAACAACAGAAATGGTTTGAAAAGTAATGAAGCGACTTGATCGAAACACGAACATATCGCGATATTCCATTCGTCAAAATGGGCTCGGGGTAAAGCCATTGAAATTCCAAAAAGTGCAAGAACTTACACCGCATCAGAAATAAAATTGATTCAAAAGAGCCAAAGAATTGCTTCGCTTGGCCGAAAGTGGTGAACTGCCGAATTTGGTTTTCTCCGAAGAGAAAACATTCGTTGTCCAGCAGTTTGTAAACAAACAAAATGATCGTGTTTACTTGCCAAAGAGGTCAGCAGAAAATGCGCACCGGTTGTTCGGTTGACCACCAGAACTCAAGCGCCAGCCATGGTGATGGTGTGGGCCACCATAACAGCCGATGGTCGCACTTCGCTCGGATTAGTCGACAATGGCATCAGAATAAATACCGAATATTGTAGCGAAAATATTCTGGAGGGTGTATTAAAGCCTTGAGAACTCAAACATTTTGGCCGCAGATCTTGGACATTCCAACAGGACCCAGTACAATCGCACTCAGCACGCGCCACCCAAGAATAGTTAGAAAATGAGGTTCCTCGCTTCATTTCCAGCGCACAATGGCCACCAAAATCTTCGGATACCAATCCGTTGGACTATTGTGTCTGGAGCATTTTGGAAAGCAAGGTTGGCACTAAAAATACCAAAGGAATGGATTAAAATACCCCAAAGCAACATTTGGGCAGCGTGTGATGGTTTCATTGGCCGTTTGAAGGCCATAATTCGTGCGAAAAAATCTAAACTTATTCTAAAATTTGATGCTATTTCCGAAATCTTTTGCTTTCATTGAATAAAAGTAAAAAAATGTAAAAATTATGGCTTTTGACTTTGTTGGAGTTTTTTTTTTTTATTTCACCCTGTATTGGGGCTATACCAAAAAAAGACCCAAATGACCCATGATTACTGCTTTTACCCTCAAATTGAGATCTATTATTCATAAATTCTGGTATTTGGGCGAGACTTAGAGTTTTGATGTACTATGAGACCTTGAGTAAAATTTTGTGAGACAAATAATTTTGTAAGATATTTTGACTTTTAACTTTTTTTGAAGGACCAAAAACATCATTTTCCGAATATTTCAAAAAATGTGGATGATGGAGAACATTATTTGGGTTACTTTGCTATAAAAACTCCGATACACTGCTGCTGTATTTATCGTGAAACAATTTTTGGGTTTTATTATCTTTATTTATTTGATTATCTCAATTTCGAATTTCAGACCTCATCGGAACCCACCTACATGAAAATGCATGAATATATGTCGGCCAATCCAGACTTGTTGACAATGAGTAATCAAGAAGGTGTCGACAAAGTAACGGCTAGTGATGTTAAAAGTGGAACCACCTATGCATTTCTAATGGAATCTACGTCTATTGAATATAACACTGTGAGAAATTGCAAACTACAAAAAGTGGGTGAACCACTGGATGAAAAGGGCTATGGAATTGCCATGAAGAAAAGTAGGTATCGCATTTAATCAAAAATTAAATCTACTTCACGTGCATTCATCTATTTTTGACTTTAGATTGGCCCTATCGTGATAAGTTCAACAACGCCCTATTGGAATTGCAAGAGCAGGGGGTTTTGGCCAAACTCAAGAAGAAATGGTGGAATGAAATGGGAGCCAGTGTGTGTACGGTAAGTGTTCATATAATATGCTCATATATTTTCAAATAATTCCTTTTATTCCAGTCCAAATCAGATAGCGGTTCCGCAAATCCATTGGCCGTCAACAATTTGGAAGGTATTTACTATGTATTGATTGTTGGTTCCGGCATTTCCATAGTTTATGGCATTGTTTGTTGGCTCTGCCATGTCTGGAGAATGGCTCGTACCTACGATGTAAGTTGGAAAATAAAAAATATTTTTATTTTTTTGTTTTCGTATAAATGTAAAATAAATTACTTTTAAGGTCCCCTATCGCTATGCGTTTTGGGAAGAATTAAAGACTGTCGTTGATGTCCGAAACAACGAGCGGGCATTGAAGGGTGCTGCATCGGTGTATTCGCGTAGTCGTAATTCATCATTGGAATCAATTGAATCATTTACCACCGATTCCGATGAGGATGGTAGTGGTAGCAGCATGAGCGAAGGTGAGGAGGAAGGAAGTGCGGAGTAATGTTGACTTCATTTTCACGGAAATATAATTGGAAAAAGTGTTTTGTAAAATAAATAAATTATTAATTTTTAAAAATTTTAAGGAAGTTGTTGCATATCAGAATCAACCTCCTTACTTTTATTTCGCCATGAAGTTTCTCTTTGGAAATTATTTTCAAAAATCCACGATTCTTAGAAATCCTTGCGAAATATTGTTAAAAAATCCACAATTTTTGGAAGACCTTGGAAAATATTTGTAAAAAATTAACGGTTCCAGGAAGTCCTTAAAAAATTTTTAAAAAATCCACGACTTTTAGAAGTTCTTGGAAAATATTTGTAAAAAATCTTTAATTCTTGGAAGTTCTTGGGCAATATTTAAAATAAGTCCACGATTCTTGGAAGTCCTTAGAAATTTTTTTGTAAAAAATTCATGATTCTTGGAAGTTTTGGGAAAATATTTTTAAAAAATGCACAATTGTTAGAAGTTATTGATTTTTTTTAAAACCTCGATGATGGAAGTCCTTGGATAGAATTTTAAAAAATGCACGATTCTTGGAAGTCCTTGGGAAACATTTGTAAAAAAATCCATGATTCTTAGAAGTCTTTGAGAAATATTTGTAAAAAATTCACAATTCTTCGAAGTCCTTGGAAAATATGTGTAAAAAAATCCACGATTCTTAAAAGTCTTTGGAATATATTTTTGGAAAATATTTTTAAAATAAAGCACAATTCTTGGTTACACTTGGAAAATATGAAAAAAAAAACAATAATTCTTAGAAGTTCTTGGATTTTTTAAGAATCCGCTATTCTTGGAAGTCCTTGCAAAATATTTTTAAAAAATCCATGATTTTTGGTAGTTCTTGGAAAAATGTTGTATACCATCCACCTTGGAAAGGAGGGTATATTAACTTTGCCATTCTGTTTGTAACATCCCTAAATATTCGTCGTGGACCGCATATAGTAGGTCAGGCTTTATCCCTTTATTGTTTTTATAAAAACAACGTTTGTTATTAGTGGAGAACGATGGTAATGTTTACCAGGGGGTAAAGAATTTTAGTTTTATATATAAAGCCTGACTATTTTGCAACAACAAAATACTACTGTATCCCGAACAAACAAGCCAACACTGTTCTATTCATAATCAGCATAAAATTTTAAGTCGATTTTACGATGTCTGTCTGTCTGTCCGCCTGTCTGTCTGTTGAAATCACTATACACATTTTTTTACGTAAAGCTTTAAAATTTAGCAGAACAATTTGTATTGCGTCTAGGATGGTTGGTTTGAAAATGAGATAATGGTACCTCCCGATATTCGCTATTTAAATATATTTTAAAAAAAATCCAGGATTTTGGCAAAGTGCTTGAAAATATTTTTACAAACATACTTGAAAATTATTAAAAAATTCAAGAAAATTATTAAAAAAAATATTTTACCTTTTTTAATATACAGGGTGAGATAAAAAAACTGCAACAAAGTCGAACGCCATAATTTTTACACTTCTTTTTAATTTTATTGAATGTAATCAAAAAATGTCGGAAATAACATCAAATTTTAGAATATGTTTAGATTTGTTCGAATTGGTCACCTTGGCACGAATTATGGCCTCATTTTGTAACCATTCTTGGGTGGCGCGTGCTGAGTGCGATGGTGCTGAGTCCTGTTTGAATGTCCAAGGTCTGCGGCCAAAATGTTTGCGTGTCCAAGGCTTTAGTACACCCTCCAGAATATTTTCGCGATAATATTCGGCATGGTCGATGGCCGACGCTTGAATTCTGGTGCCCAACCGAAGGTGCACATTTTCAGCTGACCTCTGTGGCAAGTAAACACGATCATTTTGTTTGTTTACAAACTGGACAACGAATGTTTTCTCGTCGGAGAAAACCAAACTCGGCAGTTCACCACTTTTGGCCAAGCGAAGCAGCTCTTTAGAGTCTATTTTCTTTCTGTTGCGGTGTAAGTTCTTTACTTTTTGGAATTTCAATGGCTTTACCCCGAGCTCATTTTTAATATTTGCCGAATGAAATATTGCGATATATTCAGCTCACGAGCCATTTTTCGGCCATTGCGACGCGGGTTTCGATCAAGTCTCTTCTTTACTTTTCGAACCATTTCTGCTGATGTTGTTGTTTTCCTCCGTTCACTTCCTCGAGATCGGCCTACGCTACGAGCAATGGTACGAGACACAAAAGATTTATTCTCATTTAAATGCTGGAGTGCTCTAACGATAGTCACTTGTAGTTTCCAGCCAATTATAAAGAGTTCACACTATCACGCTTGAATTCCATAACTTTTTTCTGGAAAATTCTCACCAAAATGCTTTTGTACGCTTGTAAACAATATAATGAGCTATCACTGGAATAATTTTAACAGCTGTCGGACGAATGGCTTAGAAATGACAGTATAGCCTAGAAGTTCTTGAAAAAATACGTGTACAAAAAGAAAAAATCATTGACGATTACCTAAAAATTACAATATTCTTGGCCTGAAAGCAGACGAAAAAATTGCAAAATTTGAATTTTTGGTTTGGAAAGGAGTGGTTCTACATTTTTTAACTTCACACTTTATCTAATATTTGCAGAATTTTTGAAATGTGCGAAGTTTCTAAAAAACTGAGATTCATTTCGCATCTTAGGAGAGTTATAATTAATTACCCTTTGTGTGTAAAATAGATCAATATATGTTTAAAGTAAACTAAAAGTCATTCCAAGTGAATTTTGTGGCGCTATGCACGAAAAGCTTTTTCCCACAAAGCTTGGAAATTTCATCTGTCTTCAAAAATAATTTTTCCAAAAATATTGAAAAAAAAACCTTTCCAATGAGAAAATGGAAATATTCTCTACACTCACGCAGCTTTCGATCAGTGTATCTTTACTCTCGCAAAAGAAAACATCGGCGGAAGGTGACAAAGAAAAAGTGTTTCCATTTTCCAAAAATATGTAATTAAAAATTGTTTCTAATAAAAAAAAACACCGTATGAAAATACATTAAAACAAAAACATATATATCCCAATACCAACAAAAAAGATCTAAAGAAATAATGTTTTCTAATACGATTTTCTGGTTCATTGGCCCAATTTTGGTTTTTTCGACAACAATAAATGCCCAGTATGGATACAATCTCCGCTATGGGGATGTTGTCGATGACAGTGGGAACAGCAACAACATGATGTACTCGTCAAATAAAATAAGCCTAGGTAAGTCAAGTGAATGAAGATGAATTGTGGGTGGTAATGCTGGCCTGAGTGACATAAATATTTTTGTTTCGTCTTCTTTGGATCGCGAGTGTGTACAAAGGAAACGGGCGAGAACCTGTCTGCGACATGTCTGCAGAAAAAGAACTTTAATATCATCTATTTATAAACAAACGTGGGCACATACACACAAAGGATTTTGTTTGCTTGTCGAAAGTTCTGAATAAACAATTCGAACGTTTATTGATATTAGACGCTGAAAGATTTATTTGGAAATTTAAGTAGACAGTGTTTAGAACATATTGTGTGTTTTTTATGTTTTTGTTTGTTGTTGTTTTTTTTAATGGAGGCAAAAAAAAAGTGAATTAATTCATGTTTTCTTATGGTAAATTGAAATGACGGCATTTATTTTGAGAGTCTCCATTGAAAGAAGGTGCTAAAGTAATATAGTTGGTGTCCGTGCATTTTAGACATATACTGTATCCGTTTTTATACCCTACACCAGAAGTTGGTCAGAGTATTATGTCTTTGTGCATTTGTTGTTACTGGCAAAATGAAACGAGATAGACCCGTAGTTCCTTTTGATAATCTGCATAGAATCACATTCTCAATCGATTTATGCATGTGCGTCGATCCGACCGTCTATCCATGTATTTTTGTAGACAAAGTACATGTCAGATTTATTGCCCGATCCAAATGAAATTTTGCACAAATAATTCGTTCGACCCAAGGTCGAACACTATTGAAATTGGACATAGTCGGTCAAAATTTAGATATAGCTCCTACATATATATTCATCTCTTTGCTTTTTATTGTGCACCAAACGTGTAATACCAGCCCAAATAGTATGGAATTTTGCCCATAATACCAAATTAGACCTGAAAAAGAGTATGTCAAATTTGATCGAAATCGGTTCAGATATAGCTATAGCACCCATATATATTGTTCATACGATTTGTTATTTTTGTCCTCCGCAGCCGTAATATGCACTCTGTAACAACGATATTTAGGGAAATATATCAAACACAGCTCAGCAATACCATCGCCAAATTTTAACGAGATCAGTTCAGATTTGGATATAGCTCCCTAACTTCGTCCGATTTGCCCTTTTTGTGCACCAAACGTGTAATATTTACCCAGTCTAGAAGCATGTATGTAAAAGTTGATGAAAATCGGTACAGATATAGCTATAGCTGCCATATATATTGTTCATCCGATTTGATGAATTGTCCTACACAGCCGTAATATGCACTCTGAAATAACGATTTTCGGGGAAATATACAAATACAGCTCAGAAATACGGCAAAAATCTCAGCAAAATCTTGAATATTACGGCCTATATAACACAGGGTGAGATAAAAAAACTGCAACAAAGAAATTTTGGTGACCATTGTGCGCTGGAAATGAAGCGAGGAACCTCATTTTGTAACCATTCTTGGGTGACGTGTGTCCAAGGTCTGGGGCCAAAATATTTACGTGCCCAAGGCTTAAATACACCCTCCAGAATATTTTCGCAATAATATACGGCATTTATTCTGATGCCATGGTCGATTAATACGAGCATCGACTGTTATGTCGGCCCACTCCATCACCATTGCCGGCGCTTGAGTCCTCGTGGCCTACCGAAGGTGCACATTTTCAGCTGACCTCTTTGGCAAGTAAACACGATCATTTTGATTGTTTACAAACTGCTGGACAACGAATGTCTTCTCATCGGAGAAAACCAAATTCGGCAGTTCACCACTTTCGGCCAAGCGAAGCAACTCTTTAGCTCTTTTGAGTCTATTTTCTTTCTGTTGCTGTGTAAGTTCTTACACTTTTTGGAATTTCAATGACTTTACCTCAGGCTCATTTCTCAATTGTTCTGAATGGAATATTGCGATATGTTCAGCTCACGAGTCATTTTTCGGCCACTGCGACGCGGGTTGCAGATGCAGCCCACATTATTTTACGTACAGCTTAAAAATTTGGCAGAACAATTTGTACTGTATCTAGGATGGTTAGTACTGAAAATGAGATATACCACGTTTTTGTACAGCCCCCATATAACGGTCCCGATATTTGGTATTTTGATGATTTTTGCCGCATTTTTCCATGTCTTTGTCTAAAAATTGGTATTTGTTGGTAATAATGGTTTCTAGCTCCGGTGGCAAAACATTGTATGTAAAGGTCAACGTTTTTGTATAGCCCCCGATATTCGGTATTTTGACGATTTTTGCCACATTTTTCCACTGATTTGTCTAAAAATTTATATTTGTAGTTCATAATGGGTTCAAGCTCCGGCGGTAGAACATTAAAAAATTAGGTCCATGTTTTCTTACAGCGCATATATAACGATACCCACCGATATTCGTTCCCGTTTTGGTATGGCTTCTATACAATGGACTCACCCACTTTATGGTTTTTGGAAAAGTTTCACAGCATTATCCAAACGGTCTTATTGGTATTTGTAGTTTAATGTGAAACAATTTTGTATTCAGATACATTTATATAAAAATGTTTTCTTTACCCAAAGGTGGAGGGTATTAAAAGTTCGAACCTGCCGAACTTTACGATTTTCCTGCTTTTTTTGCCACGTCTGTTCCAAAGGGTTTTCATAGCCTTCAGCATGGTCAACTGGCAGGAACACTCGCTCATCATCACCAACAATTGTAAAAATGGGCGGAGTTTCCCCATCCTATTTGGTTACCCCCAGCTTATATCATTAACAATACTTACATAATCTTTTTCGGTTTCCTGTAGATTTGAAAAAAAAAACTAATTTTAGTCTCAATTTTAACCGAATTGCTTAATATTTTTGATATTTAGATATGACAGAAAACTAGCTTAACGGCCAGATTTCTTAATATGATCTTTGAAATCGGTATTTCAAGTTCGTTGTTATTATAGACATATTTTGAAAAATTCTTATATTCAAAATGGTGGAGGGTATGCTACTACGATGCATTCCATGTCCATTGGTCGCTGGAATCTAGCTCCAGCAAGATAGACCCGTATTGAACATTATGATGTTTTAAGAACGCTTATCCACACCACCATGCTTATTCCTCATCTACCTGCACGGCTGCTGCGAATCTTCCTCAAAACATTGCAACGCTAACAACGTTGCCGACTTCAATTATCATTGAGCTTGGTTTCCTGCACCGCTGTGACCAAAATGTTCGCCCAATTCACAAAATCCACTTTCCCATTCATATTACTTTTTCGGTCCGTCAATATTCAAAAAGAAAAAGTGAAGCACAATTAATCTAGTGGTACTGAGTATAATTTTCATTTAATGGGATACAAATCTTAGATTTACTTGGATAAGAATCGGGACTCCATTTTATTTTCCCGCAGTCGCTTACCCTGGAAGTATTTAAAAAATTGTAAATTTCGTAGAGCCGAACGTGAGGCACAAACACACTATCCTGAGATTAAGAGTCTAAAATTATCCTAGGCACAATGTCCATATTGTCTTGAGTGAAATGTTCATTTGATAGGATACTAATCTTTAATAACACTTATCTTTTAACAGAAAACCTCAGATTATCTCGCCTCAGTCGCATACCCTGGAAATATAAAAAATTAAAGTATTTTTTTTATATTTATACACCGCCTAATGCGCCGATCTGATGGTACATAACAACATGGCGCCCAACGTGAACGGGAATGTACAATTGAAATTCTTGAAATTTAGTATTTTCAAATAAAAACGATTTGAAGCCATCTTGTAAAGATAATATTTTTACTGATTCTCGTATATCGCCCAGACAATGAAAACCTCTAATCTTACTCATTTTAAGAGTCAGCCGACTTGGCTTAATTAATTTTTTATATTTGGGTAAATTTTAATTTTGTTCTAATAACAATCTAAACAATCAAATTAATTAAACAACAGGTCTACTAACCGATCGGGAACCCGAAAAAATGGGCTTAGTTGTCGATGTTGCAATTGAAAATGCCAATGCTGTGTATGGAACTCAGCTTGAGGTGACAACGGATACCATACCCTTCGGAAACTCGTTTTTGGGCTATAACACCTTGTGTGGAATGATGGAGGTATGTACGTAAATTGCGAAAAAAAAAATCACAATTTTATAACTCCATTATACTACAGAATGGCATTGGTGCTGTTATCGGACCCTCATCTCGACATACCGCCTTCCATCTAATGTCCATTTGTGATGCCAAAGATATACCCTATTTCTATTCCTTTATGGGCGATGCTGCTGAAGCTTTCAATTTATACCCCAGCTCCGAGGATATTGGCAAAGCCATATATGCTTTGGTGACAGCTTTCGAATGGAATAATTTTATATTTCTCTATGAATCATCAGAATATTTGAATATTTTGAATGCTCTTATGGCTGAATTTGTACCAAGTGAAGCACCCATTATAACGGTGCTACGTTACGATATCGGTTACGATGGCAATTATAAGGATGTTTTGAGGAGAATTCGAAAATCACCCGATAAGCAAATTGTTGTAGTTGGTTCAACCGAAACAATGCCGGAATTTCTAAAACAGGTTTGGTTTGAAAAAAAATAATAATTTTGGATTTATTTTCTTAATTTTTGATTTGTTTTTGTTTTTTTTTTAAGGCACAACAAGTTGGCATCATCAATGAGGATTTCAAATATATTATTGGTAATTTGGATTTTCATTCATTCGATTTGGAAGAGTTCAAATACAGTGAATCGAATATAACCAGTCTGCGCATGTTTTCACCCGACAATGCAATTGTTCAGCAAATCATGGCAAAATTGGAATATCCAACAATAAAGGATGGATTTCAAAATGGTAGGAAATCTCATTCTTATTCTTTTCTTCAGAAAAGTTTCAAAAAAATTTGATTTTTCTTTTAATTTTTTCGTAATGAAAAAGACTGAAAATCTTCCAATGAAAATATGTAAATCCTTGAAAACTGTGATGTTTTTAGTTTTTTTTTTCTATCATCAGTTATTGTGGATTTTTCGTTCTCTAATTTCAGATATAGAGAAAAAATCGAAAATTAAGTTCCCAAGGACATTTTTCAACAAAGTCAATAAATATAGTTCTTTAGAATATCTTTTTTAGCGAAAGAATCAAAAAATCTCAGATCCTTAAAATACAGATGAGATGAAAAAACTGCAGCCAACTTCAGACTGCTGTCATTTCTGAGCAACTCGTCCGACAGCTGTTAAAATTATTCCAGTGACAGCTCATTATATTGTTTACAAGCGAACAAAAGCATTTTGGTGAAAATTTTCCAGAAAAAAATGTTATTCGTGATGGAATTCAAGAAAACAACAACATCATCAGAAATGGTTCGAAAAGAAAAGAAGCGACTTGATCGGAACCCGCGTCGCAGTGGCCGAAAAATGGCTCGTGAGCAGAACATATCACTATATTCCATTTGGCAAATATTGAAATATGAGTTCGGGGTAAAGCCATTGAAATTCCAAAAAGTGCAAGAACTTACACCGCAACGAAAAGAAAATAGACTCAAAAGAGCTAAAGAGTTGCGTCGAGGTCAGCGGAAAATGTGCACCTTCGGTTGACCGCTACAACAGCCGATGGTCGCTCTCCGCTCGTATTAATCGACCGTGGCATCAGAATAACTGCAGAATATTATCGCAAAAATATTCTGAAGGATGCATTAAAGCCTTGGGCACGCAAACATTTTGGCCGCAGACCTTGGACAATCCAACAGGACTCAGCACCATCACTCCCAGCACGTGGCACCAAAGAATGGTTACAAAATGAGGTTCCTCGCTTCATTTCCAGCGCACAATGGTCATCAAAATCCCCGGACACCAATCCGTTGGACTATTGTGTCTGGAGTATTTTGAAAAGCAATGTTGGTACTAAAAAATACCAAAGTTTCGATCACCTCAAGCAAGCGCTTCGCCGGGAATGGGTCAAAATACCGTAGAGCAACATTCGGACAGCGTGTGACGGTCTCATTGGCCGTTTTAAGGCCATAATTCGTGCCAAAGGTGACCAATTCGAACAAATCTGAAGCTACTTCCGACATTTTTTGCTTTCATTCAAATTAAAAAAAAACAAGTAAAAAAGCAGTAAGTTCGGCCGGGCCGAACTTTGAATACCCTCCACCATTTGGAACGAATTAGAAAATTTAAAAAAAAAAATCCAATAAAAATTCTTTTAAAATCTTTAAAATATCTAATATAGGAAGGTGCCGATATATGGGGGGATATACGATATTGTGGACCTATAAAGACAAATCTATGTATGCGTGTAAAGTACTCACAAGGAACTCCATGTGTGGATTTTCAGGCAATACGATTGGAAAATGTGGCTAAAATCATCAAAATACCGAATATCGCGGTGTACCGTTATATGGGAGCTATACGTTATCGTTAACCTATATAGAGAATTCTCTGTCGGTGGGTAAAGTGCTCACAAAGAACCCCTTGTGACCATTCCGTTGAAAAATATGGCTAAAAACATCAAAATACCGAATATCGGGGGTACCGTTATATGAGGGCTATACAATATCGTGGATCTATATAGATAATTCTCTGCCGAGGTATAAAGTACCCACAAGGAACTCCTTGTGTGGATTTTCAGACAATTCCGTTGAAAAATGTGGTAAAATCATCAAAATACCGAATATCGGGGGGTACCGTTACATGGGGGCTATACGATATTGTGGACCTATATAGATAATTCTCTGCCGAGGTATAAAGTACCCACAAGGAACACCTTGTGTGGATTTTCAGACAATTCCGTTCAAAAATGTGGGTAAAACATCACAATACCGAATATCGGGGGGTACCGTTATATGGGGGCTATACGATATTGTGGACCTTTATAGATAATTCTCTGCCGAGGTATAAAGTACCCACAAGGAACTCTTTGTGTGGATTTTCAGACAATTCCGTTGAAAAATGTGGGTAAAATCATCAAAATACCGAATATCGGGGGTACCGTTATATGGGGGCTATACGATATTGTGGACCTATATAGATAATTCTCCGCCGAGGTATAAAGTACCCACAAGGAACTCCTTGTTTGGATTTTCAGACAATTCCGTTGAAAAATGTGGGTAAAATCATCAAAATACCGAATATCGGGGGGTACCGTTACATGGGGGCTATACGATATTGTGGACCTATATAGATAATTCTCTGCCGAGGTATAAAGTACCCACAAGAAACACCTTGTGTGGATTTTCAGACAATTCCATTCAAAAATGTGGGTAAAACATCACAATACCGAATATCGGGGGGTACCGTTATATGGGGGCTATACGATATTGTGGACCTTTATAGATAATTCTCTGCCGAGGTATAAAGTACCCACAAGGAACTCTTTGTGTGGATTTTCAAAATGTGGGTAAAATCATCAAAATACCGAATATCGGGGGGTACCGTTATATGGGGGCTATACGATATTGTGGACCTATATAGATAATTCTCCGCCGAGGTATAAAGTACCCACAAGGAACTCCTTGTTTGGATTTTCAGACAATTCCGTTGAAAAATGTGGGTAAAATCATCAAAATACCGAATATCGGGGGGTACCGTTACATGGGGGCTATACGATATCGTGGACCTATATGGACAATTCTCTGCCGAGGTATAAAGTACCCACAAGGAACTCCTTGTGTGGATTTTCAGACAATTCCGTTGAAAAAATGTGGGTAAAATCATCAAAATACCGAATATCGGGGGGTACCGTTACATGGGGGCTATACGATATTGTCGACCTATATAGATAATTCTCTGCCGAGGTATAAAGTACCCACAAGGAACTCCTTGTGTGGATTTTCAGACAATTCCGTTGAAAAATGTGGGTAAAATCATCAAAATACCGAATATCGGGGGGTACCGTTACATGGGGGCTATACGATATCGTGAACCTATATGGACAATTCTCTGCCGAGTTATAAAGTACCCATATGGAACTCCTTGTGTGGATTTTCAGACAATTCCGTTGAAAAATGTGGGTAAAATCATCAAAATACCGAATATCGGGGGGTACCGTTACATGGGGGCTATACGATATTGTGGACCTATATAGATAATTCTCTGCCGAGGCATAAAGTACCCACAAGGAACTCCTTGTGTGGATTTTCAGACAATTCCGTTGAAAAATGTGGGTAAAATCATCAAAATACCGAATATCGGGGGGTACCGTTACATGGGGGCTATACGATATCGTGGACCTATATGGACAATTCTCTGCCGAGTTATAAAGTACCCGTAAGGAACTCCTTGTGTGGATTTTCAGACAATTCCGTTGAAAAATGTGGGTAAAATCATCAAAATACCGAATATCGGGGGGTACCGTTACATGGGGGCTATACGATATTGTGGACCTATATAGATAATTCTCTGCCGAGGTATAAAGTACCCACAAGGAACTCCTTGTGTGGATTTTCAGACAATTCCGTTGAAAAATGTGGGTAAAATCATCAAAATACCGAATATCGGGGGGTACCGTTATATGGGGGCTATACGATATCGTTGACCGATATAGCCCATCTTCGAACTTGACCTGCCTGCAGACAAAAGAGAGATCTGTGCAAAATTTTAGCTTCCTATCTTAATTCGTTTAGACTGTAGCGTGATTACAACAGACGGACAGACGGACGGACAGTGCTAAATCGTCTTAGAATTTTACGCTGATCAAGAATATATATACTTTGTTGGGTCTAAAATGATTATTTCGATGAGTTACAAACGGAATGACAAAGTTAATATACCCTCCATACCTTTTTTGGTGGAGGGTATAAAAACGTGAAATTATGGTGTTTGACTTTGTAGCAGTTTTTTATCTCACCCTGTATTTTTTCTATGCCAAAAAAATTTTCAAAATTTAAAATCATATTACTGAGTGCAGTTCCTAATATTATGTTTTCTAAAATGATATATTTTATACACATATATTTCAACTTCTTTAGGTTCCTGTCCCATAACCATGGAAATGGCTTTGACCTATGATGCCATACAATTATTTGCCGAGACCACAAGACACATTCCTCTCAATCCGGAGCCGGTTAAGTGTTCCGAACATAGTGATAGTGTAGCAACGGATGGTTCTACATTTAAGAATTTTATGAGATCTGTAGGTTAAGGATGATAATGGTTTACGCTTCTAGTACCAATTGGACATTTTTCTTCCAATAGATGAAAATGGATGCAAATACCATAACCGGAGAAATATATTTCGATGGCAATGTTCGTAAAGGCTTCACCTTCGATGTTGTCGAACTGCAACCATCGGGCGTCGTGAAGGTGGGAACATGGAACGAAGATGATGGTTACAGTAGTCAACGTCTGGCGCCGACAACAGCACTCTACGATTCAAATGACAACTCTTTGGCGAATAAAACATTTTTGATTTTGTTGTCCGTGCCGGTAGGCATTCTTTCATTTTTACCGATGTTTTTTTACGTGTTTTTACCTCAATACTTACAGAATAAACCATATGCCAGTATTGTTGAGTCCCACAAGAAATTGGTGGGCAATAATCAGTACGAAGGATATGCAGTCGATTTGATTAAATTCCTCTCAGCAAAACTGGGTTTCAATTACACTTTCATACCCAGTGGCAATGATTATGGTACCTATATAAAGGAAACTAATACCTCCACCGGTATGCTGAAGGAAATCATGGAGGGTGTGAGTATTTGAGATATTTTGAACTGATTTAAAGATGTAAAAGAATACTGTTTTTTCAGCGAGCCGATTTGGCAATATCAGATTTGACCATTACCTCAGAAAGACAGGAGGCCATTGATTTCACGACACCATTTATGAATTTAGGTAAGAGAAATAATTGAAAGGATTTGTTTTAATAAAATTTGTTACATTTGTCTTGTTTTAGGAATTTCAATTCTCTTCACCAAACCCCAAAAGGATACCTCATCCATATTCTCTTTTATGGACCCCTTTAACAATGATGTTTGGCAAGCTTTGGGTTTATCCTTTATTGGTGTCTCTCTGTCGTTCTTCATATTAGGCCGTTTGGCTCCATCCGAATGGGACAACCCCTGCCCATGCATAGAAGAGCCCACGGAATTGGAAAATCAATTTACTTTAAGTAATTCAATATGGTTTACAACCGGCGCCCTGTTGCAGCAAGGCTCGGATATTGCACCAAAGTAATAAGAGAAGTTTTTTTTGTTTTCATCGCAAAAGAATTCTCATTCCAGTTCCATATTTTTCTAGGGCTCTATCTGTTAGAACTGTGGCATCCATATGGTGGTTTTTTACACTGATTATGGTCTCATCATACACCGCCAATTTGGCTGCTTTCTTGACTGTGGAAACACCAAAGGTCCTAATTGAAAATGTTAAAGATTTGGCGGCAAACAAAGAAGGTGTGGTTTATGGGGCAAAGCGCACAGGATCTACAAGGAACTTCTTTTCGGTAGAGAATTTATTTGCAAATAGTAATTTTAAATTTTTCAAAACAAATTCAGTATTTTATTTCGTCAGACCTCCACCGATCCAACGTATAAGATTATGAACGATTTCTTAACGAAAAATCCCCATCTGCTGACGGAAACCAATCAGGAAGGTGTCGAAAATGTTAAAAAGAATAATCGTTATGCCTTTCTAATGGAATCCACATCAATTGAATATAACACAATGCGGGAGTGTAATCTTGCCAAGGTGGGCCAGACATTGGATGAAAAAGGCTATGGCATAGCTATGAGAAAGAGTGAGCAGAATTCGAAATAGTAACAAAAAGAAAATAATTAATTAAAACATAATGTCACTTTGCTTGCAGACTGGGCCTATAGAGATAATTTCAACCATGCCCTCTTAGAGCTACAGGAACAAGGTGAACTGGAAAAGCTCAAGAGAAAGTGGTGGAGGGAAATGGGAGCCAACTTATGTTCGGTAAGTAATGTTGAGAATGTTGTGTACTGGGTTGCTAAACAGGAATTCTTCGTGCTCACATAGCCTTAAATACCCTCAGCATTCATTCATATGCTCCTGCCACACCAACAGACCTCTAATCTTGTAATTTTACGACTCATAGTTTAAATTTGCCCTCCAAATTTCAATAAAACAGAACTAATAAAAATAATGCCTTATCAAAAGCGGAAATTAAATTGCAGGTCTATACAGGTTGGGATGAAAAAACTGCAACCAACTTCAAGTTGCTGTCATTTCTAAGACACTCGTCCGACAGCTGTTAAAATTATACCAGTGACAGCTCATTATATTGTTTACAAGCGTACGAAGGCATTTTGGTGAGAATTTTACCAGAAAAAAAGTTATTCGTTATGGAATTCAAGCGTGATAAAGTGATTTCTTTATATTTGGCTGGAAAACCACAAGTAGCTATCTTTAGAGCACTCCAGCATTTAAATGTGAATAAATCTTTTGTGTCTCGTTCCGTCGCTCGTTACCGTGATACCGACGCCAAGGAAGTGGACGGAAGAAAACAGCAACATCAGCAGAAATGGTTCCAAAAGTAAAGAAGTGACTTGATCGTCGCAGTGGCCGAAAAATGAGTCGTGAGCTGAAAATACCGCAATATTCCATTCAGTAAATATTGAAAAATTTCTAAGAAGTGCAAGAACTTACACCGCAACAAAAAGAAAAGAGACTCAAAAGAGCTAAAGAGTTGCTTCGCTTAGTCGAAAGTGGTGAACTGCCGAATTTGGTTTTCTCCGATGAGAAAACATTCGTTGTCCAGCAGTTTGTGCACCAACAGAATGATCGTGATTACTTGCCAAAGAGGTCAGCTGAAAATGTGCACCTTCGGTTGGCCACCAGAACTCAAGCGCCGGCCATGGTGATGGTGTGGGCCGTCACAACAGCCGATGTTCGCTCTCCGCTCGTATCTATCGACCGTGGCATCAGAAAAAAAGCCGAATATTATCGCGAAAATATTCTGGAGGGTGTATTAAATAAAGCCTTGGGCACGCAAACATTTTGGCCGCAGACCTTGTATATTCCAACAGGACTCAGCACCATCGCACTCAGCACGCGCCACCCACGAATGGTTACAAAATGTGATTCCTCGCTTCATTTCCAGCGCACAATGGTCACCAAAATCTCCGGATATCAATTCGTTGGACTATTGTATCTGGTGTATCTTGGAAAGCAAGGTTGGCACTAAAAAATACCTCAAGCAAGCGCTTCGCCGTGAATAGGCCAAAATACCGCAGAGCAACATTCGGGCAGCGTGTGACGGTCTCATTGGCCGTTTAAAGGCCATAATTCGTGCCAAAAGTAACAAATCTAAACTTATTCTAAAATTTGATGCTATTTCCGACATTTTTTGCTTTCATTCAATTAAAGAAAATGTAAAAATTATGGCGTTTGACTTTTTTACAGTTTTTTATCTCACCCTGTACACTCATTCACAGATGTTAATCAAGCTCATTGTCGGTTAATTTAGTTTACTTTCAAAATTTCAATCCAAACATTAAAGTTGTGATGAGTATTACCATATTTCCCCGCATAAAAATAAATTTGACCATCCTAAAAAAAGAGGATAAAATGTTTCATTTTTATTTCAGACCAAACAAGAACAAGCGGATGCAGCCCCGTTGAATATGGAAAATTTGGGTGGCATTTATATTGTTCTCATTGTGGGCAGTGTTATGGCAATGATACATGGCATAATAAGTTGGATACTCTTTGTGGTACGCAAAGCACGAAGTCATAAGGTAAATTAAAAAAAAAAAAAACATTTACTAAAAATATCATTCATAATAAATTGCCAAATTGCAGGTGCCCTTAAAAGCTGCCTTTATAGAAGAATTCAAATTTGTTTTGTCATTCACCACATATACACGTGACTTGAAATCATCCAATTCCATTTATTCACCAAGTCGTAATTCATCCTGTACCATCGAATCGCTGGAAGGTGATAATTCAATTGAAATGAATTAAACGAGTACACATTTACTTTCATATGAGAGATTATAAGCTGGAAAAATGTATTTTTTATTTCTTTTTTGTTTAAAAACGTGTCGAAAATTTGGAATGTTAACAATTTTAGTTGTTGTTTTTTTTTATAATGCACAAAAATACAATAAGTTGAAATGCTTAAAAATATATATAATATTCGAATAAAAAATAAATAATACTGCTGAAATGAGATTGCAATAAATAACAATTTTGAAGAAAAATAACTATTAAAATAAATTGTATACATTAATGGTGAAAACGTTTTAAACATTATCCCATAATAAAACATTTAGATAATTTTTGAAATGTTGAAAGAAATATTTTTGTATGGCAATAGCGCTATGGAAAGAAAAAAGAAAAGTTGAATACACTTTGAAATTGTTCGATACCAATTTATCTGCCATTTGTTACAAGCACTATTGTTCCTTGAAATAACCGAACAAAAAATTTATTAGAATTTTAGTAATGCTCGAATACCCACAAAAGTTGTAGTTTTCTCGATCACAATGCTTTTTATAATTTAATAGTTGTATACAAATATTTTTGATTTTTTTAAAGGGAATGTTTACAAATGAAATTCGTTTAAAATTAAAAGCCATTAACCATATATTTATGCTAATGAGTATCAGAAGAAGTAAAATGATAGCAATTAAATGAATAAAATTAATAATGTTCGGAAACACAATAAATACACTTAGAAAATAAATATATTTTAAAAATTGTATACGTTTATAAAATTAACACCACAACAGTTATGCTCTCCATCAATCCTACGTCCAATCTTTAGCTTTCCATAAGAGTACATGAATGTTACTGTCGATATCCTGTAGCTGATTCGCTTTGTATTGATTTTTTAAATGATCAAAGTGCGTTGGTGTGGATACAGTTTTCGTCGTACTCTCTGGTGAATCCATGTAGCGAGATATCAGTGAACGATATCGTCTACCAATGGTCGCAATTAAGGGAACATTGGGATTTGGAACAGCTATAATTGTTTTGATCTACAAAGACGAAAAAAATGAATGAGAAAATTAATTCATTAATAAAATGCATTTTAAATTGTTGCACATTTCACATTTGTTCTTGTTCTACGTATGATGGAATGTATTTTGATTATAAAAATATTAAGATATATCTGTCAATATTTTCTTAAAACCATTATATTTTCAAATATTAAAATATGTTAGCAGAATCCCATTGGACAGGTCTTGATAATTATTCCGTAACTTAAATTAAATATACAGGGTGAGATGAAAAAACTGCAACCAACTTCAGACTGCTGTCATTTCTAAGCCACTCGTCCGACTGCTGTTCAAATTATTCCAGTGACAGCTCATTATATTGTTTACAAGCGTACAAAAGCATTTTGGCAAAATGGCTCGTAAGCAAAACATATCGCTACATTCCATTCGGCAAATATTAAAAAATGACTCGAGGTAAAACCATTGAAATTCCAAAAATTGCAACAGAAAGAAAATAGACTCAAAACATTCGTTGTCCAGCAGTTTGTAAACAAACAAAATGATCGAGTTTACTTGCCAAACAGGTCAGCTGAAAATGTGCACCTTCGGTTGGTCACCAGAACTCAAGCGCCAGCCATCTCCGCTTTTATTAATCGATTGTGGCATCAGAATAAATGCCGAATACTACCGCGAAAATATTCTGGAGGGTTTATTAAAGCCTTGGGCACGCAAACATTTTGGCCGCAGGCCTTGGACATTCCAACAGGACTCAGCACCATCGCACGCAGTACGCGCTACCCACAAATGGTTACAAAATGTGGTTCCTCGCTTCATTTCCAGTGCACAATGGCCACCAAAATCTCCGGATACCAATCCTTTGGACTATTGTGTCTGGAGTATTTTGGAAAGCAAGGTTAGCACTAACAAGTAAAAAAGCTGTAAGTTCGGCCGGGCCGAACTTTTAATACCCTCCACCATTTGGTACAATTTTAGCAATTTCCAAAAAATAAAACCCGTTAAAAATTCTGTTAAAATCTTAAAAATACCGAATGCTTATACGACGACGAGGGCCTGCATAGACAACTTTTGTCATAAATTATTACAATATTTAAATGAGAAACTTCAAGAAAAATCTGTTTATAATGTAGCTAAAATCGTCAAAATACCGAATATGGGGGTACCGTTATATGGGGGCTATACGAAGACGTGGACCTGCACAGACAATTTTCTGGCATGGGCTGAAGTATCCATTACGAACTTCACATGCGAAATTTAAACCATTCCTGTAAATAATGTCGCTAAAATCATCAAAATACCGAATATCGGGGGGTACCGTTATATGGGGGCTATATGAAGACGTGGGCCTACATTGCTCATTTTTCGACTTTGGATGTAGTATCTATTACGAACTTCAAATACCAAATTTGAAACGATTCCGGTAAACAATGTCGCTAAAATCATCAAAATACCGAATATCGGGGGGTACCGTTATATGGGGGCTACACGATGACGTGGACCTGCACAGATAATTTTCTGTCTTAGGCTGTAGTATCCATTACGAACTTCAAATGCCAAATTTAAAATAATTCTGGTGAATAATGTCGCTAAAATCATCAAAATACCGAATATCGGGAGGTACCGTTATATGGGGACTATATGATAACTTGGACCTACATGGCCCATTTACGAACTTAACCTGCCTACTGGGAAAATATACATTTGTGCAAAGTTTTAGCCTTCTATCTCAATTTGTTCGAAAGATAGCGTGATTACAACAGACAGACAGACAGACGGACAGACAGACAGACACAAAGACAGACAGACGGACATGGCTAAATCGTCTTAGAATTTTACGCTGATCAAGAATATATATACTTTGTTGGGTCTGACATGAGTATTTCGAGGAGTTACAAACGGAATGACAAAATTAATATACCCTCCATAGTATGGTGGAGGGCATAAAAAATACCAAAGTGTCGATCGCCTCAAGAAAGCGCTTCGCCGGGAATGGGCCAAAATATCGCAGAGAAACATTCGGGCTGCGTGTGACGGTTTCAATGGCCGTTTGAAGGCTATAATTCGTGCCAAAGGTGACCAATTCGAACAAATCTAAACTTATTCTAAAATTTCATGCTATTTCCGAATTTTTTTCCTTTCATTCAATAAAATTTAAAAAAAAAATGTAAAAATTATGACGTTTGACTTTGTTGCAGTTTTTTTATCTCACCCTGTACATTTAATTAGGTATACTCACTTCATTTTCATATGGACGAAATACAGCAATTGGCCGCAGAGTATTCACTTCGGCAATTATCAGACAACCCCAGGTTGTACCAATATACAACTCTTGACCGTGGGCACACAGAGCAGAAATCTGACATTTGATAAGACTCAAATGTTCATCGATTGCAATGCTCTTCAATGACTCGGAGCATGGTAGCAGTTTGGAACAATCCAATTTATTTTCAATTGTTTTATTTTCAGCATGCCATTGATAGACCATAAAACCAGGATAGAGGCAGGTAAAAACATAACTATTGTTACCACACATTCGAGCAACACGTAAATCTTCTATAGCGTTCGGTTCATCACTGTGACACAAGGCTTGGTGGCCACAAACACCCGTCTTGCTCAAGGGGAATACATTGAGTTTTCCAGCCATTTCGCCGCACCATAGTTCATAGATTCTGAAATATACAATAAGGGATTGTAACAATGTTAACATATCTATTATTTCTCTTATTTTTACCCATCAACCATAACCGCACATGCACAATGCAATATTAAACCAGAGCATATTTCAGTCAAAACAAATGAACCCTCAGCAAAAGCACAATTCGAGGGTATACGTGAACTGTCGACTAAAAATACACGACCGTTGTGCAGACCAACGGCAACCCTTTCAATATCCTTTAAATATACCAGACTTATCAATGGCGATTTAATGGCCGGATCCAGCATATAGGAAAATATATGCGTATAATCTGACAGACTATAGGAATGTAATGTTCCCGAAGCATCACCAATCCATATTGATTGTTCAATGATACAGCAGCATAGCATATTTATGCGTGGCAAACGTGTAGCTGACGATGTGCGCGATGAAGAACCCGAAGATGCCTGCAGCGATGATGGTGTGTTCAGCGGCGAGGATGACTGAGATTTGAGACTAACTTCTTCAACACGTGGTGACTTGGGGTCCGTAGATAAAAATTTATTTGTGCATTTAATTGTACTCGATTGTATAAATTGACCATGCATAGTCGTTTCCAACACATCAATATGCGAATTGTAACCGGGAAGCCACAACTCCAAGCTAGAGAAGTCATCTAAAAGAGAAAATAGACGTGTTTTGTTGATTTAATGCCAAATATGAAATTGTTTATCATACACACCTTCAATTGGACTATTGGAATTGCTTATACTAAAGCCACCGCAAACAACTTTATCGCCATGCGGCAAGGCTACAACATCCAGTAGATGTATGAATTCTGGTGCACTTAGTATGGAAACAATTTGACTAGCTGTAGGCCTCTTTTTGGGCAATTCATCCCAACATAATACCATTAAATCCAAACAATAGGTTGGAAACTGTGTTTCTCTTTGAGTCAATGCGGGGCGGTTGCCTTCCAGAATACACTCCTTGATAGATTCATGTCCTTCGAAGGGTTGTCGTAGACTTATGTTCTCATATATAAACATACCGAAGGAGAAACAATCAACCTGTAAAGAAATAATACAAAATAAAAGCCATTTATAAAGTAGGCATTATTTCAGCTATAAAGAGCCTATCAGATTCAGAGCCTGTTTGCAACAAAAAAATTATAAAGAAAATGTCACTAGCATCGCCTTATCTGAATACGTTTTACATCCTACAATTTCTCAATCTAAATATGCGAAAATATATCATGCTTTTCAATGGAAATAAATGGACAAGTATCAACAACGTATTCCCTCATTATAGACTTACCTTTTCCGTATACTCCTCCTCACCGTTGTAACGTATTATCTCGGGGGCCATAAATCCTTCGGTGCCACCAAAGCCCTTTGAACCACTTGGAGCCGTCTGACGACTTATGCCATAGTCTGCAATTTTTATGTGAATCGTATTTCTTGGGCTATCCTCTCTGAAAATATTAAACAAAAATTATTAGCATTCCTTCATTAAGTTCTCTTCTCTCGAATCGAATCACTTACGCATGTGGCTGGGGAAAATCCCAAACGAGAACATTTTCAGATTTTAAATCACGATATATGATTCGGCGTCGATGTAAATATTCAATGGCTCGCGCTGCTTGTAGTACCAATATTTGAAATGTATGTGGACCAATGTGAGCACCACTACGTCGATGTTGACGCAATATAGAGTCCAATCCACCCATTGGAGCTAATTCTAAAACTAATGCCAGTGGTTTGATACAAATACCCACCAAAGGAACAATATTGGGATGTTTCAAAGTCAACAATACAGCCAGTTCTTGTCTAGCAGTACAATAGGCTTTACAGGCATGTTGTAAAGGATCTCGATCCCATTTTCCCAGAGCGACTTTATAAGCCATTAAAGCACTTTCTTTAGCTCTCGGTCCGGGTGGAACTGGCTGTAGCATTTTCATGGCAACAGCGCGGAAGTTCCGTGATCCTTTCAGCTTACACGTGGCCTTGAAAACAAAACCAAACGCACCGCGACCCAGCAATGATCCTTTTATAATTGTCTCCGAATTGATGGTATATTTATCGGGTATATCAGCAAATACAACATCTGGAGCCAATTTCAACATAGGCACCTCCAAATGAACTGGACAAGAGATTTTTGTTTGATTATACACTGACAGTATGCATTCTTCAATCATCCAGGTATAGCATACATTCGATATATCAGGAATATTATACAATGGATGGCCATCGACTGAGGTATTGCGGGAGGAGCCAGCTGAATCGGGACCAACTCCAGAATCGGCATCAGAACAAAGCGAGTCCTAGAAAAATTCAAATTTGTTACATTATTCAAACAACAATTTTATCCAAACTCACACCTACAAAATTTGCCGTAAAGAAAAATAAGTATTTAGAAGTCAGCACCGAAGAAAATGTGGCAGCTACCTTTTTCAACTCCCATCTTTCCATTTTTCTTTGCAGCAAACTTTACACGTGTGACATAGGAAATTAAAAGTAAACACTTTCCAAACTTTAACAAATTAGACAAACAAATGTATTGGCAAGTTTGAATATACATTTCGATTTAATAGAGAACATGATATTTACCTCAGATCTACGCTCCCTTCTTGCTGTGGCATTCAAATAAGCTGAAAAAACATTCAACTGGGCATCATCACCATTATCGCTCTGGAAGTAAATAGGACGTTTGGCTCGCACTCTATTTGTATAGCCAATAGCAGCACCAAGACCCACAGCACCATCAGAGACATCTGCTGACCCATTACCACCACCACCACCGCCGCCTGCACCATTATTATCGGAAGATTCTGATTTCTTATTATTCATAGCTAACTTTTTCAAACAACGTGGACACATAACCAGACGCGTTATCAAAAATCTACCCTCTGAGGTATGGACAAATCTTGTTCCCAGTGAAGGATACCAATCTTCTAAAAGCAAATCAATATGATCTACTGTTAAAGCCAGTAACTTGGCAATAATTGGCATGTTAGGTTCAATTTGTGCCAGATGTTGGCGTGTCCCATCTTCCACCTCTTGTTGTACATTGACGTGTGTAAGAGGAAATGAAATTTCCAATATACTAGAATTACATAAGTTAATGTCACTCCAAATGCCATCCAGTTTAAGCTTAAAACGATTACTAGCGCTGCGCAAAGGTTGGGTATTTGCTGCCAATTGAAATGGTAGCTCCCATATTTTGAAAACTAAAATTGGACCATAGTAAAGCGAGACTCCTGTTTGCCACAAATTCCATTGCGTATCATGTTCCAAAGAGGTGCGCAAATCGAATTCAAGAGATTGCTAGAAATCATAAAATGTAATGATATATTTAAAAATTCATAACAAAAAACAGTATTGCACCTACATCATTAGCTGCAATATAGACCGATTTAATTGCTTCTGTAATATGTTCATCGGCCAGGAGGCGTGTGATTAAACGAGACCAAAAACCCGATGGAAAGTAGGTCATAAGCAAAATACGTTTAAGACCCATTTCTAGTATATTGGGATCGTTGTTTGAGTTGGGTGCGCTTTGCTCAACTGGCTCATAAACCAAATTATTTAAATTAATTTCATTTGAGACTGAGCAACCCAAATTTAAATTACGACCCCTTGTGCGCTGCGATATCTGAAACGGCAAACAACATATTAAGTTTCCCCCAAATTAGTATTTTATTTTAAAATATTTACCTTTACAATTGTTCCCGTATTGGGTGTCTCGTTTTCATTTTGTGGCAACAGTGAAGGTATCAAAAGTGTTCGGGAGTCCCAAGTCAAGGCCACTTCGAATTTATTCAAAAGACTCACAATATAAGAACGATTCGAATTGTTGCTACCACTTGAATTGCGAAACAATAAATTCAAATCATCCAATTTCATAATACCAGTCCGAGCAAAGGGATTTATTTCACGAACAGTCACCACATGTGCCAACATATCACACAACCACTGGGGATCCAGGAAATAATAGTCCCTCAAAGTGGCATCATCGTAATGCAATAGTACACCATTATCATGCAAAAACATGGTGGCCTGATTGAGTTCCGCCGTGTCACGAAAACTTTTATAATTATGCAAACGCATTTCCTCCGTCACAAGTTTACGATAATTTTCAGCATCGAGAACAGGATCTAAGCCGGCTGCTTTTAAGTTACACGATATTACATTGACAATATCTTCCAATGCAATATAACTGGCTGGAATCTTTTGTAATAGCATGGGTTCTTTGGAACCGGGGGATTTTAGCATAAATGCCGTATCATATATAATGTTTATCAACAGTCGTATATTGTGCATTGTTTTGCAACTTATTTCTATTGAATCAATGACACGAGGTAAACCAATTTTTTCAGCATCCGGTATGGCTATGAATTTTTCGCGTATTATTTGTTGCAACTCCTCCGCTTTCTCCGGTGAAAAGGTGTCGCCCACAGCATCGAAATGTGTACCAACAATTATAACCGGAGAATTCGGCGCCCGGGCTTGGATATTTCCCAGCCACTGAAGAATTTCAGCAAGACCCTTATGGCCATCGGTAATTTTCCACAATACCAGATAAAGACTACGTTTCGAAAGGAAATACTGGTGGGTAGCATAATATCTGCAATAAAGCCAACATTTTTTCATTACAATACATGCAACACATATGATTTTTTACTCACTCTTTCTGGCCCCCAAAATCCCATGTGCGAAACACTACCGGCCCATGTGAGCCAGGTGCCTTCTTACGTTTCTCAGAAATCCACGTGCCAATATCCACACCCACCGTAGATATATTAGAGCCTCGTTGGGATTTCGAAAGATTACGAGTATGTCCCATACGTTTGGCCCAGTGATTTTCCGAGGCCTTAGGTTTCTGTGAGCCCACTCCCTGACGTAGCAAATCCAGCAACGTGGTTTTGCCTATACCTTGAACACCCACCACCATTAGTTTCATGCGGGCATAGGGCTGAGCATCTTCATAGATCGATTTTAAATAGCCAATTATATCCATAGTTTTGTACTTTTTACTTTCTATCATTGACTTTAAGGGATCCTGCAGTAGACAGCCTCGGGTATTTAAATTCCACAAACGTGTAAGCAATCCCAAATGTGGTGGAAGATCAGTTACATTCACATTGCCACTGATGTTGAGAACGCTAAGACTGGTCAACTCATGCAACGATGTGGGTATTTCCTTGAGACAATTGTTGCTAATATCCAGCATAGATAAATTAGGAAATATCAATTTGGATTTGGTCACCCCAACAACACTCCAATCTGAGTCATCGGATTCATTAAAAAGTGTTGTAACATCATCCGTGGACAATTGTATACGTGTCAACAGGTTATCAGCCAAAATTAGGGTCCTTAAGGACTCCAATCTCAAATGTCTTCTATGGCGACAGACACTTTTCAGTACCGTCGAACGAAATGAAGAAGCTTTCGAGTTGTTGGGATTGTGTTTGGCAAACGATGGTATATCGTCATTCTCTCCTCCCTGATTTTGCGCCACATAACTATAACACAACAGGTGAGGATCCGATTCTGTGATGCGTGGCAGACTGGGCCAACAGGATATTTCATTATGACTTAAATCTAATTGTTTCAATGTTGCAGGATAACTAGTAACATGACCCATGGATCTTAAACTATTATAGGACATATTAAGTCTTGTTAAATTCACTGCCAAACAAGGCAAGGCCGCTGGAATGCTAGTGAACAAATTGTTGGCTATATTTAGGCTGTTTAGTTGCGAGACACCTTCTTCCTTTTTCGATTCATTCCACTTTACGTCGTTATCGGTTATCTCTAAGCTATTCGACCATATGTTGCGATGAACCAATGGTTGTAGGGTTAATGTTCTTGCCTTACTTCGGCTCTCCGAACCATATGCATCAAACTTTGAAAATGGTTCCAAATCCAATTTATCCAAACTTAGTTGTGACGACGATGTTTGCATTGGCGGTACTGGAAGATCTTTTAACAAATTAAAAGCGATATTTAATTCGCGCAACTTTGGCGCTTTCCACATATCAAAAGGCATTTCTTGCAGTTTGTTGTTGGAAATATCTAATATGGTGAGTGCAGGCAAATGAAATATTTGCGCCGGAATTGCTATCAATTGGTTGTCTTGTATATAGATTTCTTCAAGAACAGGTGATGAGTAGGCAGATCTACCGCTGGGTGTTGTAACTGATGGCAGGGGCAGTTGGGTGATTTTATTTTGAGCCACATTCAAGTATCTGAAAATTGAAATGTTTTTAATGTTAATTATGCTAGTGAAGAAATGCAGTGCAATGTAGATCTCATATCGTCCAAAAGGGGAGGAAATCCGACAAGCGTTTGGCTTGCTTTGACAAGATGGAGAAGACACGTAAACGATGAAACACTTGATATGCCACCGTCTATACAGATAATGGAAGAGCAAAGGATTTTAACTCTTACGTAAACTTTTCAATCTATGCGATATTTTAAAATGTACTTTAAAGTCGTTTTGAAAAATTTTTCTTTTCTATTGGTTACATTATAGTTATGGTTTTGGATGAGTAAAGAACTTAAATACATTCTGTACTTCCCTAGTGAAGAAAATTATCGTTCGTTCGTCTGTCTGATTTAAAACTATTTCATACTCACTTTAGTGATACTAAATTAAAAATTTCAATGGGTAAACTTGTCAGATGATTGTGAGAGAAATCAATGCGTGTTATAGCTGTTAATGCAACTTCGGTAATTTTCGGATGGCTTTGTAGTTTGGGATTTAATTGTAAAACACCGTTTACCATCCAATCGACTCTGAAAAAAAAGAAAATATTAATTCAATTCTGCTATTTATTTCAAATGTATAAATATTGTTATATTGTTTACTTACCTAATAAATGGTAATTGAACATTTGTGTTATTATGCCAGTCAATGATGACCGGAGTATTGGGAAACATTGTACTATATGAAATATTTGTAGCTGATGGCAAGAAAACTTTAACTTCTACGGGTGTTGGCAAGCCTTTCTTGTTGATTTTATAATCGGAATCGGGATGAACACGTTTGGCGAGCAAACGATTTAAAATTGACTCATCCTCAGAGGCGACAGCGACACTTAGGGCTGAACCATTGTCATCACGAGCACCATATCTAAAAAGAATTAATATTAACATATTTGCAATGTATTGTTAAATTGAAAAACTTACTTTAATAACAACTCCACCATTGGCAGTGATTTTTGCTTGCATGCCTCTGCAATGGGCACATTGCTAAGACCATAAATTTCTTCACTACACTTCGGATCGTTGTGATCCTCAACCGGTTTGGCTATTATATTGGGATTTGCACCATTCTGCAATAGGACCGTGACAACATCCAAAAATGATCCTCTTACTGCTGCCAGCAATGATGTTTCTCTTGCCGCACCGCATAATAAATTTATATTTATTGGACACCGTTCACATTCTAGAGACTCTTCCTTTATTAATTGTTCGCCTTCTCCCGATATGTTGAGCTTTGACATTATAGCTTGTATACCAAATGAAATGCGTTTACGTGTTGGTGTAATCGGTGCACTCTGTGGACTTTGGGCGCATGTCTTACGGGCACGTACTTTCCATTTAAGTAAAATATTCACTAGTGACTTATTGCCTAATATACTGGCTATATAGAGGCTGGTTTGTCCGGTGACATCTTGAGCATTCGGATCGAATGGCAGACTCCATTCCCAGATGCCCTCCTCGTCACGATATGTTGAATAGAGATATTCCGGATAGTTGTAATTGATAAGTAATTCTAGGAGATTAACATGACCATTTATGCATGCTGCGTGTATAGGTAGCCACTTTTCCACTGTTGGTTGCTGTAGTACATTAAGCAATCATTTTATATTAAAAGGTTTTTGTTGTCGCATATGTAGGCAAAAATATATATCAATATATGTCAATAATAAGATTTTGTCATTGGTTGTCATTGATGTAAATGTAATTTACCACACCCAGATCCAGTTTTATGTCACGGTTTGAACATTGATATTGTGATGCTACAATGTTCAATACATTTCTAGGTTTTTGAAAAATAATGCTTTAAATCACATTTTCCACGTCTAAAGACATTTGTTGGGACTCGGGTATTAACAAATTGTTTATAAAATCCGAGGTTTCTATCACATTTTCTTAGGTAGATAATTCATACCGAAACTTCTGAATTTCTTTGGTAATATAACTTTTACAATCTCCATCCGGAAACAATATTATTAACTAGACCCGAAATAAAACAAATGGAGCTATCTCAACGCTCATATTTGAGCATTCAATTATTATCCTGCATTTTTTTATCTACAATTTTTCATATGAAATCTTGCAGGAATATAGCTATTAATAGTTCGAATTTTATGTTGTTTGTTTATATTAATCTATGTTTATTTTCTTATACACAATACATTGATAAGGGATTTCAACATGTCATTAGCTTATATCTCTTACCTGTATCAAGTCTGGAAACTTTTCCAACATTTTCTTTGCAATATTATAATGGCCATGATGTACAGCAGCATATAAGGGTGAATATTTAGTCACGGTATGTGAACGACCATCTGAACCAGCATCCAATAAACGATTTGTTATACTTTCATAACCAGACTGGGAAGCCCTTAAAAATAAATAAAGCCAGAAACAAATTCATATCAAACGTTGCAACATTAAAAACAAGAACATATGCATATATGTATGTATGTACGTATGGATTGTACACAATTTGCATATACATACTTACAGGAACAATAATGTGTTTGCACCAGCCGGAGCCATATTGACTATAATTTGCCGCTCACTACCCAATGCTTCCAAAAGGACACGTACCGTGCGTTCATCTCCAGAGGTTACTGCGTGTCGCAATTCACGATGTTTGATGAGGCGAACCTGTTCACGAGCATCTAGTCACACAAAGGGGAAAAAACAAGTAATACAATTTTAAGGAGTTATACACACATTACATAAAGTTAAATTAACCAAAAAGAAAAGAAAACGTATGTTCAGATATATGTATATGTGATTCACCTAAAGTTTTTGTTATTTCTATGACCTCATCTAGAAAATAATCGCAAGCCTCCAGAGCGGTTTCGGTGCCTGACTTTGGTTTTTCAACAAAACTCCAATCCATATTGTTTTTTTTTAACTATATGAGACCCGCTTCTATTCAATCCATCAAATCCAATTGGAACTAATTAATATTCATATTAATTTTTCTTGTTAAAAGCGATTCTCTTGTCCATCTTCCGATGCCTAACAACACCCTAAGCAGCACAGACTAGCAATGGCAACTAAAATTTATGCAAAGGAATATTTTTGGCTTCGTTTTCAGCTATCAACGTCAGTTTTTGGTTAAAAATCAATTGACTGCTCTAAAATATCACACACCAAACTTGGCAAATTCATTCATAAAACCGGCCGAAGAGCGGCAAAGAGGTAGAGAACCACAACTTTAGTGGTTGTATTTTTCCAAACAACCACCACAACCACCCATAATATGTTGAGCTCACTTTGTGAGCTAGAGAGTCGGCCAATGCGCAAGACACGCATTTCTTAACGTTCAACATACCAGTCCGACCAACTGTTACACGTGGCTGTATCTTTTTGTGTAATACAAGTCCCATTTTCAGGGAAATCTTATAACAACAAAAACAATTGCAACAAGTCTTCAAGTAGCATCAAAGATTAGATTACAACCAATGGTTAGAAGACACTAAGTCTCATTAGCTCTGACGCTCAGAGGATAGATGACGATTGTGTTATTGTACAAGGAGAACTGGCGGTAAATGATATGTGTCACTTATTATGCACATAATCCAGCGACCATATGCCGACTACGACGACGTTATGAAGATTTCTTTTTATCGAATAAATTATATGCAAAACTGTGGTTGATATTTCGAATGTGGGAATGCATGCAAGCGTTTATTGAGTAGTATTTGCTTATTACTCAGTTATGGTACGTACATCGTATAACTGATAAAACCATACCGAGTGAAGACCTATAACTTAATGTATAAATCGACAATAAATGAGAAAGGGATAAAAAGAAAAGGTTTGCAAATCGAAAGGAATGGCAAAGAAAAACTTTTAGATATATTCTGTAGTTAGAAACCTTACCAAAACCAAAAGTTTGCACAAGACAAGTTTGAAAAAGGCCTTCACCACATAGTCAAGCAACATGGACTCGGTTATCTTAACTTCCGGAATCTTAAGAATAATTAACAGTTCTTTACGCCTTCTTCCAAATGGGATATTCCCGGAGTGCTTCATCATGCGATGAATTTGTTTCTCGTTTCTTCTTTATTCGCCGACAAATTAACACTAACATTTTAGTTAAATAATGTTGCAATGTTCTGATTCTGAAAAATTGTGGCAGTTGTCTTGCAACTGCTGCCAAACTAGAATGTTGTCAAAAGTTCCGATCATTAACATCGGCTCCATTAGCAAAATAGTACGCATTCCGCTACATTTTCACCCGGATATGTGAAGATTCTACCAGAGCAGACGTGCCATAATTGGTAACAATTGATCTATCAAAAGCATTCCATTCATTACGACATACTGTTTCAGCTGATGAAAATATTTACAAATGCAACAAATCGGATGAACAATATATATGGGAGGTATAGCTATATCTGAACCGATCTTCACCAAATTAGGCATACTACCTTCTAGACTCAATTGATCGTATGTGCCAAATTCCATCCCATTTGGGAAAATATTAGACGTTTGGTGCACAATAAAAGGTAAATTATATATGGGAGCTATATGCAAATCTCAACCGATCTCGATAAAATTTAGCAAAAGTATTTCTGAGCTGCATTTAATATATTTCCCCAAATGTTGTTGTTACAGAGTGCATATTACGGCTGCGGAGGACAAAAATAACAAATCGTATGAGCAATATATATGTGAGCTATAGCTATATCTGAACCGATTTCGAATTCCATACTATTCGGGCTGATATTACACGTTTGGTACACAATAAAAGGCAAATCGGACGAAGATATATATGGGAGCTGTATCTAATTTTTTACCGATTATCTCCAATTTCAATTAGGTCCGTCCTTGGGCCAAACAAATGTTGTATGAAAAATTTCATCTCAATCGGATAATAAATGAGACCTGCATTTTGTTCACAAGAATACATGGGCAGACGGACTGACATGCATAAATCAATTCAGAAAGTGATTCTATGCAGATCATCAAAAGGAACTATGGGTCTATCTCGTTTCCTTTTGCCTGTTACAAACAAATGCACAAAGACATAATACCCTGACCACCTTGTGGTGTAGGGTATAAAAACGTTAGGAAACGTTATATGGCAGATATATACCTAGATGTAGAGCCATATCCAATAAAAAATAACTAGGAGCAATATCAATTCATTGATAGAATACTATGTGCCAAGATCTTAAGTAAGTTATATTCTGACCACAAATATATTTACTTTGTGGGGTACTCAAGATATATTTTTGGAGATGTATCAAATTTTCTTTCGCTTAAATGTAACTGAATTACTAATTGAAGATATAAATGAAACCTGGCAACTCTACTGCATTTTCTTTAACATTCTTACAAACTATAAACAACAATAAAAATTCGTTGTTTATATCCTCAAACATCAGTAAAAACATCAACAGCTTTCACTAAAACATATACCAAACTGAAACGTACACTCAATAAATCAATAATTTTTGATTTCGTCATTAGATGGCAACTGCAATTAAATATTAATTGCACAATGAAATTTTCCAAAACTCACCCTCATCGTCACTCATTTTTCCAACGCAAAATACGATTATACAGGCTTCTCTTAATTTTTTTCACTTAATGCAGTTATAAGGGTATTATTTTATACCGTTTCTTTTCAATTTTATTAGAATATAAAGAATTTAAATGTGCATAATATAGATTGTTTATTTTTTTCTTCACGAAAATCAACAACTTACGACTTTTTTGCACACAACAACAAATGACAACTGTTTATTTTCTCTGAATGTCATTTCATAGCACACAGCTTTTGATTGCCTGCGTGTATGCAACAACGTCGGTTAGTATACAGTTGTGTAAAAAATCTTTCTTCGGTCAAAATATATACACTAGAGCCCCGACTTGCGTCGTTAATGTGGACCGGAGAATCGCGACTCATATCGAATCACCTTTTTCTATACATGTACAAAATGGACCGAAATTTAATTTACTGGGAAAAATATTCAAAACAAAGCAAAAAATTGTATATCTTTGATAAAAAACAAGTATGAATACATTTATTCCACATATGTATGTACCATAAAGAAAAGGGAATTCCCCTTATTTCACGAAATTTGAAAATTTGTTAACGTACAGGTGACGATCAGTGTTGCCAGAAGTTGTAAAAATGCTAAACGACAGAAAAGATGCTAAAGCAGGCACTGCAAACGCAAAAAAAATAGTAATCCACAATGTAGCTCGGACCGACGTAACTTGAAACTGCAACGACGTAAATCGAATTTTCTGCTTTTTGAAAAGCGACGCAAATCGGGACGGCGCAAGTCGGGGCTCTAGTGTACACAGTTTTTGTGTGGACAAAATAATTTTGAGAACTTCCAAGACTTCGATGACGCCAAATATTCAAATTAAATGTTATTGTTTTTTTTTTTGGTCAATGTGTAACAAAGACATGAAACATGCATATTAGAACTATGCTTGCTACTAGCTCAAATACAAGTATAAGCCGATGGACATGCATAAACCGACTTAGAATGAAATTGTATCATTTTGCGTATTACAAACAAATGCACAAAGACATAATACCCTGTAACACAGAACCTGAAAGAATGTAAAATCAAGGTGTGAATACATAAGCAGCTTGAAGTCGTCGCATGACATATTAATTGACACATAATAACAAAGGAATTTCAGAGACACTCTCGTATTCTGCTATCATTTCCCCTTATAATTTGTCTTAAACATGTCATGTCATGATGAAAAACTGCTTATGTATCATAACCTTAACTATTTTTCCCAGAGGCTTAAATTGAGTATAGGCCCAGCTGACAGAAAATTCTGAAATTTTTAACAAAGATAGTTCTATATTTCTCTAAAGGTTTATTTCGCTACAAAAAGTGTAATTTCTGTCCATGTATACGTTGTAATACGCAACTGGATTTGAATATTTCCTCAACAACTCTCATATGATTAAAAAGAACACGCACATTCACAAATTAATTTGACTTGTTAAGCCAGGCATATAAAAAAAATAAAATCGATTGGTTGTACCATGGGTCCATCTATAATATGTTTATTTAAATTAATTTACTTTTTTAATTTTACCATAGTATATTCTTGAACAGAGCAATTAATAACATTCATACACCACCTGTTATGTTTGCATTTTTTATAACTAATCGCCCAGCGATCGTAGTAGTAAAAAAATCGATAAGTCATTTTGATAACAACAACATCGACTTTTCGGTTCTGGTCACAATTCAAGAATAATCGACTAGACTTAAGCATCCCTACACTGCATTAAAATAATATTGAACAAAAAATCTGTATATTTTACCATAAAAAAGAAATAAGAAATGAAAAAGTCAAAATGATTTCGTTAATCTTATCCATCAGTTAATGCTTTAAATAAAAAGTGTGAAAAGTGAAATAAAAAATCGCGTCGAGTATCCCTGAAGAAAAAGGAAAGGAATTTATTTCGTCTATCACTGTTTTGCTTCACAAACAAATACATAAAATATCGTTCGTACAGCAGCAAACAAATAAAAAAAGGAAAAAAGAAGGTACAGCCAAAAAGGATGAAAATACAAACATGTTTTTGCCATCGACTTGAATGTTTTTTCGTTTGTTTCTTTTTTTTTGTTATGGTCATCGTGTTTGTTTGTTGTAATGGTGTTTTGTATTTCCCCAGAATTATAGATGAGTGTTTTCAATTTTGGGTGCGACAACAAGACACAACGGCGTGAACAAGTGATACTTGCTAGATAGAGCTATCGCTGTGATGCCGCAGGGCAAAACATACTTTTCGACTTGCACGACTGTGATATTACAATTTTTGAGGTCTGTTGGAATTAAAAATATATAAAAGGACCTGCCATTATCTTTAATCAACTTGTTACAAAGTGCTAATATCACTGCTATGGGGAAAAATTATGATTAATTTTATCTGTAGTACAACTTAGAAAATAATAAACAAGTATTGTCAGACCCTCCAACAACTGGCTGAATATAAATTATTTTAAAGTTTCCCTATTTGTGATTTGTTCGGGTTTCGATTACACAACTTAATGAACAACCAACATTTGTACTCTCCATTTTTTTTTGAATTAAAGTGTATTGTTCGAAAATATGTTGAATCAGAAGGTAATATCCTGTAATCGATAATAAAGACTGAAACGTAAATAAAACCTAAAGACGTTCGAAAGAAAACATATCAAGTGTTCTTTAGCTGAGCTACTCGTAACAAATATACCTTAATATTGGGCACTATATCATAATCTGAATCGATTTCGGAGGTATTTTCGTGCTATATATGACGTCTCGTACCAAATATTATAGCTATAGAGTGCATATTATAACTTTGAGAAGGCTTTCATGTATCGTATATAAAGCTTTTGTCTGATCGGATTTTATACCAACTTGCCTAACTTAATTCTAGTCGGAACTACCGTAGGATCCATAATTCAATCTTATTGGACAAACTCAGTATTTGCTATTTGTTAAATTACGATAAATATTGACATAATTCATCGTACGAAAATACATTAAAGTAATTTGCTGAACCTACATAAAGACTAAATGGAGAACCAAAAATTCCAACAAATAGCCTGAAACATGTTCACGATGCTCCAATCTAGAAACAAAATGCAAAATTCCTTTGCCAGACTACCACAATGCAGTACTTACTACCGACAAAAATTTTGGCAGATAAATTTTATTGCCGTATAACATGCGTAATGTGGACATAAAACACAAAAAAGAGAGTACGCAACCCAAATACTAACTAATACGTTGTTCTGGTGGCTTTCAAAAACAAGGCTCAAGATTTTCCAACATTAAACCGATCTCATCAAACTTTCCATCAAAGGTATTTCTGGGCTGTATCTTAATATCATAGCGGATGAAAAAATATTTTGGGGTTAAAGGTTTATCTGAGACGATTTTCACCAAATTTGACCGACTTGCTAGATATCTTTACTTTATTCACAAAAATACATTGACAGACGGAGGGACAGATATGCATAAATCGATCTACTTTTACCACACTGTGGCGCCGGTCTCTATACCAAATGATGTATTACTAATGTGTGTTTATAGTTCCTATGCGTATAGTGCCAATTCATGACCATCTTCTATGGACAAAGTGCAGGTCGCTGTTATTGTCATTCGATTTTAGATTTAATTTGGAAATTTGATGAAAAATGAGGCAGCGTCAGCGATCATTTGGTAACTTGAGTATAATTTTGGTAACAGTTAACAGAATATGTTGGACTTACAAGCACTGGAAATATACCAGGCACCAAAGGGCATTTCAGATGTACATACATAGCTCGAGAAGTATGAACTTCACAAGAAATAAATTATATAGTTGTACTGATGAACCCAAAGGATACCTGTTGTAAAATTTTCAAATCGATCCGCGTGGTAACCTCTACCTTACTTAATCAAAAATGGTTTTTAGTTCTTGTGCATGTCACCGAATTCATTCTGGATGTAAGTTTGTCAGATATGGTTACATCGGTTCAGATTTAGACACAGCGCTATAATATACAGGGTGAGATGAAAAAATTGCAACCAACTTCAGACTGTTGTAATTTTTAAGCCACTCGTCCGACAGCTGTTAAAATTATTTCAGTGACAGATCATTATATAGTTTACAAGCGTACAAAAGCATTATAATAGGAATTTTCCAGAAAAAAGTTATTCGTGATGGAATTCAAGTGTGATAGTGTGATTTCTTTATATTTGGATGGAAAACCGCAAGTGGCTATTGTTAGAGAACTCGTTACCGTGATACTGGTAGCCAGCGTCAAGGAACATCAGCAGAGATGGTTTGAAAAGTAAAGAAGCGACTTGATCGAAGCCCGCGTAGCAATGGCCGAAAAATCGCTCGTGAGCTGAACATTTCGCAATATTCCATTCGGAAAATATTCAAAAATGAGCTCAGGTTAAAGCCATTGAAATTCCAAAAAGTTTCTAGAGCTTGCACCGCAAAAGAAAAAAATTAAATCAAAAGAGCTAAAGAGTTGCTTCCATAAATGATTAATTAAATTTAAGATGTAGAATCTCGATTCATGCTACCATAAAATGATTAATTAAATTTAAGATGTAGAATCTCGATTCATGCTAAAACGAAACGAAATTGTTTTCATCGCTAACCTGCATGAGTCTAAGTCTGAAAAAATAGTAACTTGTCGTTTATTCTATATGGGCAACCATTTTTATATTTTATATATGTTTAAATATATCTATAGTTTCAAGACTTTAAATGAACAATGCATTTTCGACCATAACAATTCGTAAAGGCTGTCAGTACTTCAATATTACACTCCATTCGAAAATAAGTGTCTCTGCATCTGTACGTCGAAAGAAAAATACCAATTATATCTATGTCCTTTAATTTTTGTGTAGTTTTATTTGAACATAAGCTGTTTTTGTAAAATAAAATGTTTACACTTTAGCGGTATCCATATGTGAACGTTTTTAAAGTTGGAAGGCTTGCGAGATGATCTGTTAAAAATTCAATTTATACAATTGAGATTCCTAAGTATATATAAAATTAATAGTAATGATATTTTCATGAAACTAATTGTTGTCATGTAGAAGCAAAAACATGTTAATAGAAAACTATCTCAAAACTAAATCATTTAAAATGTATCAATTTAATGATAACCTTATGATTTTTAATTTCAGTTAAAAAAAAAACAAAAGTCCACAATAATTGCCAACGCCTTGCCCATTGCGGATATTGACTGAAAAATGGCACCGTTGGCCGGTTCATCATTTTCAATTGACACTTGGAAAAATGATCCACCAGATGTTGAACTGAAATGTTTTCTCCCAAATGGCATTTTTCTATGTTTGAATGTACCTGCAACGACCACAATACGAGAAGTCAAGGCAGTAAGTGACATCTTTATAATATCATTAAAATACATTTCCTCATTTATTATTGTTCTTTTCTTTTTTAGGAAATGGTCAGACAAGCAAGGACATACCCCCTGAATAATCTTATCAAAGACGCGTGTGATTATGAAGTTAGTGGAATTTCAGCAATTGCATTGGTTGAACCGTTCACAGATGAGACCAAACGTTTATGTGAAGTACAGCCTTATTTTTGCCTTCTACGTTTGGGTGAACGTTCTGAAACTAGCACAATATCCAGTGATTATGAACTATCGAAATTAGTTAGTAATATGATTGGTAAATCATTCGAGGACTATAGTGCGCAACGTAGCCCCGAGGAGGATGATTTTCGGCGAAAAATGTCATTGCTGTGCGATGAAATCGAATTAGAACGTTCCAAATATAGTTGGTATGAGAAACTGTTATACGAACATCCATTGCGACTAGCCGATACACCAGAAATGCCAGAGATAATAAGGAAACGTTTTCGAAATTCTAACTTTTTAGTTGTGGTGAAATTGGAGAACGATGAAACATCATTCACAATTTCGGTAAACGATCAGCACACACCAAGAACTTTAATCGATTCGGCATTATTAAAAGTTCGAAAATCACAAATTAAAGTCAATGATCGGGCCACGGATTACATATTAAAAGTTCGTGGCCGAGACGAGTATTTATTTGGCGATTATCCTCTCATACAGTTTATTTATATACAGGTATTGTACTCCGAAATGATTTTTTTTTTTTGTGTTTTTTTAAGCTAGTGTTCCTTTTTGCTTTGCAGGAAAGCCTTTCCGGGTCCGATGTACCCAATGTAGTTTTAAAAGCCATCAACACCTTACAATCGTACATAAGTTATAAGCAAGAATTGAATGCAGTCCTTAAAAGACCACCCAAGCCCGAAAGCTTTCGTCATCCATCAAATGAAATGAAAAAACGCAACGTTAAATGCTCTTGGGATTTAAATCAACCATTTCGCCTGCGTCTACATCGCATTGATAATGTGAATTGTGATTTGGTGCGATGTTATAAAGTCGGTGTTCACATTGGCCTCTATCATGGCGAACATAAACTATGCGCTCAACATTCATTTGATATTGCCAGCAGTAACAATCGATCATTTATCTTTGAAAAGGACATTGTCTTCGATATACCCATACAGAACTTGCCACGCATGACCCGACTTTGTCTGGTCATCTATGAAGTTACGAGATCATCACGCTCCAAGAAATCATCAAACACCAACAATAGCAATACCCTGCTGAAAGATGCCAATGTTAACATTAATTCGCTGGCTTGGGTGAACACAACAGTTTTCGATTACAAGGAACAACTGAAAAATGGTTGTTTATCGCTATACACATGGACATATGCCGATGATATACAATCGGATGAAATATTCCATCCGTTGGGTACGATAGAACCAAATCCTCGTAAAGATGAATGTGCTGTTGTACAGCTAACATTCCATAATTATGAATACGATTGTATACAGTATCCCCTCGAGGATACGGTATTACAGTATGCCACACGTTTGGCGGCATGCAATGAACCATTGGGTCGCATTAAATCACAAGATTGTCCGGTGCCATCATCAACGGGTGCCGTCAGTAAAGTTCTATCCCAGTATTCTCGCACATTTAATAAAATCTACGAAATGCACGATCAAGATCGCAACGATATATGGGAGAAACGGTATATCATTAAAATTGAAGAACCCGAAGAGCTGTCGATACTTTTACATTGTGTCAACTGGAACAAACGTGATGAAGTAGCTGAAATGTGGTATTTATTGAAGGAATGGCCAACCATATCTGTGGAAAGATCATTGGAACTATTAGACTATGCTTATCCAGATCCGGCAGTTAGAAATTTCGCTATAAGATGTCTAAACAATTTGAGGTATGCGAACGCGTTTTAAATATTTAAACGTTTATTTTAAAATTAATTTTTGCTTTAATTGACAGAGACGAAGAACTGCTGCTGTATTTGTTGCAACTGGTTCAAGCCATGAAACACGAATCTTATTTAGACTGTGCCCTGACGACATTCATATTGGAACGGGCATTACGAAATCAACGAATAGGTCATTACTTCTTTTGGCATTTACGTTCCGAAATGCAAACGCCATCGATGCAGACCCGTTTCGGTTTATTATTGGAGGCATATCTAAAAGGTTGTAAGCCACATGTCCCGTTGTTACGCAAGCAATTACAAGTGTTGGAAAAGCTTAAACAAGGTTCGGTGTTGGCAAAGAAGGGTAGCAAGGAAAAAGTCCGTAACCTGCTACAAGAGTTTTTGCGCAATCAACGCAACAGCGGGATCTTCCAAGGCATACAAAATCCTTTGAATCCTAGTTTTCGTTGCAAAGGTGTTAAACCGGAGAAATGCAAAGTTATGGATTCGAAAATGCGTCCACTGTGGATTGTCTTTGAAAATGCCGATCAGAATTGTAATGATATTTATATTATATTCAAAAATGGTGATGATTTACGGCAGGATATGTTGACATTGCAAATGTTAAGAGTAATGGATCAGCTGTGGAAAAATGAAGGGTGAGTTATATTGTCAATTCGTGCTTTTGGAATTTCCTATAATGATGCCATCTGTTGTTTGATTTCAGCATGGACTTCCGCATGAACATTTACAATTGCATTAGTATGGAACGTCGTTTGGGTATGATCGAAGTGGTATTGAATGCCGAAACAATTGCCAATATCCAAAAGGAAAAGGGTATGTTCTCAGCGACATCACCATTCAAAAAGGGTTCCCTCTTCAGTTGGCTCAAGGAACACAATAAAACCGAAGAAGAAATGAATAAAGCCGTTACCGAATTTACACTAAGTTGTGCAGGTTATTGTGTGGCCACCTATGTTTTGGGTGTAGCAGATCGACATTCAGACAATATAATGGTTAAGAAAAATGGACAAGTGAGTTATTTTAAAATACGAACGAATATAGTTTTACGATGCAGACATTTTTATTTTTTATTTGCAGCTTTTCCATATAGACTTTGGTCACATTCTGGGCCATTTTAAAGAAAAATTCGGTGTTCGTCGTGAACGTGTTCCTTTTGTACTAACTCATGATTTTGTATATGTTATAAATAAGGGTCATGCTGATCGTATGGCCGAGGAGTTTAGATATTTTCAAGAAATGTGTGAAAAGGTAAGTAACATGCAACCAAAAAGAACTATGAGGGTTATCATTTAGGGTGTATGGTGTATTAAACATTTAATGTGTATTTTAACTGTGGCCAGCGAATGAAAACAAACGAAACGAATAATGTACTGCTCACACCAAGTCACAAATTTGTTTTCAATCGTTTTGTACTCCAAATAAAACAAAACCACTAACATTGCAATACCAGAAATACACAAACAATACGATTGTTTTAATGTACTACGACTGTGAGTTGCCGAGCTGTGTCGTTTGCGAACAGATCGGCGGGAAACGTTTCCAATGACTTTTGTACTGTTTCGTTTCCAATGCCATCCAGCCAAGTACATATTTCTTTCCTCTCATCCACGCAAATGGTACAAATTAAAAAACACGTCCCGTTATCTTAATATCGGTTTTGTTTCGTTTTGTACTTCGAGAAAATACAGAACGAAACGATTGCAAACGTTTGATAAAGTTTATTTTCGTACGCTGCTTGTGCCAAACTATATGCTTGCTTTGATTTGTTTCACCGCAGACCCTCATTTTTAAAACCTTTTCTTTTTTTGTTTTTCTACCAACCAGGCATTTTTGGTATTACGCAAACATGGCTGCCTTATACTCTCATTATTTAGTATGATGATATCAACAGGACTGCCAGAACTTTCATCAGAAAAGGATTTGAATTATCTAAAAGAGACTTTGGTAAGTGAAAAATGTGACGATATCAAGGAAAAAAATAAAGATTCGATTTTTCCGTTCTCTTGTTCCATAGGTTTTAGAATATAGTACAGAAAAAGCACTCGAACATTTCCGTTCGAAATTTAGCGAGGCTTTAGCCAATTCCTGGAAGACTTCACTCAATTGGGCTTCACACAATTTCTCTAAAAATAATAAACAATAAAAGCACGTTATTAAAATACTATGTAAATGTAACTACACAAACAGACACACACACACGTCCAATCCCCCTGCATGTTCATCTCGAAACAACAACAAAAACATCTCAAAAACATATTGTTTTGTTTATTTGTATCTATACACACAACAACACATATAGAAACATAAAAATTATTATCATTGTTTCGGTTAATGATCCTCCTACTCCTCTGCCTCCTCCTGTATATTTAAGATATATACATATTTCCTCCTTAACTATTTTTTGTGAAATAGTCCAAGGTGGATTTCGAAATAAGATAGAGGATAGACGATATTGAAACCATGGTACAATGATTGAAACTGTATTCAAATTTAATTAATATTGGTCGACAATAGGCAAAAACAGCTAGAACAACAATAAATTGCATAGAACGTCAATGTAGCCTTTGTTCGTTCTGTATCCTCAGAACAATAGATTAACTAATTATTGGAACAATTTTGGCAAAGTCTTTATTTTTGCTTTGTAATTGAACAGGAAAACCCCAAACACTAATGTTTACTTTCATTTTTTAAATTATCCTTTTTACTTGGCCCTCCGTTTCAAGTAGAATAGGGCGGTTAAATGAAAGTTAGAAACTTCTCATAAAGTAACTTTAAGTCGCTTAACGGACTAAATTTTACCGCATCTATTACTGCAGCAATCAAAAGTCCAATGATTTTTAAGTCAATTCCGTCAGATAATAACTTATTTTTTGTATATTTGCACATATTTAAAAAAGGAATATACATACAAATTAAACGGATGATAATAAAAATACTAGTATTTTGAGCCAATTTTTTTTTCAAATATTTAGTCGACTATTTTCCAACTTTTTTGTAGAATTTTATTGTGTTCAGAGAGTAAATCAAGTTTTGATTTCGCATGCCCATGGTTTTCAAAGTGTTGTTTCATAAATCAAGTCTATGGATGTCAAAAGTAAATGACTGCGAAAAAACACGCCTGTTTTTTTTTTTTCAAAATTTTGTTTGTTTGTATAAAAAATCAAAATTTTGAACATACCCAAAACATTGATGTTTTTCGTTTGCATTAATATTCTTTCGACACATCCTTAATTAAAAATGCAATAGAATCCCGTTATCCTCCTTTCTTAAAATACATTCAACGAATAGTATCGAACAAATCAACATATGCAATAATGCGGGAATTATGTGTTTGAATTTAATTTTTTTATTAAATAATTTTCGTTTAGATGTCTCCCTGCCTTCTATTCTTATTTCGAAAATCATCAATTTGTATCAATCAAGTGTTCAGGTTTTATTTTCTTACTTTATAATACTACTATAGAAAATAAACGTGATTTACATTTCATTTGTAAAATCTTTCATAGCGAAATTTTTTAAATAAGTGTAATTATTTTATGTTACTGCTATTATTTGCTATTTTGTAATATGAACTCTAATTAAAAAAGCATAAAAAGTTAAATTTAAATATATATTAAGAAAAGATACATAACAAAAGTGTTCAACACAAACTTTAGACTTAGAAGCGAAAAAACAGAAGGAACCCCAAGCAACGTCATTATGAATTAACTAAATAAAGGAATCATACATTAAACAAACAAAAAATTAATAAAACATGGAAATATTGCGTAATAACAATGAAATTATCTCTAGTTACATTTAAAATCTAAAACAAAGAAGAAGAAAAAACATAATCGCATTAAATCTTAAACTAAATAAATTGTTGTGTTGTAAACTACATACATATTTATATATTAGGAGGAACATTTTGAAATCGCTTGAATTGTATGTTTAATAAGATTGCACGCATAACAAAAATTAACAACTCGAACAAAATAATTATGAAAGCAAATATATAGATGCTTTTCCACCAAACTATCTCAAAATCCAATTTTCCACAAATCCATTCTCTTTCCCTCCCCTCCAAATCTCCTATTCAACCTCTTTAATATAAAACTTGCGATTTCTATACATAATTTTAGTTGTGAATTTTCCAAACACAAAGTCATTCAATTTCTAAATGTTCCTACCAAACGTCTACCCCCTCTACATAATCCCCCTAAATTATAAATGTTTATTTTTTATAAAATATTAAGTTTCTCATAAATATATTTAATTGTTCTTACATTTCATACTATTTTTTTAAGTGTAAGTTTATTTTTAATAGTTTTTTTTTGTGTTTAGTATAAATACTAAATACCTTCTTCAAAGTGTCCTATTATTTTAAATGGTTCTTGCTTTAAACAAAAATAATAAAAAAATATATAAAAAATACCAGAAAAAAAGTTATGTAATTTTAAAAAACAAACGTGTAAAATTATGTTCAGACTTGTTCTATAGGTTAAAGAGTTTTTATTAAACTGTATTTAAAAATAAACAAAAAAAGATGATAAACAATTTTTTTTTTAATTTCAAATTATTTCAAGAAATACAATAAAAATGATAAAAAGTAAATATTGCGTCCTTTTATTTATTAATAATACATCATTCATTCATTTTATTGCACAGATACTTTTCTTACCTTATTACATGGCACTGGTGCGATTAAACCGAAATGGGTTAATACGATTATAGTTAATACGCGAAGTATCGGAAGCGAAATTTAGGGAGTCAAGGATCAAATTATGTGTATATGTGCATTTAAGCTTGACTTATTCGTAAATATCGTTTAAAAATGTTGTTCTTTCCTTGCTTTTTCTATTTAGACAAAATTCATTCAGAGACATTTAGGAGCCCGCTCATGACCAATTCGAAGCCAACTGTAGCCAGTACCCATAATATTGAGGGGGTAGAGGGAAATTACATAGCAAAGACATTTTCTGCCTAGCGGCATTAACTAAAGTCTGCAATGTCAACGGGCCGAACACAGCAAAGCACACACTTTTAGCTGCCCTTATATGGAATGTTATGACGACATTTGTTCCCACGCTCTGACTTTCTTTTCTGTAATGAAACTAAATGGAAAAAAGAATACATACCCAAAGGCTGTGCACAAATTTTGCTTCTCCCAGGGTGATCTGCTAAGCGTTTGCAGGTCCATCCAATGTTCCAATAATGTGGGTAAATACGGCACGACTGCGAACATAAAACCCATCTGAACTTATGTATAGTGGGGTGCATGACCCAAGTAGAAGATGGGACTTAACCAAATTTATAAATATGAAGCGTACGATTCTTATCGCCCTGAACGCGATACAAATTATTCAATATAGAGCTTTCGGCAATACCTGATTTCTAAACTCGTAGAAGGCGTTCATTCATTGCGCTCCTAAATTAAATGTTTTTTGTTGTTTTTGGAAAACTGATTTTTTCTGGTTCTGGAAATTCACGATTATCAATGATTATCCAACATTTCAAACTCGACTGGGGGGGTAGTAGTCGATTCAATTTCGTGGGATAGCTTTGCAAAATAAAAATATAAATAAACCTGCCAGAATCTCCTCTCTTTTCAATATTCTTTTATTAAAAAAGATTTTACTCTTACGAAACGACCACCCTTTAATTAAAAAAAATACAAATCCCCATTTTAGAGCAAAATTTAAAAAACAAGAGTCTTATGTTGCCTGCGTTAAAGCAAATGTTAAAGCAATTACAGGGTGAGATGAAAAAACTGCAACCAACTTCACACTGTTGTCATTTCTAAGCCACTCGTCCGACAGCTGTTAAAATTATTCCAGTGACAGCTCATTATATTGTTTATAAGCGTACAAAAGCATTTTGGTAAGAATTTTCCAGAGAAAAAAGTTATTCATGAAGGAATTCAAGAGTGATAATGTGATTTCTTTATATTTGGCTGGAAAACCACAAGTGGCTATCGTTAGAGCACTCCAGCATTTAAATGTGAATAAATCTTTTGTGTCTCATACCATCACTCGTTACCATGATACTGGTAGCGTAGCCCGACGTCAAGGAAGTGGACGGAAGAAAACAGCAACATCAGCGGAAATGGTTCGAAAAGTAAAGAAGCTACTTGATCGAAACCCGCGTCGCAGTGGCCGAAAAAAGGCTCATGAGCTGAACATATCGCAATATTCCATTCGGCAAATATTGAAAAATGAGTTCGGGGTAAAGCCATTGAAATTCCAAAAAGTGCAAAAACTATACCGCAACTCAAAATAGCTAAAGAGTTGCTTCAATTGGCCGAAAGTGGTGAACTGTCGAATTTGGTTTTCTCCGATGATTTGTTTTCCAGCAGTTTGTAAACAAACAAAAGTGATCGTGTTTAATTGCCAAAGAGGTCAGCTAAAAATGTGCACCTTCGGTTAGCCACCAGAACTCAAGCGCCGGCCAGCCATGGTGATGGTGTGGGCCCACAAAACAGCCGATGGTCGCTCTCCACCCGTACTAATCAACCGGGGCATCAGAATAAATGCCGAATATTATCGCGAAAATATTCTGGAGGGTGTATTAAAGCCTTGGGCACGCAAATATTTTGCCCGCAGACATTGGACATTCCAACAGTATTCGGTACCATCGCACTCAGCACGCACCACCCAAGAATGATTACAAAATTAGGTTCCTCGCTTCATTTCCAGTGCACAATGGCCACCAAAATCTCCGGGTACCAATCCGTTGGACTATTGTGTCTAGAGTATTTTGGGAAGAAAGGTTGGCACAAAAAAATATCAAAGTGTCGATCACGCTTCGCCGGGAATGGGTCAAAATACCGCAGAGCAACATTCGGGTGGCGTGTGACGGTTTCATTGGTCGTGCCAAAGGTGACCAATTCGAACAAATCTAAACTTATTCTAAAATTTTATGCTTTTTCCGACATTTTTTGCTTTAATTCAATAACATTTTAAAAAATGTAAAAATTATGGCGTCTGACTTTGTTGCAGTTTTTTTTATCTCACCCTCTGTGTAGTATAATAGATTCCGGTCGAAAAATAAATGAAAACTACATCTTTGTATCAGATCACAGTTGTTTCCAAAAAAATCCTACAATGTCGCTCGAATTCGAATGCAAGAATTCGGCTCCATATTGTTTTACCCCAGAAACACGGACAATATTGCTCTGTGAGAAGTTTGGAATCACACATTTATTTTGAAACAAAAGAATCCCCACCATGAAATAAAACACATTGCTGTTATTTATTTTTGTCTTTAATATATATTTATATTTTTATATATCTTTTTAAAATACATAAACATACATATGCCTATAGTTTTCGACATTTATCCGAAATAATAATATAGATGGTTTTCATTTTAACTGTCTCGCTGTCTGTATATCTGTCTATGTGGCGATCTTCTTCTCTCTCTCTTTATAGTCATTATTATTACTATTATTACAACTATAAATAAAAATTTATATTTAAAAAAATTAGCTTTGTAGTAATTTTAATATAAAATAAATTTAATTTAAAACCTAGTTTTTATTGTTTTTTTTTAGTATTTTCAATTTTAATCGCCATAGAAAATTATTATATAATAATATATAGGGGGTAGTTAATTAACATAACATAGAGCTACGATAAATTTCAAATAAAAAACTATTTTACTTTAAAAATTAAAAAAAGTATAATATTAAATAGAACATCACCACATGAATATTAATAGTGTCCATGTGTGCTGTTATGTGTTTTAAAATATAAATATATGTTACAATTTTATTCTGTAAATAGTAATATAACTAATAATATTATATTACTCTTAGTTCAAATGTACATGGTTTGTATAAAAAAATGATTAAAAAATGGAATAGACATAATTTTTGTTTGTTTGTTTATTGAAAGAAAAACAAATATGCACTCATATTTAAATATTAAAAAATAGTACTATACAAATACCTAGTTTTTTTTCGATTTAGAAAATATTACACATTGTGCGTAATTTTTCTTTTATTTTTAAATGGAATCATTTAAATAATTATGTACGCAAGTATTAGTTACTACAAAATATATGTGTATATGTATCATCAGCATAGATGCAAAACAACAAGCCAAGACTCATTACTTCATCAAGTAGCATATTGTTGTTAATTTCAATTTTTTTTCTTTTTTCTGCAAACCAATCAGTACTTTCCGAAATAAGAGTTTGATTGTTTTGCATTTATCATGACGATTCAAATTTTCTTTTTTTTGGCAAACTAATTTTTTATTGATTGACATTCTTTAAATAGATAATTTAGCACATGGCACAATGAAATCAAGGTAGGGCAGAATTACCAACCGATTTTATTATACCCTACAACACTACGTGCTGAGAGTATTATAAGTTTGATTGGGTCAAAAATTATGTAACACCTCGAAATATTGGTTTCCCAAACAGGAAAGTATATATGGGGATTCCTATATCGCCGAGCTGAGTCGATCAAGCTATGTATGTCTGTCCATTTGTCCATGTTAATTTGTAATCAAGCTACAGGTCGCAATTATGGCCCGATCCTCACGAAACTGAAAATTGAGTTGGGGTTGGGGTCAGAATTGAACCGTATTGTTTTTGGAGATGATTGTAAAATATTTAGGGGTTGAAATGAACCAAAAACATAACATTTTCCTGATTTTGTAGTTGCTCTACAGGCCACAATTATAGACCAATCGACGCGGAAGTTAGCATGGAGCTAGAGCTAGGTAGAAGTCTTCCAATTTTTATGACCATCGGGTAATATTTAGTTAGCATTTGTGTTAAATTAAAGTCAAATTTTCCATCAAACCGCGAATATTTTTAATTAATGCCGGCGAAAACACAAATAGACGAACAGGCCAATTCTGACCGTTACGTAGCAAAATATATACAATGTGTATATACAAAGAAAGGGGATGTTAGCTAGAATGCTTATATCTCAACAATGGCTGGGCTGATTTTTACAAATTTTGTCAATTCAGAATGCCCTCTTGGCATAAAACAAAAAAAAAATCGCATAAAAAGGTGTCAATAATGATGTTAATATAGATTTTGGAGTATTTTGTGATCTTTTTTTTGTCATATATTTTTATCGCATGCGATTTTTTTTAATTTGACTTATAATATTGAAGTATACATTTTGTAATATTTTTTCACATTACAACACAGGTTGGGGTTATTATATACAGATTGCAATTATCGTCCGATCCTCACGAAAATTTTCACAAGGGTAGGGTTAGGCTCAGAAGTGCTAGGCTATTGTTTTCAAAGATGTCCCCAATATATTTAGGGGTTGATATGGACCAACAAGCCGTTATAAAGGTCACAAATAGAAACCAAAGGATACGAAATCTCCCATGAAGATAGAGTTTAGGACAGCAGGATGAATGAACCATTACTTTTGTGTGAAAAAATACCTACATTTCCATTCTACCGATACGCTGAAAATAACGCACAGACGATATCCAAAATACACAAAAAGGCGAACTTTTGGCTTTTATGCTGATTTCGTTGATGAATATAGCCAAATGTCGTAGACAAGCAAATCATATAGATGAGTCTAAATATAGAGATACAGAGGAGGGTTCAAAATATTCGCAAAATATTTAGGGGTTCAAATGAAACAAAACCAGAAACAATATTCTGATCACACAATTGAGGCCAATCGACGCGCCTGAGAAGAGAATTAAGGACAGGGAAGAGTTCTTGCATTTTGGATGACCATTGGATTATATTTAGCTGTAAAATGGACAACAAATAACAGCACGACAGAGTGAGGAAATATTGGACAAACGTCCCTGGTCAAAATGCAAAGGGTAATATCTGGGTGTGCTCCGGACATAATTTCAAAAGCGAAATCTACCAAAATGGATTTGGACATAAAGGGGCTTCTAACATATTGTAGTGTTTTAGGGTATCACATGGTCGGCCCCGCACGACTATAGTCTTTGCTTACTTGTTTCTTATAGACTTCGTCCGAAAGAAATTTATCTCTGAGAATTGATGACAGTGGTTTCAAGACTTCTTTATAGATATTCTTTGCCAATTTTTCTTTCGTAGTGTATTTTAATTAGCCGAGGAACCGGAAAAGGGCTGGCCGGAATCACTACAGTCACAATCATTGATAGTTTTCATCAAAAAGGAAAATTGCCTCCCCTCTGTACATATATCTCTCTTGTGTATCCAAATTTTTTCAATTATTTCGAAAATGTTAAATTTTCAAATATCCATATTTATATTCGTTGGTAGGCCAAAAACAGTCAGTCTGTTTATTTGAGACCGTGAAATTATTTTTGATAACTCGAGTAAAATGTATCTTATCATATATAACGATGTAATTAAGAAAATATATCCCAAAATTCGCAATTAGTTTCAATTTTTTTGTTTTGCACAAACATGGATGTACTTTAAGATATACTGTATACAATTTATTCTATTTTTGAATTGAATGAAACATGTGCTAAAGAACCTACATTCAAACCAATCAGTAAAAAATTTAGTCTTCTTTTTAATTTTTCATTTTTTAAAGAAATACTGTACAATAACTGTTGTTACATATATAAAGTTATATAAACGTTTTTAACGTTTCTATTTGTTTTTGTCTGTTTGTATAAATATATAGATTTATTTGTATGTATTTTTGCTTTTTATTAAATAATGTTTTTGTCTTTATAGGAATTTTCAGTTTATATTTTTCTGTATAATAAATTTTTAACACTGCATTTGTATTTGTTTTTGTCTTGAGTTTGTTTTGAAGGTGCCTATTTGTGTTAGTATCTTGTTTTGTAAAGTAGTTTTTTTTGTACATTTCAAAGTCCTTGATGTAGTTGTTGTTTAAATATTTATCATAAGATTTTTATTTGTGTTTGGTGAACTAATACAAAAGAATTATATCATATATAGAAATGTGTTAAGAGCGATTCTAGAGGAATGATGATGGGGATTTGTTTTAAAAAATTTAAATAGTTGAATTTATCAAAATTTTATAAAATAATTATTAATCGCAAATATATATACAATTTTGGAAAACGTCACACTAATTTCAGCTAACATACTACCCAAAATTGTATAAATATTTCAAATTGTAAAAAATTGAAAAAATAAAATAAAACATTTTTGTAAAACGAAAATTTTTCTGTTTTTTCCACTCTGCAAGAATGTTTTTGTTCTTTTAAGTTAAGTTTAAAATTTCATTTCATAGTTCATGTTATCGTTCATATAATAGTTCATGTTATTGCAAGAATATGAAATAATTAAGAATTATTTTTTTTTTAAATAAATTTATGATTTAATATACTGTTTATAATAACATTATAACATATTATCATAATAGAAAATATGTTTTCCTATTGCAAGAATATGTTATATCAGTGGAAATCTATAAGATGAAACACAAAAAAAATTGGTAGCTTCAAAAAATGCTTAAGCCTTATTTAGACCGGTCATGTTTTAATGGAACGCGTTTTTAAGATTCTTAATGGCATTTATTATACGTCATATAAATGAAATCCCTTTATAAAAGGCGTAAATTAGGTCACGGTTTAAATAAGGGTAGCTTTTTTATATTTCTATATCATTTTTTTTTTTTTGAATAAATTTATGGTTTAATATACTTTTTATATTAACATTGTAACATATTATCAAAATAGAAAAAATTTTTTCTTATTGCAAGAATTTGTTATATCAGTGGAAATCTATAAGATGAACACACAAAAAAATGGTAGTTTCAAAAGACCTTTAAGACTTATTTATACCGCCTATGTTTAAAAGGACGCGTTTTTAAGATTCTCAATGGTATTTACGTCATATAAATGAAATGGAATACGTCATATAAATTAAATCTCTTTGTAAAAGGCGTAAATTAGGTGACGGTTGCCTTTGTTTAAATAAAACGTTGTTTTATCATATGGACCTACAAACGTTTAAAACATAATATGTATTGTACATAATGCGAACATTCGGACCAATTACGGTTGTCGTTTCTATAGTCGTCGTCGACGTTATGTGCAAGTCGCCCTCGCCGTCGCTAAGCGACATCGACAATTTAAAATAAAAGTTGGCAACAATTAAACAACGTTGGCATTGCCCGACTCTTGATTGTGCCATTTACATTTAATTTTCTATCAATGGATTCCCAATCTGATTTAAAATTAACTGGAACATGACCTTTGGTAAGCCCTTTTGCCTGTTGTATCGACAATGATAATAGCAATCATTCGCCGCTATCGACAAAAACCGACAACCCTAATACCGTTATTGTCGCCTCGACTTCATTTTGCGACGACGACAACTGTAATAGGTCCGATTGTGTTCCAATCAAATACTGTGCAAAGTCCACGTCACTAATGACTTCTCAATCATCTGTTACAGAACCTGTCTTACAATAGAACATTTTTCCTTGATAAAAATTTTGAGATCTTAATGATTTCATAACAGAAAATAACTAACAGACTTCCTACTTTTTTTCGATAGGAAATTATAATGGGTTTTGTTACACATTTTCCATATAGAATATAATTTCTTCTATATTATTCAATTAGTTAAATTCAGGAAAATAAAAAGCAAAATTAGTAATAGTAATGCGCCTGCGCTTTCAGCAAATATTTTTTTCTCTTTAATTTTTGATTAAAAATGTTTTTTAGGGGGTTTTTCCTTTCCTTATTAATTTTGTTTTTGTACCTTAAGGAAAACAATTTTAGTGGTTTTGTATAAGTAACATTGTTTTTTCTTTCTCTTTTTTGTATTACTTGTATAAAATGCATTAATATATGTTTTTAGCTTTTCTTTTTTTGTTATTCTTGTTTTTGTCGGGTCAAAATAGTTTCTCGAGTTATTTTTGTTTCAATTACAGAAAGGCACAATTGATTTTATTTTATTACATAATAAAAACTGAATAATTTTGTTTGAAAACAAAAAAAATAGAAAAAATGCAGTGTATAGTAAAAACCTTTGTTTGCGTATAAAATTCAGTCTATTTGTTTTTTAAAAATATATTTAGGGTTTCTTTTCATTTTTTGAGATTCATTCTTTTTTGTGTTTGCAAAAATAATGTCAAGGAATCTTTTTTTACTAAAAATGGAAAGAAAAAAACAAATCCTCAACGCCAAAAATATAGTCTTTTTTATTATAATAACGTGTTCTCCAAAACAAAAAGCATTATTTGAATTATGTACTTTTTTGTAAACTCATTTACATAATACATAAATTAATTGTTTTTTTTTTTCTTTGTTATTTGATATATTTGTTAATATAAATTGTTATCATGATTTAATAATCAAAAATATAGATTTATTTTGTTTCTTTCAAGTAATCAATTTTAACATATACAAAAAATCATATATCTTAGTTATTTGCTTTCCATGTTGGGATAGTTTGATTATTTTTAGTCTGCAGCTTAATACATCATGATTCTTTTATGAAATTATGTATACAGTAATAGTATGTCCTTTATGAAATGTAAAATAAACTACTTAATCTCTCTTTCTCTTAACTCATTAGAGTGTGGATCTTTGAAATGAAATAAAATATGAATGTGTTGTAAAAACTTAAGCACTTACATACTCTTTCCTAATTCTTTTTATGCTGTTTGTTGTCAACGGGGAAAATTAGTCAGCTAGTCATTTTTAGTGCTTGGATAAATTTAAGGGTACATCTGTAAAGAGAAGAGCATACATTTAATTTAGATCAAGGTTTTTGTATATTAGTATTGTGTTAATACATATATTTAAATTGTAATTGCAAATTTGTAACATAAATTGAAGAGTTATTATAACCTACATCACATAACTTACATTTGTGTGTAGCACGCAAAAGAAGATAATATAGACACATTAACAAAAGTTAATTAAGAACTGTTCGCATTCGATTTGACATTTAAGATTCTCCACCCAAAATATTAAAATGTGTAAAAAAACAGTGTATCAATGTGTAACAGTGATAAAAAAAACTGCATTAAAGTCGAACGCCATAATTTTTTAATTTTTTTTTTTATTTTATTAAATGAATGCAAAAAATGTCGGAAATAGCATCAAATGTTAGAATGAATAAGTTTAGATTTGTTCGAATTGGTCACCTTTGCCACGAATTATGACCTTCAAACGGCCAATGGAACCGTCCCACACTGCCCGAATGTTGCTCTGCGGTATTTTAGCCCATTCACGGCGAAGCGCTTGCTTGAGGTGATCGACACTTTGGTATTTTTAAGTGTCAACCTTTCCTTTCCAAAATACTCCAGACACAATAGTCCAACGGATTGGTATCCGGAGATTTTGGTGGCCATTGTGCGCTGCAAATGAAGCGAGGAACCTCAATTTGTAACCAATCTAAGGTCTGCGGCCAAAATGTATGCCTGCCCAAGGTTTTAATACACCCTCTAGAATATTTTCGCGATAATATTCGGCATTTATTCTGATGCCACGGTCGAATAATACGAGCGGCGAGCGACCATCGACTGTTATGGCGGCCCACACCCCTATCAGCATGGCCGGCGCTTGAGTTCTAGTGGCAATCTGAAAGTTCACATTTTCAGCTGACCTCTTTGGCAAGTAAACACAATCATTTTTTACGGAATACACAAAAATGCAAATTTCAAAACCTAGTTCTATCTCATATCTAGAAATTCAATTTCAAGATTCTAGATTCAATCATATGTCATTCATTTTTGTTTACCTGTTAGTTGTGAAGAAGGTGCTAACGATGATGATGAGCTAGATGTGTAGTTGTTCTTTGATGCTTTGGAAAGATCTGTTGATGTATCAGTCATTGGTTGCGCTGGACCTAGCGTCGCAGCGGGTGGTGGTGCCGATGCTGCTGTTGCCATGCCTGTGGCAGGGACTAAACCTGCTGCATGCAAAGCGGCAGGATGTGACGGTGCCGCCAATCCATGAACCATTGGATTAAACATTGATCCTGGTGGTGGCGGTTGTAATACACTACCCGCGTGGTGTTGAGGAGTAGCCGCTGAGGTGCTACCGAAACCAGCGGCAGCAGCAGCGGCTGCCAATGCGGCTGCATTGCTTACACCATTATATTGGAAGCCATGATATGGTGGCGATAGACGTGAAGCTGCTGCCGCGGCCGCCGATAGCATGCCAGGATGCCGAGATGCTTGAAGTAATGAAGGATTCGCAGCTGCGGCTGCAGCAGCATTTTGATAGTGTTGCATCCACATTTGCGGATGGCGCATAGCAGCTAGTGTTGAAATATACGGATGATAATACGGAGATCCTACAACTGTTGGAATGTATGAAGCAGCAGCAGCCGCTGCGGCAGCAGCTGCTGCAATTGAAGTATTATTTGATGTAGGAGAAACGGCAGATGTTGAATGATGAGGACTACCTGTTCCTGGAGCATACATATATGAATACGGATGCATGGGAGATGCCTGCATACTTGATGCTGCACTTCCAGGTGAGGAACGATGCAGCAAATGTTGCTGTTGTTGATGGTGTGACACAGGGGTCCTGCGATCGTTGTCATCAGCGCGATTTTCCGAAGAAGGAGATGGACAACTACTATGATTATTACTCGTTGTTGCGGTTGGTGAAGCAAATTGTCGTCGTATTGATGCAGTCTTTTTTGGTACAGTACGAGGTGTAGTTTCACGTGGTGAAGCTGTCGTTGATCGCTGTGGAGATAAATCTCCTCTTGGAGTCGTTGGAATGTTATGATGATTTGCAATGCCACCACCTCCACCAACACCACTTGTGGTGGAAGATGTTGGTGTGGTGGCTCTAAAAGCAGAAGAATGATGACGTGGTGAACGGGAGCTGTTGGTAGTCGGCGTGGTGCTTGGTGAAGCATTGGCCGTTGAGGGTGAACTAAGAGAACTTCCTGCTGCTGCTAAAGTCGACGGTGGTGGAACATACTGAGGTGAAGTCATATAGGGCGAATAAAAACTTTGTGGAACATGATGTTGATAAAGTTGTTGATGTGCCTGATGGTGCGGTGATGAGCCAGAACCTTCATGTAGTCCTGAATACTTCATTTTATTATAGATGTCTGGCATAAGCCTTGGCGACCGTCTGCCATAATCATAACTATGTGTCGAACTGGCACTAGGACTTCTAGAATGAGTTTCACGCATAGGTGAACTGTACGGTGGAGACCTCTTTATTTTGGAGGAAGATGTAGAAGGTGATTTACCACCACACGTTGTTGTTTGATGTCCATCTGGAGATTTTGGCGACTGATGAGGCGGTAATGAAGAAACTGGAGACTGCTGATATGCTAATGAATATGCCAAAGAATTGCTAGTTATTGTTGCTGGTACATCATGTGACTTCTTGCAAGACGATGAAGACGGAGAAGGCGAAGATGACGAATTGGAATTTCCCCCCAGTAGGGAATGTATACTATATGAGCTATAAAGTTTAGTGGGGGCTACTGACGAGGTCGTTGTTACGGTGCTTGTTCCTATTGTCTTAGCGGTGCCTGTATTAGAATTATTAGTATTATAGCCAGCGGGAGATGGGGTTTTACTAGCGGCAGATGAAGCAAAATTTTGAACAGTACAAGACCCACTATTTGTACTACTACTGCCTTTAGCCCGACTTCTCTTTCCTCCTGCAGCTGTTGTGGAGTTGTCTTCCAACGAGACCTTTTCAAATTCTCTCAATATACGTTTTCTTGGGGATACATGTTGTTGATGATATTCGACTAGACGTGAAGCTGCTGTATTTGACGGTGGTGACACTTTGGAACACTGAAAATGTTTATGAACCCCATCGCCTCCACCACCAGTGCTGTAATTTGTATTTGATGATGACGACGACGTTGAAGAAGTAGTCGGCGGTGAGTTCTGATGTCGTGTAGAGTTTTTGAGAGAAAGAGGTGCATTTTCTGCTATACGAGATGCAGAAGCATCAATCAGCTTTTGTACGATAGAAATGAGCTTGGCTCTTGATTTATTACTTTCTGTCAGTTTAAGTCTTTTTTCCTCGTCTCCTGGTTTCTGACATTCTGGTTTGGGTGTTTCATTGTTTGTTTTTGTAGTTCCTTGAACTTTACTATCGACTGATTCTTCATTCGAGACACTACCATTTAAGGACGATAATTTCTTGGAAGATTCTATCAACACATCTGCCTCGCAGTCACTGGTATTCATTTTCTCCATATCCTTCTCCTCTTTGTTATCTGCCTCACAAGGGCTCATTCTTCCCTTGTGACAAGAAGAATCTTCTTTCTTCATGGGGGAAATAACTTTGGCCATTTCCACGTCATTACATTCGTCAGCTTCTTGGGGCATTTTTTCTACTGTTGCATTATCAGCCTTATCTCCAAATGTTTCCTTGGCGCCGTCTTTTGTCTTCTTGTCATTTGAATCGCAGCTGTCATTTTCCTGCTTTTCTTCTTTACTCTCTGATTCTTTTTTGGGCTTATCAATCCTTTCCTGCTGCTGCGGCTCAACTTTTGCCTCCAAATCATCAATAGTGGACTGTTGAGATTTATTATCGACATTCTCAGGGAGTCGGCGCGATCGTTCCTTGCTACATTCACTCTTTTCTTCAAACAATTGGGCACCATTCTCAAATATACCAGATTGTAGGGATTCCTACGCTTTCTCTGTGCCAGCAAAAGTGCCTTGGGTGTTAATTTTAGGTATGCGGGCTTGTGATAAAATAACGCCATTTCCTTTGAAATATTTTTGTGTGGCGCCGTCTGTTTCCAGCCATGATCTCTTTGCCAGGGTGAAGACTGTAGGGAACTATTGTCATCCGAAACTATAAAAAGAGAACAATTAAAAAATACATTATTATGGGTTGGAACACAATAATGGAATACATACAACTGAACGAGTTTGAACATTCATTCTTTGAATAAGATCCACCTCCCCCACTACTGACGCCACTGGCGCTACTGCCTATTACCGAAGCTGTAGAAGGATTTAACAAGGGTGAAGGTATTATTCCACCAGATGTTGCAGCAGTCGCTGTTGGTGTAACTGTCGAAGATGTTGCAGCTGATGGTGTCCTGAATATTTTTCTCGGAACCGAGACCCATCCACCCTTTTCACCATCCTTAGATCGCGCAAGCTCCAAAATGAATTTGCCATCTTTAAATTTACGAAAAATTATTGAAATCTAAATTATTAATTCTAAACATTTGACAAATTTACATACCTTTAAAAAATTGTAAACGTCCACCACCAAATCCAACAGCACCACCACCACTACCTGTAGCATTATGAAAATTATTATTTGTTGATGAAATTGATGAAGATATTGGATTCCTGCCAATATCTGAACGATTGTATTGATGCGCACTGTTGTTATTAAAATTTCTTTGATGACTATTACTGTGGGCATTTGCTGAAGAAGACAGATTTATAATTGCAGATGAGGATGCAGATTCATTGTTGTTGTGGTTACTCGAGAGATTAGACGATGAAGAATTCACAGTATAATCAATGACACCCATGTCCATGGAGGATATTGTTGACATTGTACTTGCTGTTGTATTAACACTTCCTTTGCTTGCTTTGAATGATGGTTTGGCGAATTGCGATGCTGTTGTGGCCGTAGATACGGGTGTTGCCGACGATGATGAAACTTGAGCGGATTTTGATGACGAATTGGAAGACCCCACCGATGAGCCATTGTTCAATTGTTGATTCTGTGAGGATTTGGAAGAAGATAAACTGCTGTTAAATGCAGATGCCGCTGAACTGTTCAAAGCAGCCAAAGTACTGGTCAAACGTTTATGATGATGGATATTGGAAGCATTTACAGCAGCCGCTGCCGTTGCTATGGCCACTAAGTGAGCAGCGTGTGCTGCAGCAGCAGCCGTTGTAGCATTTGCTACAGGCGTTGTTGATGATGATGTAGACGTGGGAGACGGTGTCGACAATGTTGTTGTGGTGGACTCTAGATTTTGCTGTTGATGCTGCTGCGGCAACTGAAAATTAGCCGCCGCAGTTAATAATGTAGCGGTAGCTGTTGCAACAGCAGCAGCTGCTGCAGCGTTAGTTCCATTTAATCCATTCTTCAGTAAAATTTTTGCTGCTTCAGCAATTATTAAATCACTGTTGCTACTATTTGTTGTTGCTGCAGTACTACTACTGTTCCTATTAGAGTTACAAGTGACATCGGAATCTTTATCGTTTGCGCGTGGACTTACGCTTTCTAAATCCTTAAAGGAATTACTACTGTCTGTGTTTGTAGTTGGTGGTGTTATATTTTTAGTCAGCTCATCTGTCATTGCTATTGCTGATGACGCGGTCGCAGCTGATGTGACACTTGACTGATGCTGCTGTAACCGCTGCAGCTGTTGTTGTTGTTCGGCAACATTTTGTAAAATTTTATTCTTTAGCGTCTTTGCTTTACGCTTTTCAACTACAATCGGATGTTGGAGCTTTTCCTTTTCCGTAACGTTGTCATTCGTTGCCGTTGCGCTTGCAGTTTCGTTTTGCAAAATTTTCATGACATCGTCGATACGGCAACAAAATACATGTGATAAAATCAAGACGACAACGGTGGCAACAATCCCAACAGCTAATAAAAAAATTTCTTTTGCGGTGGCTTTGCGAACTTTTTACAAATATACGGGAGCAATTCCTGTAAATAAAAAACGCAATGGCTATTAATGAGCACAGAAACAAAAATATTAAGTGCTAATATTATGTGCAATAATTTTTAATTTAACTTTCCATCCTATGGCTGTATCTTCATCGATGTGTGTTTGTATTTACATTGCAATTCGTTTATTTTTTTTTTTTTTTATATTTTTTCTCGTGCTCTTTGGCCACTTTTCATCTTCATTCCAACGGATTTACATTAAATTCATTAGTCAATCTTGTACTAGGATTGAAACAATTCGAACCACATTAAACTAAGTATTGTTTGTAATGCCAATAATGCTTTTGGAAATTATTATTCTTTAACGTTTTTAATTTTAAAATCGACATTTTATAGGTACCAGAAAAATATGTTTTAATCTTTATCTTTATTTTTGTCGTAGTTTTTCCCACTTGGTGTTCGTCGTTCGTTCACCACCACCACTCATCGCAACACAACTCTGTACAGAAGAGTTAACATTTTTAGCAACCGCCTTGAATGTTGTTGGCCTCAATGAATATGCTGCTGTCTGTAGAGAACAAATAAGAGAGCGTGAATATGTATTTGTCAATGGATGCAATGATGGGGCAATGAAGGCCTTCGGTTTTTTGTTCTCTCTCTTTCTCTCACCTTATATGCTACTCATAAGTCCTACACAAATGTTATTCATTTGAACTTTAACATTGTGTTGGGGTTCCTGTCAATGTTGCTAACCGTCCATATTGGACCGTTTTTGGATAATAATAATAAATACTGACAATAATATATCATTAATGTAGAGAAAATTATCGAAGTTTAAAAGTGAGAGTAATAAAAAAAGTGGGAAATTATAAAATGCTAATGCAAATTTTTTAATAATTACAGACAACGAAAGTGTATTTTTTAGATCCTGCATTTAATAAAGTTTGTCTCTTTATTAAATCAACTATAACAGCGTTACCTAAAATTCGACGTACAATGAAACAATTCCTTTTTTTGTGTTGGAAATAAAAACAAATATTAAAAAATGTGAATGTTTGTAATTGGAAAATGTTCCAAATATTTGAATTTAAAAAAAGAATCAATTTTTACAACGTTTTTATTTGTTGATTATAAGATATGAATCTGGCGTATTTGGGTAATACGGACGTACAAAACATTTTACCATGGTGGGGAAGTTGAATTTTTTTATACGCTACATCGAAATTTAGGTAACTCTGTAATAAGGGCTGTTTGCTGTCCTGGAAAAAGTTATATAAATAATATAAAATTTTAAAATCAATGTGCATTTTGAGTTCTATCTAGGTCTTCAAATTTAAAATGGCGTTTTTGAGTAACGAACATTTCGAAAATAGTATATTGTTACTTAAACGAATATATATCAACCTCATGCACAAAAATTCTTATGTCAAGAATTGCCAAAATCAACACTAAAGCCAGATATCCAGAGAGTTGTATAATCTATTGTATTTGGTGGAAACTAAGGGTATGAAACATCATACTTTTAGATGATAATTGGTTCTATTGAAGAAAATAAATTACCAAAAATGAAATTATTGTATCTCCGTATTGTAGCCATTTGTTTCGGTGTATGCAATAACGACTTTAAAAAAATACACAACACTTCAGAAGTAGATATCAGAAATTTGGTGTGTCATTTTATGCCCCTTAAATTGGATAAGTTATTTATGGACTAAATATAAAAGTTATAAAAAATGTACTATCATTTCAAATTTCCTTGTAGAAATAATAGTAATATAGCTCTTACATATTCTATATAAATCCCACACGATTTACGAAACGTAGTTTAGGATCGTATAATTTTTGCACTAAGAAAGCTTTACATTACCAATTGAATATAAAAAATCGGTGGGAACTCATTAAAATTTTGGTACTTTGGGAAAATTGCAATTCTTTTTACAAAATTCCATGTTGCATCTCATTCATTTATTTTTGAATGACTTAATTCACGACTTTCTCACCCGTTCACTTTCAAATATTTTAAATACAGTTAAACAGTAGCCCTATTTAGAAAAACTGTTAGGCCCAAATGCTTTGAAATAAATGGTTTTTGTGTTCTGTTTTGACTATGGTTTCTACTCTAAATGAGAAAAGAGCCCAATCTCCCTCTTCGATTGTCAACTCTATTCTCTATTCGGTGATGAGAAAAGAGTTGACAATCGAAGAGGGAGATTGGACTCTTTTCTCATTTACATTGGTCATTCGAGCCGGATCGAGAATTGAATCAACAGTCAAACCATACGCTTATCTTTCTCTTCCCATTTACATTGGTCCTTCTAGCCGGATGGAGAATTGAATCTACACCCAAGCGAAGCAGTTGTACTCCTTTCTCACTAAACATTGCTCCAGACGAGCCGAATAGAGAATAGAGTTGACAATCGACGAGGATGATTGGACTCTATTCTCATTATTAAAAACATTGATAAATTGACAATCGAAGAGGGAGATTGGTTTCTATTATCAAACATTGGTCCATCGAGCCGGTTTGAGAATTGAATCAAAAGCCAAACCATTCGGTTGTCTTTCTCTTCCCATTTACACCTACATACATTTCATGCAATGTTGGCATCACTCTTACTGTAATTTGACAGAGGACAATCTCTTAGTATGTTCTGCTACTTTCAAAAAAATATATATATATCGCAATTTAATATTGTAGCATGTTTTCGGAAATCAAAATGTTAGAAAAATTGAGGTCTTTGATACCTCTATACATATGCTTTTGCATAAAAAATATCTAATTTTTACGAGGCAAAACTAACATTAAAACAAAATTTGGAGAAAAAAAAACAATAGCATAGAAAACAACAACAATTGACAAGAGCGTCAGAAGACTAAAAAACACTACATCTAATAACAAAAACAAATGCTTAAAAAGTTTGCCAGTTTTTTTATTAGGTGTGAATGAACTGACGAAGACTATATGCTTCTATTGACTGCATTGCATTTATTGAGCTCGTCATCATCGTTGAATGGAAAAACAAAAAAGAAGAACACAGCAAAGTTTAATTCAATTTTGCTTTTGCAGATTCTCTATAAAGAATGTAAACACGTTGTAGTAATAGGGCATGCAGTTTGTCGACAAGAATTTTTCATAAGAAACTGTAATACAAGAACAAAAATATTATTTATGTCGATTTTTCAATTTCAAATCTGTGTCGGAATATAAGAGTGTTAGTGATGTCAAACAAATTTTAATTTACCAAACAACATTCTACGCCTTTTTACTTAACAAGGAACGTCATGGCGGCAAGACTTTGCTAAGTGAGCTAAGTCTGAGAATCAAAAATGGTTTCAACGAAGGTACGCCGCCTTAATATTCTGATTATAATAATATACTTGCATTTTATTTGGAGGAAGTCTAAACATACTGAATCAATTGCTTTGAGTTTTAAAGTAGTTAGTTTTGGGTATGTTCCCAGAGGAAGGTTTTAAGCCCCTACCTATATACCCATCACTGAAAAATCAAAAAGAGAGAGGTTTTTACTAAACTAGATTTACTCCCCTGTATATATATATTTATTTTGTACTGAAAATGTGGTAAAATACCTAGTAATTGTGAATCACAATTAAATATACAACCATGAAAAATGTACCATTAAATAAACGATCATCACTGCTGAATTGAAATCCAAATGCAGTGGCGGCTGGTGGCAAAACGCATACAAAATTTTTAGTGGCAGTGAATTAAAAACACACAGGCTCCTAAACACACACACTCGTTCAAAAATCCAGAGAAACACCAGAGGGATCGAAAGAAGAGGTGCACTTAACAGTACTGAATTGAATGTTAACACATAAAAACAACAACAATAACGAGCACACCAACAAAATAAAGTAGTGTAAAGCCATAATGTAGAAAGGAAAAACACAATACAATGGGAGCACGAATGAGCGACAAATGCAATAAGCACCCCTTCTTCCTTCCGCCTTAACGGCTGACAAACACACAGAGCCAGCCAGCCAGCCACCGACCAACAAACCAGACAACAACAACAACCACATCGCTGAGGAAAAAGTTGTTGGTGTACAATTTAAGTATGTTTGCTGCTGGTAATACACTGCTCTGGCTTTGTTGTTGTTGTTGATTTCCTGTCTAATTACTTTAAAGAGGGAAAATGTGAACACGGCACACAAATAGACGACGACAAACGGACAAACTGACATATGAGACAACGGACAGAGGGAAGATTATGGAACATTTAGTAACGGTTTTGATAATAAGCGTTTTTGGCTTTTATTCAAAACATAACATTTTTGTTTCAATCAGTTTATTAAAAACAAAAAAATAATGTTAAATCCATAGATTTCTGACTTCTTCGTCTCAGAAGAGAGCACTGTATGATTTATTAAATGATTTAAAAGAAGAGAGAACTCACTGATTTTGTTGACTGTTGGTGTTCTCCTCTTTGGAGTTTTCTTTACCAACCAACCACATACACCACAGCAGGACAGAAACGTCAACGTTTTCCTTTCTTTCAGTTTGTTCCACCAGTAAATTTCTGGTTGCACTTTGAACGGATTCGTCGGTTATAGGTCTAAATATTGTGAACAAATTTTAAAGGTGGATCCAATTTTTTTGTAAATATTTTTTTTTCATTTCTGATATAGACACACATGTATAGAAACATCTCTTTCCACATACACACCAACACATTTAAACACGTACACGAAATACATCAACAAAATAAAAGCATGAAGTCTCGTACGGGTTTTAACATAGAAGAAGAAGCAGCAGAGAACATATAATTTTTTTCTTTTCTTTCTAATCACAAAATTATCGCAACATGTTTTCGGTATTTATTTCTCGTAATTTTCATAAAATTCATAAATCCTTACATGCACACACTTTTTTTATGGATATGCGATGATTTTTTTTAATAAATTTATTAAAAAAATAGAATAAAAACCAAAAATGCGGAGCACAACTTATAAATTTGTTAGCAGACACACACGAACGACGACAACGAAGAAAAAATCTCACATAGTGTTGCCATATGTCAGTGAGTGACGGCTGCGCTGCATTCGGCGTGCAGCCAAGGGAATTTTCTCACGCGGTTACAACAACAACTCGTGAGAAATTTCCCATGAGCGTGGGAAAATGGAAATATAAAATTGTTGTTGGTTATGTTATTAGGGATATGGAGTTGAGGTCGAAAATTCAATTGTTGTTTTGTCGAGTTTCTTAGAAAATTGATGTTGGTTATTAATTTTTCCAGTAATTAAATGAAAGAAATATTTGATTTTTTGACTTTTTGAACATGTTGAAGTGGAAATAATTATTTTTTTATCAATTTTTACAGACATGAGAGTTTTAGATCCCTATTTCTAGATCAGCTGTTAAACGTCATCAATTAACATGGGATATCAATTCAATAAATGATAGAATAACAAGGTAACCCTTTCTGGCTGGTATCAATTTGATATCTCAAGAAAATTGTTTTAAATTTAATTCATCTTAGATACACATAAAGAATATTCAAACTTCAAATAGAAACAATGGACTTCGATTTGTGAAATCAATTTGATTCCCAACTTTGTTCTCATCATTTTATACAAACTTAAGTTTAAAGCGGTTTCATGCTAAGAGAGTAAGTCTTGAAATTGAACTAAAATAATTTCACTCAAATGATGCTGTTCTCAGGCCAAATATTAATAGAATTTAAATTGCTAATTTATCATCTACACACTTATATAGACCGATTATCGAGGTTTTTACTAATGTTTGAAGAAATCTTGAAGAAGTCCAAATTTTTTAGAATTCCGCAGCTTGAGGTTTTGACAGAGTGTAAAAATTTTCTTCAGAAATTTCTCGATTTCAAATCTCTAAGATTTCAGTTTTTCACGAAAAAAATTCAATTTAGGGCCGAAGACTTTGAATAATATCCACAATATGAGTTCGGAAAAAGTGCATAACAATCCGCTTGGTTTCTTCGAATTCTTATGGAATCTGTAGATTTGTTTGCCTTTATAGAGTGCTTAAATATAAATATAAACTTTTTCAAACTTCAATAACAAAAAGAAAATAATTGTTCAGTGTTTCAAAATGAAATGATTCGATTGGTGCATGGATTGGCAAAAATTTGAGCAATTTGCCTCAAATTTTATATGCCTATTGAATTCGCCTTGCTTACACGTACGACACGTACATGTACAAAGTAAGATTAAATTTTGTAGCTCCATTCATGGTGTCGTTCTTATTTGATATATGGGTATATCTCTTCTTCTCTGGTGTTATTGGGAGTTTTTTCAAGATTAATAGAATATGGGATTTCTAAGCAGGGGAATTTTTAATATTAATCAAAACCAGCTGGTAGAATTTCTATTTTACCCGTGCGGCCATAAGCCCTAAAACATTTATTTTTTCTAGATATTGTTTTTTGGTTAATTTTTAATATATTTAAATCTTTATCAAAAAATGTTAATATTGCAAAGTCCCAATATTTTCCTTGTGTGATAAGCAAAAGACCACTTGAGTAAAAGTTTCAAAAATAATTGCGTCTGTCTACTCGAAATTTAACTTTTTACAATATTTTGATAAAATGAGTATAAAGTGCCTTAATATCTCGAAAGAATCTCAATTTTTTAAGTCAAATTTTCAAACTGACATAATTTTTAAAATACTTGAGCGATTCTTTTCTGCATGCAGTTTCGAATGTTTGCCGCTAATAAAAATTAGTTTGACGACTTGGAAACATCACATTCGATTTCATCATAGGGTTGAATTGATTCATGCAAAAGGTTAATTGATATAATAAAATAATCTTAAGATTTTTAAATTTAGTTTGGTTTCATTTTATATTTGCATACAAAAAATAAATCAACATTTAAACACATCTCTATACATATTCATCCTTTCAAGCTACACAGTAGAAATTGCTTATTAAAAAAGAGACTAAATATATAGGTGCGTGTTTTATAATCATAAAAAAATGTTGAAATTTACTGCAGTTATAATATTTACAAAATTCGCATGTAAAATTTAACATTGTTAAAAAAATCTAAAATGTACTTATAGGTATTTTATCGAAAGGAAAAAAATATTGAGCAATGAGTAGCAGTTAGCACTCATCACAACTTATAACTGGAAGAAACATAAAAAACGTTGAGATAAAACTTACATACATATTAAAAATTGATTTCGCATTCAAAGCAAGTATTTGCAGAAGATAAGTTAAAATTGCAAGATTCCGCAAGAACATCGAAAATAATTTTTATATTTATGTATGTGCGCTTATTACGTGTCAAACAAAATTTATTTAACTAAGACATTTCTTTGCTTGTTAAATTCTGGGAAATGTCATGTTATCTACATGTACATATATATAGTAACTTAAAATCTATGTTTAGGATTTTTATGTTTGAAAACATAACAACAATGGTAATAGTTATGGACTATTTCTATACAAATTGTTCTTGACTATTTGCCGACAACTCCATAAGTCTCCATGCAGCTTTGGGATTCAATTCATTTGGATCCCGACAGAGTACCCAAACATAATTCACACGCATAACTTTCTCTGGGTCACCTTCAACGACTTTATTAGAACTACGCTCTCGCACACACATAATTTGCTGGGCTTGGAAGGTAACAATGAGTACTGGACCTTGATCCATAACTTTGCCCATAGCCAAGTCAATGTTTTCGATATCCAAAATTTTCGAATCCAAATACAAACCAGCTTTTATTGCCTGACTTATTGGTGTTGATATGATGTTAAAGGTACTTTCAAAGCACCAATCTTTTAGTATCTCCAAATCACCGCGTACCATGGCCTCCAAGATATTTGGTATAATATCAGTTTCACAATCTCTCAAAAATTGTTTCTGATCGAAATTTGGATCTATTTTACATAGCTCAGTCAACGTCTCTGAGAGTTCAGTTTTCGAGAATAGGCCACCCATTACATCGGAAACTTTGTCTGTTAAAAGTCTTGAAGCTCGTATAACCGGATTCTCAGATTCTTCATATTTCATTTTCCAATCAAGTACCTTGTTCACATACGCATTGTTGTTTTTGAAATTCTCCCATGATTGATAGAATTTCGAGTCCTTGTGCAATTCCATGCCCATTGCTTCCAAATTTGGTTCAACAACGCGATCATCATTTGCTAAATCAATTTCCTTACGTTTACGTAGACGAACAGGCGATCTGTACACACGGGAATTAATGCTCTGAGCATCCATTTCTTGTTTGATCATTTTCGTTGTGTCCGATATGGCCTGGAATGCTGTGGTTTGGCCAATTTTTTCGCCTTTTTCCGATATGGTTTCCTTAGCTGTTTTTGCCTTGTTTGAGAGCTCTTCACCAAGCTTAGATGCTTTTTGACCAATTTCGGTTTTAACAGCCTCATCGAGTACATCGGAAACCTTCTCCTTAATATTTCCCAATTGATCTTTAAGTATGCTTGATGTTTTTTGAGTCTCCGATTCAACAATATTGAACTTTTGTCTGGCGGATTGTAAAGCTTCCGACTGTTCCAACTTCTGAGCCTCTTCACGGAATTTCTTAATGCTTTCCTTCATTTCCTTGTTTTTATCCATTTCGTTCTTGATGTTATCAATAAACTGTGATAGAAATCCAGGTCTTCGGCCGGGCTGAGAATACCAGCGCTAATTGTTCACATGAATAAATTATCAATAAAAGTCCAAAATATATCAATAACATAGTTTAAAGTTTAAAAATTCTCTCAAGCCCCTAGGATGGTCCTTTCAATTGCCAATGGACTTAAGTAGAATTGCAAAACGCTATTTACCTGATTCTGCAGCACTTGCATACATCTATTGCCCACCAGAACAACATTGCCACTTCTCGATATAGCCAGGAATTTGTACTACAAAAAAACAAAAAAGCACATTACTCCATTCTCGCTTACACAAAATAATTTATCAAAAATCAAATGAATTGTTTTATTTTCACAAACTTTTAAAGTAATTTCATATTTTACATACATACCATTTTCAAAGTTAGTATTATTTTTCGATTTTATTATAACTTTTCTGTTAGTTTTCCTATTTTATTAAATTTTAACAATATGTATTTATGTAATTTATCGGTTTTATTTCGCTAGGAGAGGGTATTTGGTAAATCATGCCTGTTTAGCTGTCATTTTACTGTCATACAACTGCAAACATCTGATTAGAAAAGTGACACATATATATGATAGGACAGTTGAACTAAATGAAAGCGCAAATAGTTGACGACGAATAGAGTTGCCATGTACTTGCAACATTATTGTATGGGGTTTGATAATTTCGTAAAAATATGAACGAGAGCTTTTAATTTCCACACATCAGTACATACACAGTACGAGTATATTCATATGAAATGAATGCATCAATTGCGCATATGTGTTTAGGGGAAAAAACCTAACAAGTTTATTTTTTTTTCAAAGTTTAAAAAATTGCAGCAACTTGTACGAGTCAACGAAATAGTTAAAATTTGGAACACAGTCAGTTTGGTAATCCGTGAGGATGTTGAGATGTCTCCATTTACTACCCCTCCGACTTACAACTGCCGCTATTAAAAATATATGTGTTTACACATAAATAATTAGTCGATAATGTCCATTTAAAGGTAGAGTAAAAAGGGTGTTACGGAATTCAAGAGGACTTCGTTCGAACAGGTCATGGTAAAATATTACAGCTAGACCCATTTAAAACAATGAACTGCCTGCATAAGGTCGGCCAGTAAGCCCAACCAAGGCAACAAAGTTTACCTTCAAAAGATTTAAATTTATTATTTAAAATTCATAAAGAGTCAAATCACAATAGTACAACAATATTAAGAATTTGAAGTTTTGAATGAACAATTATACAAGTTTGAAAATTTTGTTGAAAACTTATAATTTAATTACTACTAAGATCTAACGTAGACAAATGTAACTACCTGTATTCTTTTACCACAGAATATGGTGAGAAGTATTCTTCTACCATAGAATATGGTGAGAATCGAACGGAATTGCGAACTCAGTTACGAATATGGTAAGGAGACGGAATGAAGATCATCACTGGACACAATATGCAGTTATAATTTCCCATTTGAATAAACATTTTAATCGAGATCTTTGCAAGTGAGACGAGCGCATGGTGGTAGATAAACTCGGTAGAGTAAAAGATTAGAAAAGCGCTAATTCCAGGGAAGATAATTAAATTTCTAAAAAATATTATATTTATTATAATTAGAAAAAAAAGTTGTAAAAACCTTGTTATCTTGTTGCAAACCAAAAAAAATTGTTGCAAAATAGAAGGAGTGGCTAACATAACGGAGATTTTGTTCTTGGAATTGTTGAAATTCGGAGAATTGCAGAATAACGACATGTACCGTAGTAGTCCTGAGTCGAAAAAGGTAAGCATGATAGTCATTTTTGTTGGTGGCTAAGCCAACCAGCAATTAACAGTTATGTGGAGATTTTGATTGATTTTGCGAAAATTAAATGTTTCTGCAGCATCAAACTGAAATGCTGACCAATAATATACTGGGATTGGACTGCCTACACATGAAATGTTTCCAAGAAATGTACTTGGATGCGTGCAACAAATTGTGCATATCTCCAACACCATCCATGGCATCCATGAATGATGGTACGACCTCTTCAGGCGTATCATCATTATCTCCAACACCCAGCATGTCAAGTTCCTCATCATCCTCACCGGAATGCGATGGAGGCCTTGTAACTCCCGATTTGGCTGCATCCCTTTATGCTTTGCAGCAGCAACAACTAATAGCAGCTTATCAAAAGCAACAACAATTGGCAGCAGCAGCTGCCATTGCTAACCATGCAAATGAGTCTTCAACAGGACAACAACTACCAATAGGCACAGTCATTGGTAACAATGAAAATACATCACAACAACAACAGCAGCAACAGAATGAAATTTGTAAATCCTTGCAAATGTTTGCTATGTTAAGCACCTATTCCAATGAAAAAGGTATGATTACAACAATAAATTCTATTTAATTTTGTTGTAACAGGTTTTGAGGTTATGTTCCATTTATGACTAAAATATTTTATAAGTAAAAACGACATTATCTTAACTGTTGAATGTTATTATAAGTTATATTAATTATGTTTTGTCATATTAACTTTAGATCCATCAGGTGGGATTGATGTACCTCAATTACCAAAATCGCAAGTCGACGATGTGATGATTGACTTTGCCTGCAACGGTTATGTTTGTGACGAACTAAATCGTTGTCACTTGGGTTTACATATGTCCAATCCAACAATAAGTACAACGACAGGAACTAATATTGCTGGAGGACCCATTAACACTCCTAGCCTCTTGACAGCTGCTGTTAATCAGCAGCAAAATGGTACCAGTGCAACATCTCCCAATGGTTCTACCACAAATCCCACTGTGGCATTAACACCACAACAATTGCAACAACATAACATCAATATGAGTTTCAATCATAATTTTTGGAAGATTCTACCGGCCCATATGCAGCAACATTCTCATGCGGCCGTTACAGCAGCGGCAGCCGCTGCTGCTGCCGCCGTTAATATTGATTACAATTGCAATCAAAATAAGAAGATGCAAAAACGTTATAATGGACCAAAAAATGAGAAATATGTGAGTGTGATTTGCCTTATTTTACAACTATATATATGGTATAGTATTTATATGTAGAATAGTATGTTTATAGTACGTTTAAAGTATTTTATTTCGGGAGCAAAGTAACATGTATAAGTAAAAATATTCTTGTTTTTATTTTCTGTCGAACTGGGTGGCACTTAATGGGCCTTAATTCCAGTTTTGTAAAAACCCCAATCTTTCTAAAAAATCTAGAAGAAGTCAATTCAAAAAACAAGTTAAAAATATTGGGATAACACAATATATAACAATTAAACGACCTACAACCTTTGCGAAATAAGGCGTTATATATTAACATATTTTCCAAATTCAGTAATATATAAGTCGGGATCAAGTTGAGTTTAGGGGCTATGCTCGGATCATTTTGAAATTTTTATCGCAGGCGGGTATTTCCAACCTAAGGAAAAGTAATTTTTTCGTGTGGGAAAACCCGGGCTTGAGATTTTCTCCTCTAGGGTATGTCCAATACCTGCTATGCGATCCATAGTTTTTCTAAACATTATAATTTTTGTAAATAGCCGGAATTCGACTTGAAAGTCAATATCTTCGGAACTACAAAGCTGTAAAGGTTAGATTCAACACCAATTTCTTCGGAACTACAAGAGATATTAATACCTATGGCACCATTTTAGAAAGGACATAATTGCCCTACTCAGGGTAAAAAGATCAACACGTGGTAAAAATTTCAGGTCAACTCGAGCATAACCCCTAAACTCAAGCCGTCGCCATTAATAGAATATTTATGGAAAATCAAATGACAAAGCTTTCCGAATTTCCAAAGTATAACAAAGGTTTTAAAGAAAACATAAAAACTAACATTAATGTTTCATTTACTCCATTAACAATTTACATTACATAAAAATTATCTTTTAAAAAAATGTACAACCATTAAAGTATATTTCCCTTTATTCTTTTCCATTTTCTAGTCATCAGCAAAACATTGTGTTTTCTGTGAAAATAACAATGAACCTGACGCTGTTGTGAAATCTCACGCCGTGCGTGACTCAATGGGTCGAGTTCTTTGCCCAAAATTAAGAACGTACATATGTCCAATTTGCAAAGCATCCGGTGATAAGGCACATACTGTAAAGTATTGTCCACAGAAACCAATTATAACAATGGAAGATGCCGTTAATGCGGAATCGTTTCGCCTATCGAAAGGAACTTATTACAAACAACAAATGAAAGTATAAAATTTGCAAAAAATCAATTTCGAATTGATTTTATTGTGTTATTTAAACAAGAAAATTATCAAAAAAATTGATAAATTCTCGTTAAAAGATCCAGCAATGCTGAAAAATAATGTTTTAAAAACGTTTTTATATGATGAATTAATAAAGCGCTTGATGCGTATTCGTTAGATCTAATCTTTATTAGGTAATAAGTTTTTATGCGTCGAAAAAATGAAATTACATACTCTACATGTATATTCGCATTTTTCAATTAATCATACCTAAATAATTCAAATTTTATTAACAAATTTCATATCTCAAAATCAAATGAATTTTACCTTAAAATAATCCATATATTACAATTCAAATGCAGCATCTCCCATTTGTAGATCAAAGGAGAATTCGATTTCATTACAATATATATTTCTTTAATTTATCTAGATTTCCAAATGTATACGTGTATTTAAAATAATATAATTCTATAGTTATAATCTTCTATGATGTTTTGTTCATTACGCAATGTTTATCGTAATCTTTTAAAGTATTTGACATTCATTATCATTCAAAATGGTTTGATTTAATAACATTTATCGTATTACAAATTTGTTCTTCATAGAGAAAAAGGAGCCATTTTTAATTTTCTTTTAATTTGTATTGAAATTTCGTTTTCATCATTGTCTTAATTTATTGGTTGTATTCGAAGAATATAAATTTTAATTTTTTTATGAATACCTTCACTCATATTAACATATTGAAAAATGTATGTTATATCGACGTGTTACCCTATTACGGTTAAAAAAAAATAATCGAAATCTACAATACTCTTAACTCATTTTATTACAATTTTGTTTAATGGTATAAATAAATCTATTTAAAAAACAGCTGAACAGAAGCATTTTTTGCGTTTTTAATTGACCTTTCCTACTTGCAATACATGGTCTTCATGTCCAAAATTGAAATTCTAACTTTAAGAACCTATAAGTATATAAAATTCATGAAATTTTTGGGTTGGTTGCTACTTATATCTCGAATATCTGTCCTAATTACAATATATACGATATTATTTCAGGAGAAATTGCATGTCAATGACACAATATTTTAGATTTTTCAAAAAATTGATTGAAATAGGTAAATATGTTTATCGATTTTTTTTATTTCCTTTTCATACCCTCCACCATAGTATGGAGGGTATATTAAGTTAGTCATTCCGTTTGTAACACCTCAAAATTCACATTTTAAACCCCACAAAAATATATATTCTTGATCAGAGTAAAATTCTATGTCGATTTAGAGATGTCCGTCCGTCCGTTTGTGGGAATCACTCTAGCTTCCGAACGTTGTGTTGGTATGCAGGAGTTTGGTATTGAAAATGGGCTTTATAGGGCCACGTTTAGGTATAGCCCCATATAACTGTTCCTCCTTATAATCGGTATTTGGACAACTTTAGCGACATAAGCTCAAGACCTGACTAGGCAAAGAGACAAAGTGTTTTTGTTAGTCACATTTATGTTATTGTACTTAAAACACATTGTCTCGTTGAAGTACAGGGAAATTGTATCAGGTAATAGGTAAAACGATTTTTCGTCGTAGTCACCGTATTAATTCATCAAATCATTGTTACGAATGACGTTTACTCTAGGTCTTCCAGCAATTCAGGGCCTTGAATTTCCAACAACCTTGTCTTTGTTTAGGAACCCTCTTCACATAACTTCATGTTAAATTTAGAGATCCGGTTTTCTTAGGAAACGTTTCAGAATTAGTACCAGGAAAGTTCTGTGCCAATGGTTTGGTTAACCAACTTGCAACAAGTATTGATTCCTGAGAATATACTTAACGAATTACAAAATTCTAAATTTCCGCCTTTCTTTAAAATAAAACACTTTACGTACTTCAACTTATAAAAAATTTTATTCATCATCTATTATCTTAATGGATTCAAATATAGCTATAAAAATGCCATCAGCCAAATCAGACGATGGACGTGTATATAAGCAATTCTTTCCAATCTTTTTATAATCCTGATTGCCGACGTTACGCCATTTATTGCGTAAAGATTTTTTGCAACTTAACAGCTTAAATGATGAATTCATCTCAAGACACCTTTGCACCACCTGTTCATTTTCTTCTTCATATAGAGAACATGTCGAATAGGCTATACGTTTAACATCGGGAAAAGCTGACATTGCATGCGACAACATTTTAATTTGTAAACCAGCTAATTTTCTCAGACGTTCCGGATTCTTCTCTTCCGAGTGCATGGACATACGATTTTGCATACCCGACCCAGAGCAAGAAGGATCGACGAGAATATATTCAACGCCAGGACATTGTTCCGCAGTTATAGTTAAGGCATCGGCATTTATGGGCTGTACAATTTTGCAACCAGCGCTTTTTGTCATGTTACACAATGTATTGTAACGTTCTGGATTCTGTTCCACAGAATATATGGTACCTTGATTATTCATAACATTGCTAACGTGTATTGTCTTCATACCAGGAGCTGCACACATATCTAAAACCGTTGAACCGGCTGGCGGACTCAATAGCTCCGCAACCAAGCAGGTGCCCTAAAATTGAAAATATTTTCAGTATTCTTTTCACATATTTTCTCATTCATACACACCTTATCTTGTAGCATAAAATATTTTTCTCTAGTGTAGTTATGATTGGCCCAGTAGTGTTTATTTTTCGGATGAAATATTAACAAATCATCAACGTGCATATCAACCATATACTCATCTTCCTGCAGTTCTTGAACCGCCTTTAAGAAATCATCATAATTTTCAAATGGTGTATATTCTTTTTTGCGCCATTCTTCGCTGGCCAAAAATTCATGAGCTTCATCAACACTGAGCAAGTTTCGATTGATGCGTACATAGCGTGGTTTTTTATCTACAGCAAAAATAAAATAAAAACATATTTTAGTTATTAATGAAATGGTCTGAAACTTTATTTACAAATTTCAATGAATACAATAATAATCGCTCATATGCATGTATATATGGATGTAAAAAAGAAATACTTTCTATAAAAATGTTTAATTAGATTTCTTGTTGTCCACCGAGGCTGCAGAGGTAGAAGTACTGCTGCTGCTGATAGGACCAGTCTTTTCACTGAAAGCTTTAAACACATACAAACACAGTATGAAATTTACTACCAGCACAGAAGCCAGTACCGAAAAACAGTTCGTTTGGAATGTATCAAAGTCAAAGGATTCCTGCAACCAAGAACGCACACCATAGAAAGTGATGAAGGGAAAAGTGAACATCAACACCGAAAACGCGAACAACCACAAGAAAGCATTTGCGCCGCCGTTATTATCGCTGTCTTCTGATAGCGTCGGATCCTGTTCGGCTAATGCTTTAGCTTCAAGCGACAGGTTATCGTGTTCTTCATTTTCATGCTGTTGTTTTTTGGGAACGTTTAACTTGTTTTTACCCATTTTTTTCTTCTCGATACTTTAAATAAGCAAGCGAAAATGTATTATAATGTAGTCCTTGCCTTTTTTGTCTTCTGAGTTATTTTTTATTTTGTCTACTCCCAAAGCCTCGGCCAGACGATCTTTGTATGCACGCACGGTTTGTACCGGTTTCGATTCACCGTTTAATTTCTTCAGTCCCAAGATGAGTTCCGTTACAAGAACTTTACATAAAATCGGACACAGCCGTGGATTATCCTGAAGTATTTGAGATTTTTCAATGGCTTCGTCGATAGCTCCTTTATTGTCAAAGTACTTAGTTAAAACTGCTTGCATACCACGTAAACGCTTAAGTAAGAAATACAGAGAAAAAACACAACAATTATGGTGCATTCGTTATCGTTGTTGTTTTCTAATGATATTAAACTTACGGCATGTTTCTCATTGTACATTAAAGTTTTCAAAGACTTTTTACTTTCCAAGGCGGTTTTTAGTACTGCAGCTACCCGTTTATATTGGGTTGGGACTTTTATCGAGTGTATCTTTTCAGTCGACATTTTAGTTTGTTTCTTTCGTGCACGTGACAATCGGAGAAATTAGAGGAACGACGTGAACAGACCACGAAGCGCAACATTTTTTCGGCGGCGGCGTAATGTATATTTTGCCGACGGCGAGAAATTTCAACGTCGAAGGCAAACATATTATTATTTTTTAACAAAATGTTGACAAAAATGGTAATCTAACGCCAAAAAAATTTATATATGAGCTTTTTAAGCATTTTTGTTAGATTCTTGCAAGCTTTGGAACAGAGCATTTGTAAACAATTCTGATGTAAACAAAAGAATACGCCGAAGCACATAAAATTTGATATGACATAAAAAATGTAAAGTAGAGGGGTCTCTTTCAGGCCTGCTGACTACCCAATTTAATGTCAACATGTATTATTGTGAATGAAACCACAAAATATAATAAATAGCCAAACAATGTAAACAATTCTAGACTTTAAATCTGATTTTTAAAATTTGCGTTAATACCTTGTTACTGTGCCATCAAATACGAAAAATGCAACAAATGACAAATTTTCACAATTATTTTTATTATACAATGGTTGTGTCTGATTACCCTAAAATTTTTAACAATTGCAAATTGTTACTGAAAGTCGTCTGTTAACACAACAGTTCTGCAAAAACAAGCGGTTCTAGTGATACATTTTTATTGTTCTTTTACTGCGAGTTTGCAAATTCTTGTTGGACAAATTTCTTCTTGCAATCACTTGTAACTTCTTCTCCTTCCGGTGTTTTTAATTTTGGCAATTATTTTAAAAAACGTCTGTATTTGAAAAGTCGCATGCATAACTGTTTTGCTTTCAGGCTCATTTTTATTTTTTTTTTGTGCTTAATTTAATTTTATGGCGTATAAATTGTTTCATTTAGACAACACAGCCGATTGCTTAAGGTGGGAATACATATAACGCTTTTTTGACTGGCCAGCCGATGACTTAGGCTGGCTTCTTAGAAAGATGTTACTGGACCATTCCTGCAGGAGCAGTAAACAATGCATAAAAAATGCATGTGTACGTACATGGTAGAACAATACAGGTAAACGCATCGACACAGCTGCTGGGACAATGAACTGTCGAACCAATTTTTAAAGACATTGAATTGAAAATGTTGAATGAAAAATTATTTAACCTCCGAATGACGTCGTATAAGAAAACATATAAAAATCTACTTATATTTGAAGAGACATTTACAATTTTTTGACATATCAATTTTCCCAAGCGTTGATGCACCTACTTGTATTCTTCTACCATGTGTAAGGCTACCATCAAGGTCCATTAAATAGGTCTTGTGCATCAAAATAAAAACTACAGTTGATTGAAAGAAACTCATGCTGGTGCAATAACAAGGTGTTCCTGCCAATTTTGAAAAGCGGATGAAATGACAAAAAATTTTTTTACATGTTGTTGGGTATTTGTTTTTTTTTGCTCTGTGATTTCAATCAAAATAATGCATTTTGGCATTAAATTTGGAAGTCAGTTGGCATGGAAGAGAACCGTATACTTGGGCTATTAACCTCTAATGTTGTTGTAGTAGTTCATACTGCTGTGTTCGATCTGACACATCTCAATCGGGTTCTGCCTCTTAGTCCAGTCTCAAAAAGGATGCAACCTGTACGTGTTAGGTCTACAACGAGACTGGAGTTGAGTGAGTAGGTTTGGCTGGACAGCGAAAAAGGTGCAGCGTGTCAGGTGGTCCTGTGCCACAAGCTGGGCAGATGTTCCGCACATCGCTGTCGATGTCCAATAGGAATTGAGACGGCTGCACCATCCGGATCTTAATTGAGCCAAAACTACTCAGGAGGCCAAATCGGCCAAAACTGTGATGGGAGGGGAATGGTCTCCTAATACAGTATTCATGGTCTCCTATTCTATACCTCATAAAACCTGTCGACCTCATAATGTCAAAGTGTTTGGTTACGTTTAATTCACAATTGACATTCATTTTGACAATGCGGGTAAAATCTGCTGGTCTTATAGGATGACCTGATGGATAGGCCATGGCTTCCATATTAAGGATATTTCTATGCTGCACTTGAAAATTATTTTAACATATTCAATAGAACCGACCATTAAAGACATCTTCCGTCTTAAATTACTTTTACGTACGGAAGGACTTTTAACCTAGGCCACTTAGAAACAGTAGATTTTTAGGAGAATATGTCAAGAAATTATCTATCAAAGTATTTGGGTAGATTGGAAAAATGGAGTTTACATTTTAAAACTTCTAGAAACGCAACCGTGACTCAACTTACTTTTGTCAATGGCAAAGAACCATTTTTACAACCTACCTTTTCGATATTCTTTAGAATGATTTTGGTGGTGTGCAGTTGCATTTGTGTGATATATTATTATTTATTAACTTTGAAATAAACACATAATCTTATATTGGTTTGTATTTTTATTCATATTGCAATTGTATTTCGAAATGTAGAAAATATTACCAATATTTTTTTCATATTTTTCAACATAGTTTTTTAATTCGTCATATTGAATTTATATTGCGCAATGCTAACAAGAAGTTTTTAACTTCGCTAATAAGAAATACTTTTTATGTGTCTAATAATGTTAATAATTGAATAGTAATGTTTAAATATTAAATATAATTAATAATGCATGATATTTATTCCATGTTGAGAGGTGAAAAAGATTTAGATTTTAGAACAATGTTTTTGTGTGTGTATATAATGTTAGTTTAAGTTTTAAACAAGGTATATAGCCACGATTGTCTTGTTATTTAACGTATTTTTCTGTTTCCAATATTAATTGAACAGTATATAATAAATCAAAATTAGTTTAATACAACAACATGGAATAAATAATAAACTAATTGCAGTTGAAACTTCAGAGAATGAACATTATATAAGCAAATATAATAGGTTTAGCAATGGTAATTATATTGTTGTTTGCCCATAGAGTAAAACTTCTATCTACAGTTTTTTGTTTAAACAGTTTGGATTTGATAGTCCATTTTTATTATAGTTATAATGTGCAAGAGGTACTACTTTCATCTCTTGAATTTTCAAACATTGCCTTTATAAATTAAAGCACAAAGTTATTCAAATCTCCGTTAAGATACAACATGTTTACAATAGCATGGCAGTTTAAAGGATTGTTTGTTTTATTAGTCAAATATTGTTTATTTTATAGAATAGAATAGAATGTCATCACTTTTAGTACTGAGTTAAAGAATTCTTATTTTAAAAACCTGAACATCAATTTACGGGAAATTTCAAATTCTACTACAAAAATTTCAATAGAATTTCTGAGGATTTTTTTTTTTCAAATTAATTTGAATTTGTTTGGACTTTTCAGATGAATATTTCATAACGATATACATAATTTTAATTTAAAATAAATAGATAACAAAAAGTACAACCTCACTGTTTTATTTTTTTAGAATGACTGCAAAATAACCAAGTCGTTTTGTGCGAAAATCACCGAGAGTGCATTTATAAACTGAAAGCAAATTGAAACAACTAAACCTTCCAAAAATGTTGTGAGCAAATAGCAAAGTATTTTTTGTTTTTCTTGGAGCGTATTAATTTCTACTTAGGATGAAAGCTTACTAATAAACTCCTCAAAACACTTGCACTATGTAGCAGTTAAAGCATTCCATTCGAATCGCGGATTTTTTGAATGTGTCACTGGCAAAGTGTCGGGTTCCACCAATTTCCATTGGCCATCGATTTCCTCAACATTGGCCAAACTGCAATAGGGTATTTTGTGTATAACTTGTCGTAGTTCATTTGTGTTTCTTGGCGCTTCTCCAATCAATTGCCTTGTACATGTATCTAGCGTAGTGGCATGGGCTACAATTAAAACATTGCCAACTAAACATTTTAGAAAAATATTGATTAGTTTTTCAACTTTGCTCTGAAACTTAAATACAAAATTACCCGTTGAATCTATAATTTTTCTTAAGACATCGTAATTACGTGTGTAAAATCCTTCCGTGGTCTCCTTAATTGATTCGTTAAGATTATTTATTGCAACAAATGGCTGATATTCTGTATCTATATTATATTTGGCTGCCTGTAACTCTTCTTTTGTGAGCCAATCTGGTACACCATCAGGATACCATGCCATCCACTCGAATAAACCAGGTTCAAGTTTTATTTTGTGCTTTCCAGTAAGTTTGAGTCCTGGTAGAGATTGGTTAATTTAGTCAAGTATTGTTTGTTAGTTTCACTAATTTTTTAGATAAGCATACCTTCTAAAGCGCTTGTGCAGGTCTGTACGCAACGATATGCCGGTGAACAATAAACATGGTCAATTTGCACTCTTGCGTCGTACAAAGCCTCTCCTATCAGACTGGCTTGATACAAACCAATATTTGTTAATGGTGAATCATTTAACCAACCATCTGGAATGTTGCTCCTTAATAAAAAAGAAAAGTTTTGTAAATCCCATTGCATTTTTTTTTGTACACTACCTTTTCGGAAGAGTTTTTGGCATATTGAGATCCTTACGCATATAATTATTGAATTCGTCAAAACAATACGGTATCCATGTACCAAATGTAAAATCCACCCGTTCGCCATGACGCATTATATAAACGCGTCGATTCTTCGATGATAATGACATGGAATTTTCAGCAGAATGTTGACTGAGCGTATCGTCTGCCTTGGGGGGAGCAGCTGGTATGGGTTCGACTTTAATGTCACCACTAGCATTTGGCGTTGACATACTATTGGGTGTGATTTCGATTAGGGGTGTAGCCTGCTGCTGATTGGAAGAATGATTATTCGTTATAGTTGGAATGTCCAAACAAGGTTTCAAAGTTTTACGTAAATATTTTTCAACACTTTGTTCTGAATCTTCATTAAATGATGAACCTTCAATTAGCTCCGATGCATGTATGCCAACTAAAAGAGAGATACTTTTTTATTTATTTCAAAAACTCTAGATTTCATTTAAATTATATGTAGTATGTAGTTATGTGTCCTAAGTTTAAATCGATTTGATTTTTCATATGATGATTTGATTTTTCATACCGATTGAACGGTTTTAAATGTTCTTTTTTGTGATATGTGGTGTCATTTTTGTATATAAGTCCCACTTCTATTTAGATTATTTTATTTGTGCAAATTTTAGCTTTATTTGTCCGAATTTAATTAAGAAGTTAATATAGAAATCTATTTTTTATGACAAATCAAATCGATTTAGTTATTGTCACACAACTACTCATATTTATATGTACAAAAATAATGCAACCTACCTTGGTTCAAATCACGATGTCGCAAATGGTCTTCGGTCTCCGTTGATAAACTACGACCATCTACCAAATCACATTCTTCATTCGATGTTAATGACGGAGTTATTGATTTTGACAGTTGAACAACTCGATGTAAAGTCCAAGCATCCGATTCGGCTGTGCGTTCTGTGTAGTTAACAGGTAAATGACCTTGTGCTCCAGTTAACCAGGATATGCCTTCAGCCCAACCGTCTGATGAATTGTCAACAGCGTCACTATTCAAATAAATATAATCACCTATACGCAATTCAAGTTCATCTATTTCATGCGGACTGTGTGGATAAACGACTTTGTGAACCTGTGAAACAAAAACAGCATACATTCATTACATCATAACGATATGGCATATAAAGGTTCTTCTTTTGCTGCTCATCCTCATCACACATAACACAAAAACTATATATAAATTAAAAATTAAAAACAGCAGCAACGATAATATGAATATTATAAATAAGTATATATGGCCCAATTGATATGTACTTGTTTTGTAGCCAATCTGGGATCACGTGAATATAAACGTAGTTCCCAGTTGGAGGCACATGATGCATCTAGTGATTCCACTAAAGTTTTCAGTGCATTGAATTGGCTCTGCGGAAATTGGTACGCTAAAGTCAGGTGCAATGATTTCACGTGAGGCTCCAACGAAATTGCTATTTGTTTCGAAGTTTATCGAGAGTAGGACGATATTTTTTGTGACGCATTATATGTAAAAGAAGAACAAAGAAAAAAGAACGAACAATAATAATAAAAAATATTGTTGGATTGTAAACAAATAAATGCACTTAATATTTTTTTATGAATATTTTTTTTGTCTAATTTGTATGCCATACAATAAATTATATATATATGAATGTAGAAACGCACATATACACTGGCGTTGTACAAAAGGACAGGCAAGGCAGGCAATCAAGCGAACCGTAAGAATACCAAATGTGCTACTAAAATGAAAGGCAAGGGTAACGAAAAACACAACCCAAAGTGTATACTAGATACAACTAAAACCAAGGAACAAAAATGTATGTCAAGCAATGCAGAAATTGTTGGATAGTATACACGAAACTATAAAAACAACTGCTACAACAACAACATCCAAATACGGATAGGTGTTTTCGTCTATGCTTATTGATATATAATAAGTAGTTGTACTATTTGTAACAACTTGTAGTGAATGTCTACCACATTTGAAGTGGTATTGTTTTTGGGTGATATTGATGACACACTCTATACGGAAACGCCATAGAAGATATAACACTTAATAAATAACTGGTTTAATTGAATATTGTATTGTCATCATTTCGTTTTTAAAATTGCCCTTATTATTTTTAATTATTTTTATTAATATTTTTACTCGTTATATGTTTCTTTCACCAAAAATGTCCTAATCAAACTTCCACAAACTACACAAATCGTATATTTTGATAAAAATCATTTGAGATATGTCAAGCATATAAATATAAAATGCTTTGATTGTCATTTAATGAGCTACCGGCTTTTACGTATACTAATTCATTAGGATTGTCAAAGTTTGATTAGTTATAGCTCGGATCGGAAAAGCCATGTGGCAGAAACAACTTCAGTTCGCTAATTATTTTTAAAGACTCGCTTAGACTAAAAAAATTAAAAAAGTAAGGGTTATTTGGTCAACTGCGTAACAAGCAGGAAACATGCAATCATGGACGTAAGTTTGCTAAAATAAAAATAAGGTCGGTATAAATTTGGTAGCTAATGCAATTTTTCGACCGCACAAAGATTACATTTCTTCAGTCAAAAAAACTACACACTCATGTCAAAAAACAAATTTTTTAATAGACGTTATTTCCTAATGTAATGATTGAACAATGAATAATTATATTACGGAATTGAGAAGCATTCACACTGGTAAGAACGCCGAGTAGAGAACAGACAACAATTTCGATCCCCTGTATTAGTGGGTGGACTGGCGAAAATGTTCAACGAACACAACGTTTCACATTTGCAATTGCCCTGCCAAGCCTCAGTTTAATAAAACAAATTGTCAGAGCGGATACTAAACAGACTACTCTGCCAGTTTCATCATTAAATTGATGTGTCAATCACTTTTTCACCTTCCTTATAGGAGAAGACTTTGAATACTTACGTAAACAAAGTGACTCAGTCCCCAGGCTCCATATAACACATATACAGAAAAGACTAATTTGACTACCACACAAAATTATTCTTAAGAATGTAATCGACTTATTTTAATAAATTAGGCTGTTTCGTTTCCATGGAACCCGTGTACCTGATCAGATTGTGATGAAAAAAATTAACCATATATAAAGAGGTCAAATTCATTAACAATACCGCAGAAAACAAAAACGGGAGTTAGTAAATTTAATTGCTAAGAATATATACATCGGAAGGAATTTAATTATGAATATAAATTTTGCAATGTCATTCAAAGGTTTAGACTAATATTCACTAAGAAATTCTAAAAAGCAAATTAAAGCAGTATGAACGCCTTTTGAAGAAAAGATTTTTAAAATGCTAAAAATAGTAATAATTAGAATTAGCTTACAGCGACTGCTACGCGGAATACAACGATTTCCCGAAGAAACCGCACCACACCAGGGAAAACAAGCAACTATTGCATCAAGTTGCTCATATGTATCGCTAATAACTACATTCGGTTTGCATTTAAATGATTCAAATCACATTATTGTCGGTGGTTAATCATGGCGATGTTTACATTGCAAAGAAGCCAATAAATTAGGATGTATTTGTTACAATTAACAATAAATATAAATGTGGCAATAGAGAAGTCCATTTGTTTAGCATTATTATGAGAGATCAAACATACATACAAAAACATGGAAAGAGAATATGGGAAGAAACAGAACGAAAAAAATATAAAGAAACCGTTAATTAACGCACCCGTTAAAAGTAGTAGTAAAACCATCATCCCACAAAGTTTTTAACAACATTTCAGGGGAAAAGGCATGGAAGGGAACATACTTGAGTTGGAGACTTCCTTAACATATTGTAAAGCCAAGCGCTTCAAGTAATTAGCATCATCTTCGGCCACAAAGAAACCCATGAAGTTTTGACTCATGTATAATTCCAGTTTTATGGGTCGGTCTAAAAGAGCCCCGGTCATGTCGACAACTTGCTTCAAAGCTTTTGACAATTGTAGCGAACATTCATCGGGAGCCTGGAAGAAGAAAACAACAAAACCCGTTTGAAACTATTTTTTTTCGCATATGAAAACAAACATACCTTAAAGAAAGATACCAATGTTATGTGTGGAACATAGTTGTGAGCACCATTCCACCCACATAATTGTCTTGATTTTGTCCAAAAATCTTCTAATTGTTGCAAAAACGGTCCGGTTGGACAAGCATAGAGTATATATTCACGTGGTGTACATTCGTCCAGAGTGGTATCATTGACATGTGCTAATAGCCAATCGGATGCTATTTGTACACCCCTGTTTCCTGTAGAAGCTAAGGCCTTTTCACTGTAAGATAATATTAGTAATATTTTTATTTTCTAAAATAGTTTTTTGAACCCATATTACTGTTTAATAACAGTTTTTCTTTAAATTATTGTTTCAATTAAATTTAAATTGTAATTTAAAAACTTTAGAACGCCCTCTTCTTTTGTGTTATCCATCGAAGGTGAATGACTCTTATGAAAAAGAAGAAGGTCATTAAAACACACCCGCCCCCACACAAAACAAAAAAAAAACTTTTACTAAAATCAATATCGAGATGGCAATCTAGAATCAAGTATTCAACTCTTAACCTTATTCAAATCAATCTATAATAGATCTTTGAGTGGTATTTCTTTCTTATTAATAAATGAAATGAAACTCACGCCCTGTGTTTTTGGAAGCCCATTTGCAATAAGGTCTGGATTGGAGTCAAATGCTGTTTCGATATCCGTGTGGGTGTCGGATTTTTGCGTGGCGGCAAGTTGGCCATATTTGTTGTTGTAATATTAGCTCAGAGACACGTTGTTTATAGAAAGATTTCAATACCAAGTCTTATATGATGTAAAATATTAACAATTTTTACGAGTTGTTGTGGCACAGCTTACAGTGAAAATTTGTAAAAACAAACTACACATACACGGCTAGAGTATCAGGCCGAAACATTTTTTGCCGGCGTAGATTTAATTGACAAAATGCTAACTGCGGAGGAACTTGAGCCTGCAGCTTTGAATTTTATGCATGTACCCGTTTCGGCATGTTCACATGCGTGCCAACCATGGTAGAAGAATATAGGTAGACACATTGGCGCAGCTGCTGGGACAATGACCTGTCAAACCAATTTTGGAATTGAAAAACGTCGTATAAGAAAACATATAAAAATCTACTTATATTTGAAAAAAAAAAATTAAAAATTTTTGACATGAATGTTCCCAAGCGTTGATGCATCTACCTGTATTTTTCAACCATGGTGCCAACTCCGAATCCTGCTATTATTTTTTGGTCTGTTCCAGAACTGCAAGAATGTAAAACTTTTTACAACGATAACCAATTTTCTCTTTATGATATCGACAAAAGTTGTAAAAATAGTAGATTCTTGCCATTTCTGGAACAGAGCATTTGTCTCGATCAAATTTGTTAAGTAAGAAGTACTTACTTTTTTGTTTGTTTTCCCTTGTAAATAGTAAAAATATAGGCTGCGGGACAAAGCTTAAACATTGCATTTTTTTCTCTGCAATGTAAATTTTATATTATATAAAAAATTAGAAAAATAAAAAATATGACAGAATTTATTATTTTCTGCCAAAAGGTCATTCCTAATTGGAGCGAATTGTCATGATCAGTGCAGGTTTTCCATAGTTACAAGTAAGTAACCATGCGATAAAATGTACATTTTCGCGTTTTTATAGGAATTTTTCTAGTTTCCTGCTAAGAATTTTCTATTTTTCGCAAATATTAGCAAAAGCCAAAATTGACAGGAATCGGTCACACTCAGAAAAAAATTGTAATTAGCTGGTAGCTTTATCTTATGCTTATTTCACATGACACGTGTTCGGTCTCTATTAGTTTTTGACCATTAACTATGAAATATCTACTTGATTCCCCACAAATTGTTCTTTGTTCCATTCAAATCACTCTCAGAAATACGATGAACAAGTGAGAGCATTTATTGAAAAAAAAAAAAAAATAAATGTTGACATTTCAAAATAGAAACATTTATAAATGAAATTAAAGTGTTTAATGGCGTACTTGCTTTCAATCGAAAGTAAATTTTGTCTTCTCTCTCATCCGAGGTACGCTTTTTGTCCACGAGTTGGAATTTCAACAGAAAACTGCAAACAAAAAGGCAATATTTTTTTGACAATTTATTTAAAAATAATATATGTCAATGTCAACATTTATACAAAAAGTTCAAAACATGAATGAAAATTTTTAAATGAAAGATAAAAAAATCTTTAGAGGAAAAACAATAATTTCTATTATTATTATTATTATTATTATTATTATTATTCTTATTACTATTGTTATTATTATTATTATTATTATTATTATTGCTAATTTCATGTACGAAAGTACATTCCTTTAAAAAACAACAAACAATAAATTTGAAAAAAAAGGAATGAATTATGTTACTATAAATTACGAATCGTGCCGTATGAACGGCACGTTTAGTTCGTGATTGAAAGTGCAATGTGAACTTAGAATTACCTTTTTATTGCATCATGGGAATAAACCATGGTAGAAGAATATAGTTAGATACATCAATGCTTTGGAACATTGATACGTCAAATTTTTTACAGTGTTTTGTCAAAAATAAGTAGACTTGTATATGTTTTCTCATACGACACAAATCGTAGGTTGTAATGAAATGTATTTTACAACAATTTTTACAAATTTCAATAACTTTTTATTCTAGATTTTCAATTCCAATATCGGTTTGACAGTTCATTGACCCAGCAGCTGTGTCGATGCGACTACCTGTATTCTTTTACCATGGTATAAACGATATTCGGCACTTGTTCCTTCGTTCGCTCAGTGAACAAACTGCAGTTGCGGCGTACACAGAAAGCTCATCGCATCACCGCCGTCGAAAGAGTCGATCCGCTTCGTTGTCTAAACACAAGTGCACCTCAGATTTAGCGGACATCACTTTAATAATTATAGCAAGCGAATAATACAATAGGGGTTAAATATCCCGAGTTAATTCTAAAAATGTTCCAAAAACGAATTTATTTGTGGTTAACCTTAAGTATTTTACTGATTTTCTGCTCTACATCATTTGCCGACAAAAAAGCTAAGAAATATTCTCGGGAAGCAAACGAGCCTCATTTTGATCAAGTGAAAGCAGAAAGTTATGATCCAGACTTTAGAACGTTGCAGAGACCATTTCGTATGGCTAAGTTGAACTTAGTGTGGTCTAAGGCACAAAATGTAAGTTTGAATATGATCACAACACACTTCAAAGTTTAGTTTGATATATTATTTTTGTATAGAGATTGACCGAACCCAAATTGAAATCTCTCTACATGGAACTAAAAATTCAAGACAAAGAGGAAATTGCCTGGAAGCAATTAAACTCACAGCATAAAGATAAAGATGGCATTAAAGCTGACGAGTTGCGTCGGAAATTAATAGGAATTATGAGTACATATGATTTGTTGGAACATTTCGATGAGACAGAAGATAAGGAGAAAACTAAACCTTATAAAAAATTCCACGATCCAGAAGAACGCCATATCAACAAATCCCTGTTCAAAGATAAGAAATTGAATAAATTGTGGGAAAAGGCTGAAGTTTCGGGTTTCACAGCAGAGGAGTTGAGCTCTTTGAAACAGGAATTTGAGCATCATCAAGACAAAGTAGATGTCTATTATAGTCTCTTGGAAAATCTGGGGAGCAATGTAGATGTTAATAAACATGAAAGTAAGTAGTGTAAAATTCGGATTGTAACAAAGTAGAGCCATATTCTTTTTACGGTTTATTACCCACGCCCTATAAGATTAAATTAATTTAGTCTTAGCAATTAAAGAAAATCATGTTTACAAATTTAATGCCTCCTTTTAGATGCAGTTAATGAAGACGAATTGGATATTTTCAATACAATTTCGAATGACCCAAATGACAATGAAATACAAACACCCGAAATGATACGCAGTAAATATGAAAGTAGTATTAACGAAGTAAGAGATCATCATCGAGGCATAAAAGATCATTACGAACGCTTGGAACGTCTTGTTTCATCTGGCCCACATAGTCAAGATTTCATTGAACCGAAGGTGCAAGGTTTATGGAGAGTAGCACAAACTAGCAATTTCAGCGAAAAGGAATTGGCATCAATCAAGACTGAGTTGCATCACTTTGAATCAAGACTTCTAAAGCTACGACATTTACATGCTGAACATGCTTTACTAAGAGAGAAATATAAGGTAAGTGTTTTCTATAAACATGGAATGTATATGGAAAATGTCTAATATTAACATGTTTATTATTTAAGGACGAAAAACATAAGGATAAATCAAATCGCTTCGAAGACATGGAGGAAACGCTTAAGAAACAAACACGTAAAGTTGAAAAAATTCAAGAAAGTATTGAAAAAAGAATATTCAAACACACTGAACTTTAACTCGCTCTCAAATAATTATAACAATAATGATAAGCCGCTAAAATGTTCCAAATGTAAGCCAAAATGAAACAAAATCAAATTTGATTAGTTTGTAAGATAACGTTATCAACATGAATTTATTATTTTTGATAGAGTTGTCTTTGTATTTTGTATATAAGATTTGTCTTAAAAAGAAAATAATGAGCATTGTAAGCTCAATACATTGTAATAAATTGTATAATTCGGATCATAGGGGGTCAAGATTAGCTTTTCGGTTTATTGCTTTAAAGAAAACAAGCAATCCAATAATTCTTGAATTGGTCATATACAGTTTCATTGTTATTAGGCAGTTGTATTGTCTTCAAGAGTATTTGGTCGAAAAATGAGCCGTTCTACATTTCATCCCAATTTAGTTGCAAATGCATGTGCTTGTTATTGGTTAAAGAGGGATCAATACAGAAAACCATCCAATGATAATTGATCTATAATGATTTCTTTGAGGTACATTCTCGATGTTGTCAGGTTATGTTCTCATTAATTTCGAATTGTGCGGCATAATATTATTGATAGATACACACAATTAATCCACATGTTGTAACCATAATGTTAAAAGAACATTAAATATTTAGCAAATAAAAGGAAAACGCCCTTTTTTTAGAAATATTCTTCTGTTTTTTTTACTTAGTATTTTTCGGAAAAGGTCTTTTTACAATTTAAGGAAAAATATCATGTTTGATGTAAACGCAACATAACTTAACTACTTGTTAGATACATGGCTGGAGTATTATCTCAATAAAACTCCTATAATATTGATATCCAATTGCCAAAGAACGCTTGATGAAGAATAGAGGTAGTCGTATCGACACAGCTGCTGGGACAATGAACTGTCAAACCAATTTTGAAATTAAAATTTTTGAATGAAAAATTAGTCAAATTTGTAAAAATTGCTGGTTATTATAGACCTCCGATTGACGTCCTGTAAGAAAACATATAAAAATCTACTTATATTTGAAATGTCATTTTAAAATTTTGGATATATCAAGTTCCCAAGCTTTGATGCATCTACTGTATTCTTCTACCAGATAGATTCAATGAGAAAAAGGGTGTTGTTTGAAATCCTTTATGAACATGGCATAATGTGTAATACAACAATATTGACGTCAGGTGGCGCCCGCTATTTCAACTTCTTTTTGACTAAATGAATGTCGATCTGTGAAGCTCTATTAAGTCAAATGCAGATCTATGTATCTCTAATAAATTCTAGTTCATTGTTGAAGATGGAAAATAAGGTTTCCTAAGATTTAGCACAAATAAATACATATTGCTTTAAATTTGTAGGAAAATCATATAAAATATAAAACAAAAAGTGAGTGTTTAATGGAGAAGTCATAAAGGAACAGCGAAAGTCGGTATAAATTATTTTTAAATCGAATTAAAATTGTACGTGTGGCCTATATATTTTCTGATTGTGACAGTGTGTGTATGTTTTTTCTCTGCACGCTTAGTCACCGCCCTGATCACTTATTTGATTGAATATTGTTTGTATATTTTGGAAGGAATTGTTTATAAACACCGTTGTGTGTGTGTGCAGAGAGATATAAATAAAAATTAAGAAATTGACATAATTGTAGATTTTTTTTGCTCTTTTCCACCGTAGCAGCGCCTCAACGTGTGAGTCTCTATCCAGCCAAGGGTGTAATGGTCATGGGTGAGAACATAATGGACGAATTAGCATCACTGATACGCACGGAAATTCCCGATGGACGTCAAAGTCTACGCGATAGTTACACTAATCTGGAACGGGTGGCGGACTACTGCGAGGATACATATTACAGAGCTGACAATAAGAAGGCTGCATTAGAGGCGACCAAAAACTATACAACCCAATCATTGGCCAGTGTTGCCTATCAGATAAATACCCTGGCGTATAGCTATATGCAGTTGCTGGAACTGCAAGCACAACAATTAAGCGAAATGGAATCGCAAATGAATCATATCGCACAAACGGTGCAAATACACAAGGAAAAGGTTGCCAGAAGGTAGGTTGTAATCGAAATAAGAACTAGCCACTGAGTCAAGTCTCTAAAAAATCCCTGCAAACTTTTAACAATTAACATGTATTTGATATTTGCAGAGAAATTGGGGTACTTACTGCTAATAAAGTTAGTACTCGTCAATTTAAAATCGTAGCCCCCATAAATCCTGAAAAGCCAATTAAGTACGTGCGCAAAGGTATTGACTACTCCATACTTGACGACATTGGTCATAGTGTAAATACCAATCAAACAAATCGGAATCAAAAACATCGTGGTTCTTCACATGGCTCCGTACAATCTTTGGCTCAACCCACTGTGGGCCCGCCTCCGACCACAAAACCACCAACTCCTCCACAAATGTCACGCGGAAATACCGGTACATTGGGTAAATCGTCGGTTAGCAATACGGGTACATTGGGAAAAAGTTCGCGGGAATATCGTACGCCGCCTGTTGTGAATCCGCCACAAGTACCATCTCACTATGCTCCCAACTATCCTATAGGACATCCCAAGCGTTTGTCTACAGCCTCGTCGAGTACCACAGCAACAGGTGTAAGCAGTACCGGTATTGGTGGCGGTGGTTCGGTAACCAACAATGAACGTGCTGCCGGTTACAGTGCTCTTCCCATGCCACCCAGTCAACAAATTGCTACCCATGTTAATTTACCATCAGCTGGTATGATGCAATCGTTGCCTCCACCTCCACCAACAACATACGATGATCGTAACAGTATGCCACGTAAGTGCAATAAATAATTTTATTGTAATAAGTAGCTGCCACAACTAATATTTTTGTTCTACAGCACCACCATCTCCCCTGACGGTTTCGCAACATGAGATAACTGAACAAAGTCATATTGGTATGCATACCTTGGGTCGCAATCATAATAGGTAAGTCTGATTCATGAAAATCTTTTACTAAATGTTTTGTTAAAATCTAAAAATTGTTTAACTCGTTTACGTCATTCAATGCTGCCATTAAAAACAGAAACGGCAACAACAGGTAATTTGTTAATATATTTCTAACTAACAGAATTTTTTATTTTTTTTTTTTAAATTATAATGATTAATTACTACAGAATTAATTTCGTTATATTATATCAATTTTATCAAATTGATTCATTGACAAAGTGAGATCGTTACCTTCTCTAACCCCTTGGGGTTATTGCTTACAAATTCATCGCCCGTGCAACATCAAATTGTCACCTAGTTAAAGGAACCACTGTCGTCTTTACGTAATATCGACTCTAGTGGAAGTCCTATGTTTGCAGATTGATTCGGCGGAGCAAGTCAAAGGACGTAACATTTCACGTTTATTAAAAAAAGCTGAAGTCTTTACGTACTTTTGCCATACCTTTAAAAATCGTTATTGTTTTGTGGTGGTACTGACTGATAAATTTAATATACCTAAATTTACCATGTGCAATATGACCTTTTAAAGTTATCCATAATTGTGTTGATGTGACTCCAGAATGTTGTCAGTTGCATGATCCAGGAACATTTTTTTTTAAGTAAAATCTTCCCATATGGGAAGTCGATGGTGTGCCTGTCTTTGGGGTGTAGTTATTTTGACAATTAAGTCATCATTCCAGGCCAAAATGCCTTTAAACGATCAAAATGGTAATGTTGACTTATATACAGACGAACCATTTTTAGCATGGCTAGCAATTGCTTAGTGAATCTGTCATTGGTTGGCTACACGAAACTACAGGTTTCATAGGCATATATTTTAATTTAAAAAAATGACTTCACCATTTATCAATGAACTTTTAATACATATTTTTTAACTTTTTTTACTTTTCACAATACAAGTAGTATACTAAAACTATTAGCATAACTAACCCGTGTGTAGTCAACGTTTTAGTTTAATAGAAAAATTCTAACCGTTTTAGGAACCATTTCAGCTTGAATTTTGCTAGGCCTGGTTCGCAGTCGCCACCATTGCCACCGCCACCACCACCTGAGGAGGAGCATCAAGACTTTGGTCGGCCACGTACATCAGCGGGTCAGGGCCAACTGGCTCCCATTGTGCCAGAAGATCAAAATCTACCCGGATGGGTTCCAAAGAATTACATTGAAAAAGGTAACTTTAATTGATTTTCAGTCACCGTCAGTATAACACAACTTCTATTTGGTTTCAATTTCTAGTGGTTGCAATCTATGATTATTATGCCGATAAAGATGATGAACTTAGCTTCCAGGAGAGTTCAGTATTATATGTTCTGAAGAAGAACGATGACGGCTGGTGGGAAGGGGTTATGGACGGTGTTACCGGTTTATTTCCAGGCAATTATGTAGAACCATGTGTTTAAAGAGGTACACACATATAAATGGCCAATTTAGTTTTTTATACAAAATATTAAGAGAAATTTACAAGATAACAGTAACACAAATCAACAGCCTTTCAAGAATTCCATATAATAATAAATTACCACAACATGCCCACACAAAAAACCACAAATAATTTAGATACATTTATTATTAATGGTAATAGTATTGTTAACATAATAACACAACAACATACATACAAGTAATCAAGTCTGCCTCGAAAACAGTTGAACAAATTGAAGTCGAATGCTAAACAACAAATATCAAATTCGTGTTTAGCGTACATAATAATATTTATAAACATGATGACAAACACTAGTTGTGTTTAATCAGGAAAAAATAAATAAAACAATTTTTTACAATAACAAATACATTTTCTACGTAAAGAGAAAAACATACTCGAAAATATTTAGAAAAATGTTTATTCATTTTTTTCTTGAATATATAAAAGTGCATACACCTACACATACAGTATGTTGTAAAAAATTGAAAACAAAGACGACGATGACAACAACCTAATTCCTACTCTCTCCCATAGCTAATTACACTATTAAGCCCATTATAATATACTAAATACAATAAATTATATTGTCATACAAAACGAACGAATCATCTTTAAAACATCTCTAAAATACCAATACATATATAAAACATAATAGAATTTCACAATAATTGCAAGTGACACGAGAAACTGTAGCTTCTTATTACACAAAACGACAATTGTTTACCCAGATCGTATTTAATTTACATTTCTTTTGGTTGCTGCATAAACATTTTATATGTTGGTTTTTTAAATTGTTGAAACCAAACCAAACAAATCATGCCAATATTGCATTTGTTTCTTTAATAATACGAGTATTCTTTGAGTGTATATGTTTTTGTCAATTAGCGCCATTATTGCTTTTACATTATTTAATTAACTGACATTTATTTTGAATATAACAAATAACTTTCCAAATCAGTAGGCTATTCAATTTTCTTTATACAAAACGTGTTGCTTTTCGCTTAAAAGTGTCTATTATTATTTTTTTTATTTTGGAAAATTACATTAACAAAACTAATTCAATTTTAAAATAATATTAATTTCTATATTATTTTTAATTTAGTTAAACGATATTTTCACTATTTTTTGCCTATTAATAAATATGCCGGAATCTAATATAGAAATCATGATTATAAGGTGAAGAATGAATAGTTAATAAAAATTATATTCTATTATGATGCTACACAATAAATGTTTTCCTTTATTCCTATTTTGGAAAGTTTTATGGTTCAGTATACATTGAAGTATAGATGGCGCCCTGAAAATATTTGTTGTGTTTGTTCAATTGCCCGTTAGCAGTTACATCAAACTTCTGTTAAGAGTTTGCCCCGGGCCTAAGCTTTGTAGGGTAATTAAACTAGCAATATTTAGTAAGTAAGAGGCGAACGGGACGTTTTATACAATTTGTAAGTCCTATTTTATATTCATTGAAATTCCGTAGAAAATAATGCTATAGATGAAAAGTGACTTAAAACAAAAATACTTTTACACGAATTGTTCCTATTCAAACGCGTTCGTTTTGGATTTGGTTTTTATATATTTTATTTATATTTTTCGTCCATTTCCGAAAAGCTTTGATGTTTCATAACCATTATTATTTAATTGTCTCTTTTTTACAGCTCGTTATAAATTGTGCTTGCAACAAGCAGTCGCAAAATTGCAAATTGTAAAAAACCATTAAAAAATGTCATGAAAACATTTGAAGAATATGGTCCTGTAAGATTCTTCAATGAAAGCTTATGTCTTAAAATTTTTCATATGTAAATTTAAATAGCGCCTCAATTCGAACATATTCGGTAAAAGTCTTTCTTCTTGCATACCATCATTTGTCTTGGGCATTCTATTAAATCTATCTCATGTAAGGATTTTTGGTCAGTTAGGTGTATGGTATAATCGTATACAAGGAAGTCCCCTTCCCTACAAATGGCCAAGTGTGTATGTTTTATGGATAAGAGATAAGGACAAGGTAGGTAATCATTATCACAAACAAGTGGGTTCTTTTCGAAAGCAGAGCATTGGCTCAATTCTCCTCGATTAACTCAGGGAGTTTTGATCCTCAGGGTGATATAAAAAAACTACAACAAAGTCAAACGGCATAATTTGTACAATATTTTTTAAATTTTATTGAATGAAAGCAAAAAATGTCGGAAATAGCATCACATTTTAGAATAAGTTTAGATTTGTTCAAATTAGTCACCTTTGACACGAATTATGGCCTTCAAACGGCCAATGAAACCATCACACGCTGCCCGAATGTTGCTCTGCGGTATTTTGGCCCATTCCCGGCGAAGCTCTTGCTTGAGGTGATCGACAATTTGGTATTTTTTAGTGCCAACCTTGCTTTCTAAAATACTTCAGACACAATAGTCGAACGGATTGGTTCCGGAGTTTTTGGTGGTCAGTGTGCGCTGGAAATGAAGTGATGAACCTAATTTTGTAACCATTCTTGTGTGGCACGTGCTGAGTGCGAGAGTGCTGAGTCCTGTTGGAGTTGTCAAGGTCTGCGGCCAAAATGTTTACGTGCCCAAGGCTTGAATACACCCTCTATTTTCACGATAATATTGGGCATTTATTCTGATGTCATGGTCGATTAATACGAGCGGAGAGCGACCATCGGCTGTTATGGCGGCCCACCCATCACCATGGCTGGCCGGTGCTTGAGTTCTGGTGGCCAACCGAAGGTGCACATTTTCAGCTGACCTCTTTGGCAAGTAAACACGATCATATTGTTTGTTTATAAACTGCTGGACAACGAATGTTTTCTAATTAAATTCGGCAATTCATCTCTTTCGGCCAAGCGAAGCAACTCTAGCTCCTTTGTTACACTTTTTACTTTACGTCAATTTTCAGCGGAAATATTAAAATCCCTTCTGTGTTTACCCATGAGCCATAAACAATTTTAGAATTCCAGCTATTTTCTAGACTCTATATACCATTTAGTAGTGTTCGCAGTTGAATTTGCATAAATTAGACATGAGTTTTTGAGTTCAATTCGTTTATTATCAATTAATGCTTACTTCAAGACAAAAATATACAAACTGTTAATAACAAGCTTTCTTTTTGATAGAGACATCTCGGAATTTCCCTGAGCTGCTGAGCATTTAATGAGGCCAGCCTTGGTATTTTCAAAACAAATTATCGCGTATGGATGCACACAACACTGCGAAAACCTATTTCTTTATTTTCATAATACGTTTAGATGTTCCCACGGTTGTGGCAAGTTTGGGTAGACGAGAATGCACCGCAGGACCCATATGACGATCAGGATTATCTTGTGATAGGTTATCCACAGATGAGGCTGCCAATTGTCCACCACCACCATCAATGGGTGGTAGGGGTGATGAAGGTGACCATTCTGAGCCCGAACTTGAACAGGGTGAATCCGAACTGTAATATATGATAATTTTTTTTGTAAATAAAATGTTTTGATATTTTTTCATTCAAAACTATACCCTGCTGTGTAAATGGGCGGCAATTTCCGTTCATAGGCAGCCGTTGCGGTTACAGTGCCGGCATGTATTTCCTGTTGATAGAGACCGTATAGTTCTCGCAACTCATCAGGCAATTCAACATTTCCCTCTTCAATTAGACGTCTTTGCGAACTAATGATATCTATTGGGTGAAGTTTTAATAACAATTCTTATAAGGATTAATAATATTCAGACTCTATACCTTCACAAAGTCTTCGTTGTCTTTCGGCTCGTAACAGCTGCAAATCTCTTCTTCTCAATTCGGCTTGCCTAGCCAATCGTTCGGCTTGCAATGACACCTTGTCTGCCTCCAGTTCATGAACTCGACATAGTAGAGCCAGTAATTCACGTTCCTCATCGCTGCTAATGCGTTCGGGTAATTCCTGCAGGAAATTGGAGGGAACAATTTTTTAGCAATACGAGAAAAACATTTTGTTGTAAAATAAAAAAATAAAATATTGAATAGTCACAACTCCCATAAAATGTGAATTAAATTTGGCACATTTCTATATTTAGATCTGGTGTGAGGACCACTTTATCTGGTGCCGCCCCATAAGTGGTTAAAATTGTGAATACCAATAATGCTTTTTAAAAACGAATAAATCTGTGAGTTTGGTTCCCGCTTTATGGTACCTCCCCACAAAGGATCAAAGTTTCGTTTCATTTTCATCATTTTTTTTCACAATTTTAGGAAAACCCTTTAGATTATGAAAGTGAACCTAAAAATAGAAGTAACGTTTATCAACGTTTTGACAATTTTCATCCAATGTAACCTAAGTTTCCCTCTCTTCCATTTTTTTTAAATATTCGGATTAAGATTTCTTGTATTTCGAACATTTCATATACATAGTACTGATAACAATATGGGGAAAAGTATCGAAAAGTTGTCGAAAATTTTAAACCTCATGCGAGTCATCAAAATAATCCTTTTTTCAAAAAAGTTTAAACTCTCTTTATACCAGATGGTGGTAATTAAAAATCTTGTAGACAATTATTTATCATAAAATTCTACCATAGGTCTCAAGATACATCAAAAGTTTAAATCATACCTAAAAATTATAAATATTAAAAACACATTTTAGTTTAGTTTTAGTGTATGCAAGATTCTCCAAAGTGCATCGTATGGTGTCAAAGACAAGAATATTCTTTAGAAAACAGCAATATCAGCAGAAATGGTTGGAAAGTAAAGAAGCGACTTGATCGAAACCCGCGTCGCAGAGGCCGAAAAATGGCTCCTCTCCCCGATGAGAAAGCATTCGTTGTCCAGGAGTTTGTAAACAAACAAAATGATCGTGTTTACTTGCCAAAGAGGTCAGCTGAAAATGTGCACTTTCCGTTGGCCACCAGAACTCAAGCGCCGGGCAGCCACGGTGATGGTGTGGGCCGCCATAACAGCCGATGGTCGCTCTCCTCTCGTATTAATCGACCGTGGTGTCAGAATAAATGCCGAATATTATATCGAAACTATTCTAGAGGGAGTATTGAAGCCTTGGGTATGCAAACATTTGGCCGCAGACCTTGGACATTTCAACAGGACGCAGCACCATCGCACTCAGCACGCGCCACTCAATAATGGTTACAAAATGATGTTCCTCGCTTCATTTCCAGCACACAATGGCCACCAAATTTCCGGATACCCATCTGTTGGACTATTGTGTTTAGAGTATTTAGGAAAGCAAGGTTGGCACTAAAAAATACCAAAGTGTCGATCACATTAAGCAAGCGCTTCGCCGGGAATGGGTCAAAATATCGCAGAACAACATTCGGGCAGAGTGTGACGGTTTTATTGGCCGTTTGAAGGCCATAATTCGTGCCAAAGGTGACCAATTCGAAGAAATCTAAACGTATTTTAAAATTTGATGCTATTTCCGATATTTTTTGCTTTCATTCAATAACATTAAAAAAATTTAAAAATTATGGTGTTTGACGTTGTTACTTTAACGGCTTTAACCCTTAAATGTGCTTTAAATGTTTATGAATTCCAGGAGTTAAGATACGATTTAGACCTTTAATGTATTCTGGGACCTATGTTGGACCTTTACGCCGAGTTATCTTGTATGTTGGCTTCCAACGATTCCTTTAATAAAAGATTTTAACCATTTTGGAAAAGGGACCAAAAAGACCTATTTTTGAATCGCTTGATGGTTAAAGTTTTCGACCTTGTAACGTTATCAGAAATATTGCTAAAGAATTTAAATTGTAAGGTTTTAAAGAACTATTAATGGTCACTTCTATTTCGGTTATTTACGCGATATCAACTTTCAAAACGCCGATGCACGTGTATTCTATTTTCTGCTTCTGTTCTATTTTTAGACCTACTTCAGAGTTTTTCCTGTAATTATTTTTTGTGTTATCAATGAAGTCCCATACTTACATCCTCCAATTGTACACCTTTTTGGCGACACAACTCCAATTCTTGTTCGGTTCTTTCACGTATTTCTTTATAACGACGTGTTTCTTTTTCGATGGCCGCCAATTCGCCCCAAGCATTTTTTAAGGCAATTGAGCCTTCCGATTCAATATCTAAGAAGGAAAAAAAAAAAATAGAAAAATAAATACATAAAATTTAACAAAAAAATCCCCCCATTGCATCTTACCATCATCGGTGGGTGTGTCATAAAGTTTACCCATACGACCCTGCCAATGTGATATTATCATATGCTGACGTTCGGCATCCAGTTCCAAACCCAATAGATGTGATTCGGCCTCGAGCAACTTACGTCGCAGTTTCATTTGCTGCTTAAATGTCAAAACAATTTGCTCCCGCAAATATCGTAATTCACTTTTACGTTTCTCATCGTCTTCGTCACTGGTCGCCGTCGTCGTCCCTGCCTGATCTTGGGCCTGTTGGTCACTGGATGCCTTTGCAGCCTCATTTGCTGCAGCTGCTCCACTTCTGGGACGATCTGATAACATTTTATTGCGCAACCGTGACACCTCCTCGCGCAGCTCGAAAACCAAATGCTGATAATGTTTAGTGGGGAAGTTTTGCAGTTCATCGACATACACGGAATTCTGTAGACGTGTCGTTATGCTATTGGCTCGATCGGCATAGACGAGGGTATTTTTCGTCTCATCGCGATGTTTACTTTCGGGTGCAATGTGAGCAATCATAACGGTTTTACAGCGGCCACTCAGGGCTTCTTTGAGTAGCCGGGTCAATTTGGAGTCGCGATAATTAACGTAGCGTGCCCCACCCGACAGGGCATTGATGCAATTACCCAAAGCCAGGAGGGAACGATTTATGTGGGCTCCCTCCTGCAAACGTTTGCCACGATTTTTGGTTTTCTTCGCTCTCTCTGAGCCGGCCAAGTCTGTGAGAAAGAGGCGTCCTTGCTTCACGCCCAACGAGGTTTTCGATTGTACAGTTATGCTGAGCAAAGCATGACTGCGTGAGGAGGTTTGATTGGCTGCTGTCGGTTCCATGGTACGTGCCTTATTGCCCTTCAAGAGAAGTGAGACAACCTCTTTGCGACTGGATGTGGTAATTTCCGACAAACCGGCCACTGTTATTCGTTGACCCCGATTATCCTCACGTAATTCCAGTGGTCCACCCGGATTCAGAAGATCCCGTATTAATTCATTGTATATTTCCAAATATGAAATGGAAACCTGGAGGAAAGGCAATGCCAAGTTTTGAAAATTGTTTCATTCCCCACTGAGGTTGACTTACTTTACACGAAGCAGGATCTTCGGACATTTCAATGTACTGAAATATTTCCTCGATAGCCCGGACCATGAGACCGCTATCACTTGTCTGGCCATCTGCCTCGGTAGGTGTTGCTCCCTTTTTTCTACATGGCCCCAACATTGTGTGTGTTTTACCCGAACCTGTGGCACCATATGCAAAGACCGCTGCATTATAACCTTTAATCACATCTTGGACCAAAGGTGCAGTGGTTGCTTTGTAAACCATTTCCTGAAAAATTAAAGAATTTTAAAATTTAAATATGAAAATATAGAAAATTTTAAGGTTGGCACAACAAATTGTATTATGTCTAGGATGGTTGATATTGAAATTGAGATTTATCGGTCCACGTTTTGGTTAGTCGGTGTTTTGATAGTCGGTGTTTTGATGATTTTTGCCACATTTTTCCACAGATTTGTCCAAAATTTTGTATTTGTAGTTCGTAATGGGTTTTAGCTCATGTGGCGGAATATAGTGTGTGTAGGTTCAGGATCTATGCAGGATCTATACCTGCATAATGTTACCTTCCGATATTCAGTATTTTGATGATTTTTGCCACATTTCGCCACGGTTTTGTCTAAAAATTGGTATTTGTAGTTCATAATGGTTCTAGCTCCGGTGGTAAAACATTGAATATTTAGGTCCACGATTTGGAATAGCGCACATACAACGGTACCCAACGATATTCGGTATTTTGATAATCCTAGTCACATTTACCCATGAATTGTTTGATACGTCCAAAACGTGCCTCATCTTAATAACGTATCCGTATTAGGACATTTGGAGTCGTTCTAGTAATGTCCATCCAGTCGATCCGATTTGATCCAAACTTGGTACATCGTAATATTATTATCAAACTTAGATGGAGTTCGGAGATGGGTAATATCTTTCCACTCCTTCTTGTACCTCCACCACAAAATGTTAACATTTTCAAAGAAAATAATTTACGGCATAGAAAGAGAAAGGATAATCGATTTCGCTCCAACTTTATTAATTTTAATATTAGCATCAGCGCTAGGTTATGTGCGAAAATGGACAATATCGGCCCACTCCATCAAGTAACTCCCCCAAAAATGATCAAAATTTTGAATAATTATAACTCTTATAAAGAGTGATGTAAGTGTCCGATTGTCTTCAAATTACACACATCACAATATTTTCCTTAACTCAAAGTCTGGTGTGAAGATAGAATATATTTTCGACCACTCAAGAAGGTTCAAAATTTTGAATATTCATGAAGCTCATATAACACGAAATTAACATCCGATTCCATTCAGACTTGGCGAGTCTCAATATCTCCATCAGAACAATATCTGTTATAAAGATGGAAGAGATTCGACCATTCCTTCTGGTACCTCCCCCACTAAAGGTCAAAGTTTTGAATAACCAAATTACACACATTACAATATTTTTTATTAAACAATGGTCTGGTGTGAAGATGGAATATATCGGTCCACTCCTTCTGGTACCTTCCCACTAAAGGGTCAAAATTTTGAAGCTCATAAAACGATGAATTAACATCCGATTCCATCTTAATACAAAACAATCAGAGAATGCGAAGTATCCAAGTATCCAACTCTCTTCATCCAGATATTTTTGCTAACGCCAGACTATGCTATCATCTATGTGTAGGTGATATATATCTGCCAACGCCTTCTGGTACCTCACACACAAAGGTTTACAATTTTCAATACTTTTATCTGTCATATCTTGCGAAATAAAAAATTCTGATATGAATATTTAATTTATCGGAATTTCGCATAAAAGTGGACATAAATATTCGATTTCATTCAAATTTTGCACACACCAATATTTATACCCAACAACACTATGTGTTGGGGTTATTATAAGTTTGATTGGGCCAGAATTTATGTAACACCTCGAAATATTGGTTTCCCATATAGGAAAGTGTATATGGATCTTCCTAGCTCGCCGAGCTGAGTCGATCTAGCTATGTATGTCCGTCCGTCTGTCTGTCTGTCTGTCCATGTTAATTTGTAATCACTCTACAGGTCGCAATTATGGCTCGATCCTAACGAAATTTTGCACGAAGGTGGGGTTAGGGTCAGAATAGAAGCCTATTATCTTTTGGAGATGATAGCCAAATGTTTAGGGTCGCAATTATAGACCAATCGGCGCGGAATTTCGCATGTAGCTAGAGTTTAGGGTGGGGAAGAAGCCTACCAATTTGGGTGGTCATCGGATAATATTTAGCGGGTAAAATAGACCATATCTTTTGTGTTGAAAAAATTCAAAAATTTTCATTAAACCGTGAATATTTTAAATCCCGGCGAAATCACAAAGCCATGACAAGGTTACTTCTGACCTTTACATTGATGTTAACATCCAACAAATCGGAAATATAACAAATTATGTGCGATATATATGTCTATCAAAGTAGATATGCTTGAAAGATCTCTTATATGTCAGAATGGCCTCTTGGCAGGAAAGAAAAAACGTCTAAAAAAATAGCATAAAAATATCTCTCTAAAGATGAAAATATTGATTTTTTTAAATTTTCTCATATTTTTCATTTTGATTTAAACATTTGGTATTATTTCTACAGCTAACAAAACTAAGTAGTTAGGATATCAAGATATCATATACAGATCGCATTTATGGCCCGATCCTTACGAAATTTTGCATGGGGATAAGATGAGGGTCAGAATAGAAGCCTACTCTTTTTGGAGATGATCGCCATATATTTAGGGGTTGAAATGGACCAAAAACTACAAAATTGTCAGCAGGTCGTAATTATCGCCCGATCCTCACCCACACTTGAATGGGGGTTACCGGACATTGCAAAAACCAAGCAGTTTTGGATGGCCATCCAAAAATATTCAATGTGTGAAATAGTTTGCCAACTTTTGTAGACAAAATACGAAAATGTCCATTCCAGTGACTCTTTGGAGAATTCACAAATACAGGAAAGACGCACTTCTGACTATTTCGTTAACACCGATTTCGTTGAAGAATATAGTCAAATGTCTGTATCTCATATAGATGCGTTTCATTTAAAAACCAATAATAAATGTTAATCTTTTACCACTTCTGAGAGATTATAGGTTTTTGGGAAATATTGGTTTCAGATCTAGGAAGACCATTTAAGTGCAACATCTACCAATAATTTGGAAATGAGCAAATTAGTTTAAGTTGCTATTATTCGAAAATTAGAGAACGAAACCTGATGGTTTTCTTTTATTATTTGTCACAATATCTTGTGGAATTCTTTCGAGTATCTTGCCTATATAAACTGTATCGTTTATTATAGTGTTGTAGGGTATTCAACGGTCGGCCCCGCTCGACTGTAGCCTTTGCTTACTTGTTTTTATCTGTATTAGATGAAGTAGGAAAATGGAATACTTCGGTCCGCCATATTTGATAGCTCGCGCATATTTCCACATTTTTCAAAAATTTGCACATATTTCATATAAATTATAAGAAGTAGACGATATAGTCCAATACTCTTTTAATTGTTTATGTCTACGTTAATAATCTACCACGCTTTCTCTTTAGTTATGAAAAAAATTGATTTTTGTCTCGCAGTGTAATGATACCACATTTTTTAAAACGCTGACAACACCTTACCTGTGTATCGGATTCCTTGAAAACATAGTCATAAGAATATTTGCGCGCCTTACCCCTACCACCGTCATCGAAGAGCAGGGAAGTTGGGGATATAACTTCAATACAACGCTCACCATTTTCGAATGAAGGACGAACACGGACAGCAACCTGCCGATTGAAAGATATGAAGACAAAAATAACATAACAAGGAATAAGAAAACAAACGAGAATAAAAGGAAAAAAAGAAACACCAAAAATGATTACCAAAAATAAAACAAATGAGCTCGTTATTGATTAAAATCGTAATGTTGTTTAAACAAAGTGGATCGAAAGGGGTACTCCCTCGCCATACTTACCAATAAACGTTCCTCTTGGGGCGGTGCTGTCGTCAGACCTCTACTTTGAGATGTTGATGAACCACTTCCACTGCCACTAGACCAAGTTCCGCTGTGTGCCATTGTCTCGTATCGAACTCCGAATGCCTAATAAAGGCGTTTCAAATCTATATCTGCTGTGATGAATTCTTCCTTGTAACGTTTGTTCGCTTCGAAATACACGTGCTCTGTAAATTACATAGTGTAGATAGTTAATGTGTGTGTGTAGTGTATGTTCTTTGAGGAAATTCCTCTATGCTATATTTTAACACCTTCCACCTCAAGGGCAATGGAGTTTGATAAGGTTTTAAGGCCACTTAATATCCAAGGGAAAAAAGAACTACATTTACAATTAATGGTCTGCTCATTAAGGGGCGTCGATTTGTCAGCCAGTCGATTAGTATTTACACTACGTTTGTACGCTTGTATTGTAATTGATTAGTTGCAGGTAAGCTTTTGTCACACTTTTTATGCTAGTTACTTCATTTTAGTTCGGTTTTGTAAAAAAAAAAAACTAAACAGACGCAGAATAGACAATGTTGTTGACATTGAGTAAATATGTACATATTTATGTTACGGAAATCATAAGGAATGAGGGCGTATGATTAACATAAAGCTTATACGTTAAGGTTATGGCTTGAATAGAGATTGTCGCAGTCGCATCTTTTGATCCCACACTGATAACACACTCAAACAGGTTGTGTAGGAAAATCCAATTGGGGATGATAGTACTCGCTTACAAGATCAAAATCCCGATAAGAACTTCAGCAAAAGGTCCAATTATTATTAGTATTCTAATGTATAAATTTTCACTTAATTTTTGAGTTTCGAAGGAATGCTCTAGAAATACTTTTTCAAAACCTTCAAAGCTGAAAATAATGATTGACCATTACTGGCATATCTTTAGCAAATGTGAAACATTCTATGAAACTTCCAATGTCTGGGAAATTCGCATATACCGTTTTTACTAAGGTTAGTTTTTATTACAATTTGACTTTACCTCCCTTTTTTTGTAAACGACTCTGATTCCCGGGTGGACCTATCAATTTGACGGTATATGAACTTAGTCATTCTATGATAACCTATGCAAATTTTAGTAGAGTTACCCATAAAAAATGTGGGAATATGGGATTTATGTGAAGAAGATTGAATGCGTATTATGGCTTCAGGACATTTAAAATCGCATGGATCTAAAATATGGATGGTATATTCTACTCTGAATCGGTATCCACTAAATTGGAAGGATGCATTTGTGTTTGAACCGAAATCAAAATCCATCCTATTTAAGCTGATATTGCCCTTTTGATGCACAGTAAACCTAAAATCGGATAAAGATGTATATGGGACCTATATCCAAATGTGAACCGCTCTCTATAAAGTTTAGCAGAGGTATTTCCGTTGAAGTGGAAAACATTTTGCGGCTGTGGGGTACAAAAATAAACAAGTTAGATAAATAATATAGATGGAACCTATAGCTATATCTAACCCATTTTCATCAAATTTGACTCACTTTCCTTTAGGGTGAATTCGGCTATATGTACCAAGATTTAATTTGGTTATATTAAGCAATTGGTGCACAACAATCTTCCAAAAGGATAAATATATGTGGAAGCTATATCCACAAGTGAACCAATCTCTATAAAATTTGGCGAATGTATTTCTGATCTGTATTTGATACATTTTTCCCGAATATTGCTGTGTATAGTTGTGGGGGACAATAATAACAAATTGTATGAACAAAATATATTTGGGAGCTACAGTAATATATGAACAGATTTTCACTAAATTTGGCATACTTGCTTCTAGACTCAATGTGGAAGCTTGTGTCAAATTTCACCCTATCTGGACGATTTGGTGCACAATAAAATAGAAGTTGGAGCTTTATTTAAATGTTGACCGATTATATCCTTATTATATTAGTATTCTAATGCTTCTAGAAGTGATCAAAAAATCTTATCTGATGTTTTTAATTTTGGGATGTATAGCAAAGTTTATATGAAGGGCACTACAAACAAGTTTTATCTGTTGAGGCTTTCATCTATTAATTGAGTTACCCACTTCACAGACCATAACCCAAAAAGAGTTGCATATTGATTGCCTTTCCCTTTGTAACTCCTCGAAAGAAGAATTTTAGGTCAAACAAATTATATATATATTCTTTGTCTTCATAATATTACATGTCAATTAAGCCATGACCGACCTGCTGACAGTCCATCGGTGGGAATCATTGTAGTTCCCGAACGAATTGAAGTAGGTCGATACAATTTTGTTGAGATGCATATTAGGTCCATAGAATTTTTTTGTGTTGAAAATGAGCCATATAGGTCCAAATTTTGTACCCCCAGATTGAAGGTGTTTTGTCGGTTTTAGTCATATTTAAAAAAAAAATTGCCACAAATTGGATTCTGTGTTCCCATATATAGGAAACATCCATGTAAAGAATTTTCAATATACAGGGTGTGATGAAAAAACTGCAACCACTTACCGGAATGCTGTCATTTCTAAGCCACTCGTCCGACTAGTGACAGCTCATTATATTGTTTACAAGCGTATAAAAGCATTTTGGTGAGAATTTTCCCGGAAAAAAGTTATTCGTGATCGAATTCAAGCGTGATAGTGTGATTTCTTTATATTTGGCTGGAAATCACAAGTGGCTATCGTTAGAGCACTCCAGCATTCAAATGTGAATAAATCTTTGGTGTCTCATACCATCGCTCGTTAACGTGGTACTGATAGCGTAGCCCGACGTCAGGAAAGTGGACGGAAGAAAATAGGAACATTAGCAGAAATCGTTCGAAAAGTAAAGAAGCTACTTGCACGAAAACCACATCGCAGTGGCCGAAAAATGGCTCGTGAGTTGAACATATCGCAATATTCCATTCGGCAAATATTAAAAAATGAGTTCGGGGTAAAGCCATTGAAATTCCAAAAAGCGCAAGAACTTACACCGCAACAGAAAAAAATAGACTCAAAAGAGCTAAAGAGTTGCTTCGCTTGGCCGAAAGTGGCGAACTGCCTCACAAGACATGCAGCGGCAACTATTGTTAACCCTGTAAAATTGTATTGATTTTAAATAGTTCTGGAAATTATTGTCAAACTAAGTTTTGAAAATATTATCAATTAGAAATTCTACCACAAATTTTTTTTGAAATTATTTTCTATGAACGAATCTGAACAGAGTCGAAGCCAAACAGACAGCTATAATAAGCCGCGAATTTTAATAGATCTGGCGAATAAAAATTGGATTATGTCGAACATTGGAACATGAACAATCGTAACTGGTGAATATAGAAGAACGACGCAAATAATTTCACTAAGAAGAAAATCGGGAAAAACAATTGTATGAATTAAATTTGATGTTAAGCGATTCCGGTAGGTAAAATCCTGCGTTGTAGCATTCCAGCAAAAATATATCTATGCCTGGCAATGAAATGGAATAGTTTGATAATTTTGACTTTTTGATTTAATTTTTTTTCTGGAATAACCTAAAATCCAAGACGGGCCAAAACGATAGCAAACTGCCAAAATTTCTTAAAAATTATCAATTTTCACCTTTCTCATTATACCCTACACCATAGTGGGGTTTTTATGTCTTTGTGCATTTGTTTGTAACAGGCTTAACCCATACTTCCTTTTGATGATCTGCATAGAATCACAATTTGAGTCCATTTTTGCATGTCCGTTCGTCTATCCATGTATTTGTTTAAACAAAGTACAGGTCGCATTTATTGCCCGATTCAGATAAAATTTTGCACAAATCATTTGCTAGATCCAAGGAGGACCCATATTGAGATGGGAGATAATCAGTCAAAATTTAGATATAGCTCCCATATATAACTTCGTCCGATTTGCGTTTTATTGTGTACCAAACGTGTAATATCAGCCCAAATAGCATGGAATTTTGCACATACAACCAAATTAGGCCTGCAAATAAGTATGCCAAATTTGATCGGTTCAGATATAGCTATAGCTCCCATATATATTGTTTACCCGAGTTCTTATTTTTGTCCTCCGCAGCCGTAATATGCACTCTGTAACAACGATATTCGTGGGAATATATCAAATACAGCTCAGAAATACCTTTGCTAAATTTTATCGAGATCGGTTTAGATTTGGATATAGCTCCCATATATACCTTTATCCGATTTCAAATTAAGTGTGCTCCAAAAGGGCAATAAAAGCAAAATTGACAAATACCCCTCCTCCCTTTACTGTACCCCCAGATGGAAGGGTTATTTTTCGGTTTTAGTCATATTTTTTAAACAGAATTTTCCACAAAGTGGCTGCTGTATTCCCCATGCATAGGAAACATACTTGTAAAAAATTGGCAATCCATATATTAAATTTTAGGCGTGGTCCTCACCCTCAATATTCGATATTTTGATGATTTGGCTCACATTACTCACCGGGATTGTAAAAAATTGGTGTTTGGAGTTCCTAATGAAAAATACCAACTCCACAGACAGAAAATTGCTTATACAGATCCATGTCTTCATATAACCCCCATATAACGGTACATAGTTACATCCGGTATTTGGATGACTTCCATTTTCATCGGAATTATTTCAAATTGTTGTTTGGCTTCCAATATAGGCACGGCCCTTGCTAGCAGAAAATTGTTTAAAGAGATCCACGTTTTCTTATGGCTCCATATAACTGTAACACCCCATATTGGAAATTTTTAAGATGCTAGTGCATTTTCAGCGGATTTTTTTTTTAAATTTTACAAGTTCCTTTCAAAAGTGGAGGGTAATAAAGGTTCGGCACTGCGAAACTTAGCTGTCTATTTTACTTATTCGCAACTGCCTTTCGACAAAACTTTTTTTAACAGCTCACACACTTTTCGTGTTCTGTTTCACTGTCGAATATCTTCTGTTTGGCTTATAATTTAACCATGGACGGCTTACAAACGCTTACAAATCATTGAACATTATTATCAAGATGCGTGCTCTGTTAAGAAAATTCATCGCAACCTCCTTCCATTTTGCGACGAATCCCATTTTTTGCTCAATGGTTACGAAAATAAGCAGAATTGTGGATTTTGGAGTAATGCATCAGGAAATGGTCACAGTTTGGTGCGGTAAATGGGCAGATGGTATCATTGGATAGCATTTCTTCCAAGATTCTGTGAATGGTGAAATGGCTACCATGAGATGATATCCAACTTTTTTTGATTTGTATGACATGT